TCTAATACTATATAACACTTGTCTATAAAAACCTAGTCTAACTACCCTTACGCCTGCAACTAGTTAACAAATAACTAGAAACTTTTTGTTACTGCCAACTCTAGCATTACAAATACAATTAATGCTGCTTAGTTTGCCTTCTAGCTTTGCCAAACATATAAATCAATCTTGCATAACTTGCATTGCCTATGCAAATCCTCTTGCAATGCTACTAACAATACTATCACAATCATCACTCCTTCTAGCAAACAAAACGCTAGCAATATAAACAACATGCTTTTACCTTTCCCTATCCTTGCTACCTGCACAATCAGACTCTCTTCTTAGATAATTGCCTAGATTACCCTCTCTTGCATGCTGCAAAACTATGCCTCCTTCCCCATCATAACCCTTAACTAACCCTCTATATCTACCTGCTGCAACTGCATAAACCGCCAAAACCATGCCTCTTCTTGCATGCTATTAAACACATCTAGCTTTCATTTCCTCTCTAACTTCAACCCTGCAACCCTATCCTCCACGCCAAACTTGAAAAATCAATGCCACTTCTAGCTAATTGCCTAGAACCAATCCTGCCATGCAACTATCCCAAACACCCTCTGCTGCAACTTCCATGCATATATCATTCTTACTACATGCATGCTATGTCTAGCTTGCAAATCCCAAATGCTGTCTAACATGCCCTTGTTATTCTTGTCAAACTTGCTATCCTTGCCTACATTCTTTCCAAACGCTTTATTTAAATACTAGTTCAAAATCGCAATTGCAATATGCCTTCACATGCTTATGCCAACCTACGCCTTTAGATACTGCCTGCTATGCTGCTACATAATCTGCTGCATCTAGTCTAGTGTCTACTTTTGCTTCTAGATCTACGCTGCCTATGTAACCTTATCTTCTACCTTTCTCTTATCTCCAACCTTGCCTTTTTCTGCTTTAACTTCTACCTTCCCAACAGCCTTATCCTTGCGCTTTACAATCTTATCTGCCTACAAAAATGCACTTAGCTTATCTACCTTTTTAACCATCCCCTACACCTGCTGCCAAAACAGCAACACTAACTACAAATACTACACTAATAACTTGCCTACCTTGCATAGCAAGTACTAGTATATAACCTTAACCTTGCCTATGCTGCGGTAATTTTTGTAATATAATACTACAAAACTTGCCATGCCTTAGTCTATTAATATATTACGCACCCTGCTATATGCTATGTTGCAGTGCTATATCTTTATAATCTTCCACAACTATGCTAGCATCTTCTCTAACATGTGCATCAATTGCAATAACCTTTCCCAAAACTGCTTTACTGCTAACCTATACTTGCGCACTGCCTTAGCCTAGTATAGCATCTTGTTGCTGCTCTCTACTGCCATCCACTCCTTTTACTTGTCTGCCTGCTGCAAAATCTGCCACACTACCTAACCCTAACCTTTTGCCAACCACTTGTTGCAATTGTCTTGCAAAAATAAATATTCAACCTAGTCTTTGCTATAGTTATTCTCTATCTACCCCTACTTAATCGCTAGCACTAACCTAAAATTATCGCCTTTTACTATTAATAGCTTGCCTAATTTAGCCTTTACCTTTCTAACTATCTTATGCAACATATTTGCCAAATCGTTTGTCCTAATCTTTATCTGCTAGTATATAATCCAATCCTTAATCTAATTAACTGTCTTTGCTGCTAGCATTGTAAACTAGACTTGCATCCTATACATGCGCAAATCAAATATCCAATCCATTAGGCCTAGCTTAGACTTGTCTAACACAACTATTATAAACTGCTTAACCTTTAGCTAGGTAATTTTGAACAACCTAGTTGCTACCTTCTATGCCTTCTTTACACTTATTATCTTCTCTAACGCCACTACCTTATCCTACTGCTTAACCATTAACTAATACACAACTAACATCTATGCTACTTTGATAACTGCCAAATACTTTGGCATGTAATCCTCTAGCCTATACCAACTATTGTTATTGCGCAATTCTAACACTGCCAAACTGCTAATTAACACACTTTTATATAGCATGTTTTTGTATTAGTAGTTGAAAAATGCAACTATTGCATCTAAACACAACTAGTCTGCCTAGTCTGCCTAGTCCTTACGTTTCCACTACTCTACCTTATCTAACAACATTATGCTTTCTACTTGCACACGCTTCTTTACTGCCTTGCAAAACTTGTCAAACAAATTACCCTGCTTTTTAGTAAATACATATAGCAGCTAGTTTTTATTATCCTATTCCTATGTCTGCTATATATAACACAACAACTTGCAGTACACTTTCTTGTAATCTACCTATATATCCTCCTCTATCTACCTATCAAACAGCTTCTTTTGCTTGACATAAACCTTCTTTTTATTAATCTTAAACAACATTGCATGCCTACGCTACTTTACTACTGCCCCTCTTGCCTGCTCTATCACCTACTCTATGCTTTCTTATATCTGCTGCAACACTACCTTGTCCTTGCCAATTGGCTTAACTATGCTGCGCAACTAGGCTAAGTCTAAACCTTTCAAATGCATTAGCCAATCAATGCAGTCTAACTACCTATTTAGCTTAGCCTTCTTGTCGCCTGCCTTAATCAACTGCTTTTTTGACTTAAACTGCGCTATCTAGGTTGCATAGATTTGTATTAGCTGCTTCTCTAATGTTTTTGCATCTACCTTTGCTACCACTGCTAGCTTGCTGCCCTAGCTAACCTTAAATTAACTGCTTTTAAAGCCTAACTGGAAAAATCGCTAACAACGCATGCCTATTGTCTATAGCACAACCCACTCTTGCTTTGCTTTTTTTACTACATTACTGCCCTTACTCTAATCATTTGCCTATCTATAATCATTCTAGCAATATTGCTGCATCTCTCTTACCTCTATGCTGACAAAGTTGCATTGGTTGCACCTTAAACTGACAACTAGTGGCTTAATAAATAGGATGGGTAGAATGGTAGGTGGCAGGAACTTAAACTCTTTTAACTTATCCTAGGTTTTTGTGATGTCTAGGATTTGGCTTATCAATTCTGCAATCTTTAACTGTTTGCTAGGCTTGATAGACTTATGCTTTGCTTGCAAATAACCAATGACCTTGCTTGCCATGCATCTAATTTTACACTTGCATATTAGAAACAGGTATTTAGGCAAACAAACAAATAGCTCTATGGTGGTTTAAATGCGTGTCTTGGCTAACTACTAAATGGTTACAACTATGGCCTTACACTACTGTTTGCCTCTATTCACCCTAGACAACAGGCTAATGCGTTGTTAGCTCCTGTAATGCCATACTAGCTTGGGTGATGCTAACAAACAAAACCTATAGCTTTTCCTACCTACAAGCATTTTACTGACTTGAAAATGGCACTAAAGATTTTGCCTGCATTTGAGCTTTATGCGCATACCGATTTTGTCAATTTTACCGCTGAAAATGTCTACAAGCTCTGCCTTCTGTTTCTCTACAAGCTTTGCCCCCTGTCTTTACTAGCACCATTTCAAATTACATGACGTTTTCTTTGAGCATAGCCTGTGCTTGTCGCCGTATTTGGGGGTAGGCTCGACCTTTATCTTGTTATGAGGCTGAAGTCGTATGACTCTACTAAGACTAAGGGAGGCTTGAGTAGACCTGCTGCTTTTGGACACTTAAGTGCCCTCCAACTCTTGCTGCTCTTTCGAACGGCGAACTATTAGACAGAAAGACGCGGCGATAAGGTGGGGTGGTAACGTCTGAGGACTCCTGTGGAGACCTTAGTTGAACGTCTCAAACCGACAAGAGCTGTAGAGCAAGAACCGACAAGAGGTCTAGAGGCGAGGAGCATCCTAAGATTCGCCTTGGTGATTGTCAATCTCGGAAGAATTATAAAAACTGGGACACTTTTTTTCCGTGGCACAAGTGAGGGGCGACAATATGCACTGTGGAGGAATCACGCTGACTAAGCTTCGAGTCGGCAGTACACGAGAGGCCCCTACCAATTAGATCACGCACTGATGTAATCTCATTACGTCCGCGGGAGATACCGAAGAGGGAGGCGGTGAGTCCCCTACATGAAAACACAAGTATCTCTCGAGTACTTCGTTACACAACAGCGATCATCAGACCACAATTCCATCTACTCCTAGTTGATTCGCCACACACAGCACCCTCGGCAGTCAACCTTGGCAGTCAGCCGACCCATTACGCCCACCTTCAGCGAGGGTAGTGGGGTGGTGTCAGATCTGCTGCTACGCTGCATACAATTCAGTGTCCGCCCCTCTTACAGCGTTAGGCGGCTATTTCAGAGACTGACCCAAAAAGGGATCATATGTGCCTGTAATGTTAAGCAAGTAGGACCATGCTCGACGCCAATGTCCCAAAGGTAGGCTAGGCTCAGGGATCACAGACAGAGATTTAACAAGACACAACAACGGTCAATTAATCAACAATTCAGGCATCATTCGGGCTATATCTGTGAAATCAGTTCCTAGAAAGCACTAGCCTTTCTGACAGGTGGTGGGGCCCCCCATGCGGGAACGCGATGGATCGGGCCGAAACGGGGCACCAGACGTCCTCCTATTGAAAGGGGTATATCTAGTACAGCCATTCAGCCCCAGGTCCAAAGGCGTTTTCCCTCTGGCGCTCTAGAAATCTCCTGAAGGCGTTCGCGTGCGATCCGTGCAGCAGAACACCGATTCAGATGTAGGTTGCCCGTCGTCTGTCAATCGCTTAATGAAGAGTATCTCATAGATGAACTACAGAATAACACAATTTCACAATTTTTGCACGCATCAACCTTTCATCCACCACCGTCACCATCGTCACCATGCCTAGCGGTCAGGCCCAGAAGATACAGCCGTGGAAGACCATGAGATCCATGGAAGAAGATCCGAATCCCGACTTCAACAAGCTGAAGAATTTCCTTTCCACCGAGCCCACTTGCACCAGTGGGGCTTCCGTCAGCAAGCCAATGGATCGAAACACTGAATACGGAAGAGTAAAGGAGCAAAACGATGCGGAGGCTAAGCCCCCACAGGACCGGTGCTCCAAGGCTTAGGTTGTGGATAAACCATGTCTGCGTACATGATCAACAGCCGCACGTCAATACTCTCTCTTGTCAGGGCGCTTCCGTTCTGCCCTGGAAGAGGGAATGCACCATGGGGACAGGCTGTATTTGCATTTCAGCATCTAGGACAGATTGTGCAACGAAATAAAGTTCTGCGCTTACCAGATACGCGAGGGTCATCCGAGTCCACTGCCTTGAAGACGAGGACTTCGTCGTGCGCATGGTCTGGAAGCCAGTACCACTTCTGGTTCTCGTTGAAGTGCACCATGCCATTTTCTGCAATCCACTTTGGATAAATGATGTCGGCAGGGATCAAGTCGTCTTGGTCAAAACTGGTGGCATCGCAAATCGCCAGCGGCCAGTCCCTGACCGGGACTCGGAATGGTCTCCACACGCTACGAATGATATTTGTTAGCCTAGCACAAATCACTGTAAAGAAAAGTATAGAGCTAAATACTTACGTGATAATCTGGAATCTCGACTGGAGGATTTGGCTCGCAGCATCTTGTCCATAGAGCTCGCGGATGATTGCCTCTGCTGCATCAGGAGTAACGTCTTATGTCACCAGGTGAGAATCTCTTTTTTTCAGGAGCATCTTGGCCCAGAATTGGGGATCAGTACCAACATGTGTGATCAGACTCGGCTGAGGCTTAAGCGGCAGTTTGCCGCCGAAGTATGGGAACTCCGGTTCCCTTCGCCGCAACTAAGTTGAAATGAGCCCAGTGGATGTCAGATGTTTTCTCGACAGTCAACGAACCTGGAAGTCCAAAGCTCGAACCGCCTTTGCTCCCAGTGCACTCTTGAAATGCTGCTCAAGCTCTCGGCAGTAAACAGATTCTATGGTGGCTTCATCGTCAAAGTCCGAGTATGTCATCGTGGTCTGTAGACGGTGGACCGCAAATCCCTGGACGTCAAGGGACGCAGGAGGCACGCAAGCGCGCATATTCCTGACTCGGGTCTCGCTGGGAGAATGCTGAAAGTTATGGCGTGGGAAATCTTCCTTGGGATAGTACTGAAAATTGTATGGCTTGACTGTTTTCCACAAGTCGACACGGTCAAGAAAATAGAGGGGAACGCCTGGAGTTATCAGAGCGTCAGTAGGCGAGGTAGACATGGAATATCTACGGCGAAGGAGAAGGCAATGAAGTGCTCACAAAGTTCATCCTCGGTTTGACGTTCGGTTGACATGATGAGAAACCGATAGCAAAGCTCTAGACCAGGCAATTTGGTGACTGGTGTTTCCACGACAGATTTCAAGACCTGAAGGCTGGCTCCGCGAACACTGTACCAAGAACCCGTATAGCCTTGTGTCATCACGCCATAAATTTACGGGCGCCTCCCACCTACCCGTTATTTTCATCCCAATCTTATCTTCTGCAGCCTCGGAACTTTTCCCGCACCGCCGGTGGGGGTGGGCGGGAAACGGGCAGGTTCGACCAGTCACATACATCGTTGGGTAGCAGTATTTTGGCACGTATGCGCGCGTTGATTGCGGCGATGTGAATCAATGGCTTGATCTTCTGCCTGGAGCGGCTCGGCGTTCAAGGGCGCAGCCATCACATGTATGTAGCTGTACTTGTGATGTACATACGTTACTGCTGTCTGAGCCACGGGGCAGGGTAAGAGTGGGGGTTGAGAGGGGTCGGGAAGTTTCCCGGGTTCCGCGACTTGAGCGAGTGATCCATTCAATGGCCTTGGGCACTTTGGGCGTGCAAGCAGCAGAGGGCTGTCGCTTTTCTAGGGGGTAATTAGGATGCCGCTGAACTAGCATGACGCTCGGCAACCATCACCATCTCGAGTGAGATCGGCACCTTTTGCGACTGATCAATGTCGGTGACATAAGTTGAAACGCTTCTGAATGTCTTCAACCTGAAATATACGGAGTATGACGACATTGGACTCTTTCTCTCTCACTCGGTTGGAACTAGACACCCTAACAACGTGGACCAGAGCTTGTAGGCTAGATATTCGGCTGCCGCTGAGGCAGGGATGCACTAGTTGGTCGGGCGTTTGTGCCCAAAATCCCGCACGGCCTCTCTGTCCCTACCGCAGTCGCTGGCGCAGCTCGCCCCCCCAAAAAAAGCCTCACGAGAGGCGGGCGGCTCCCTCCCTGAAATTATCTCCCATCTGGCCTTTAAACTTGTGCTCGCCATCTTTAACGCTGTCTTCTTCCAAAGCACTCTTTTTGATTTCCATAAAAACAGTAAAGGAATTAATGCATCACATACTTCACCAAGCCAGAAGAACGCAAATCTCAGTTCAGCTGGAGTTTCAGGAGCCTGCGGGGCGGACAACAGCCTGGCCTCAGATACCACGTTGGAAAGAAAGGAGGAATCTTTCACGCGGGATTGATTACCCGCTATCTCCCACTGCTCAGATAATTCTCAAACTTTTCTTGTATCCTCAGAGATCCCGCCTGAAGACGAGAAGCAGATATGTCATTTCCAGACGAGATCGACGCCCTTTCTCAAAAGTCGAGCGAGGAACATGCCTACCCTAGACCTGATCTCATCAGCTTGAGTCAGTACCTGAAGTCTTGGCCTACCCAGAAGCTGGTTGCCAAATTTCCGGAGACTTCGGCGGTGTCCGAGGAAGATGTCACAACTACTTTTGCCTTGATTCACGAAATAGCAACCGGCACTTGTTCTCGGTTCAAGCCATCTCCGGCGGGCTTGGCTGAACTAGCTTCTCATAGCGTTGAGCATGGACCATTGCTGCTCTTCCTGCGTGGCCACGGCTCCCCTGAGTGGTTGAACACCATTGGTGAAAAGTACGGGGTCAGTCCGGAGCTGTATCGGCGGCATTTGCAGTACTTGGAATTCAGAGGCCGAGATCTTTACTCATCGCCATCCCTGCCATCGTCGTCAGCTCGGGTCTTCCAACTGACTATTCCGACCATATGCACACGAAATGTGGACGGCTCAGGTTACGAGCCTGAAGATCTCCAATTGGCACGTCGACTCGAGGAGGAGGCCATGGGCCGATATTTCAAACAATTGCGCTCGAAGGCCGAGGTTGCTGACTCCGTGGTCCGCAAATGTTTGCTGTTGAGTAAACAGCACTACGTCGTGGAGCAGACAGTGTCAATTGAGGTTGGCCCACCAGGGGATGACTGGCGCGCCGTGGTGTGGCTCGACAGCGGGAAGGATCTCTGTCAGACCATGAAAGGACCATGGAGCCCACGAGCTGGGACCAAAGCCTGGGAGACGTACTTCTTTCCGGTCATCGTGAACCCAGCAATCGACACTCCTTTCACTCAGTCCACTGATAAGCCTAGCACTCCTTTGGCTGGTTTAACAAGTGTTCACGACATTATGGAGCCGCAGAGTCATACTGGAGACAGGCAAGCAGAAGAGTGGAAAGCGGCACAAAACGTGGCCCTGCTTCCTTTCCAATACGGATCACGCCTCAACAAGCGCATAGCGCGCCGGGATACCCTTTACGCCCTCAACCAAGTCTTCCAATTCTCCGCCTCCGCCGAAGTCCAGTTTCTGAACCTTCTCCAAAGCCGCATCGTACACGAATTGTCCTTCGTTGGAGCCCAGGGCGACGGCAAATACCACTCTATATCGCTGTTAAACTTGAAGTACATCAAGACTCAGCTCACATCGCACGCACAAAGCCTTACAGAGACAGTCAGCCTCCTGCAGAACCGCCACGACCTGGACTGGCCACACATCGAGAGATCTGACGAGGACTCAGCTACAGTGGAAAGGTCGGCTAACATGCTTCTTTCGGACTTCAAATATCTGTTACAGCGCGCGGCAACCCTCGCGAAACAGTGCGACCAGGGCATGACGACACTGGTTAATAGCTCCATGTTAGAGGAGTCAAGACGCTCAGCAAACTTGGCAACGAAGGTGCAGAGACTCACAGTCATAGCCACCATCTTTATTCCTCTTTCTTTCGTCTGCTCTGTTTGGGGAATGAACATCGACATATTGGGCTCGGGCTCGCAGCCCTTTTGGAAAAGTTTCGTATCAGCAGTGCCGATTATCTTGCTTTCCTTGGTTATATATCAGTGGGACGTCTTGATTCGGCTGTACGATAAGAGCAAATCTGGAACCAGGAGAAGGCGTGAAACGCAAGACGTATATAGCTGAAAGAGCCTCCCACAGAAGGTTTGTATTCACCAAGAAGTAGTGCGGGCGAGGAGCGGGTACGAGGCGGGCACGAGGGCGCGGGTGAGGTCGAAGAGCTCGAGGAGGAGGCGGACGCGGTTGTCGAAGGGGCCGCCGTAGGCGTCGGTGCGAGTGTTGGAGACGGGGGAGAGGAAGTTATTGAGGTAGCGGTGGGCGACGTGGATCTCGATAATCTTATGTTTTGTGGGCGGTGGTTAATTTGGTGGTTCTACCCGGCTGCGTGCTGCTGTTGTCTGCTTGGAAGAGCACAAGGGCTGGCCACTCTGCGGTCGGGGTTCATGTGGTTGACATAGGCTTACATCGAAGCCGACGTCCAAGGCTCTCTTGACAGCAGCCACCCAGTCCTTCTTGAAGCTCTCGATGTCGACGAGGGTCATCGTCTTCGGCACCTACGTGTCCTCACTGTACGGCAGGTCGCTGCATCCCAGTACCTTGTCCGGCCACCCGTACGCCTATGTCACATCAAAACCGAGTTAGCAGACCGCGCAAACCTTTGCGAGGTGGCTGGACTGCCAGAACTGCTCACGCGGTGACACCATTGGCAGGTCGGTTGGGGGAGGCTGTGCCGCGACGGCGCTTCCAGGGTCCGCGGCGGGCTTCTGCCACCGACCGGTCAGCTTTGCATGATTTTCCCGACGGCAGATCTCTCGACGGCGCCAGGACTTTGGGATCGGATGATGCGTGGATAGGGGTTTCTGGCAGAAAAGGACAAAGGAAACGAGGGCTGCGCAGCACCTCCAGCCGCGACCGACGCTGTCCCAGGGTGGGATAGGCGGTCGATGATGGCATGCCGTGGTTTCGCCGGACCCCAGCCCCCCGCCGTGCGGCCATCCCGTCGCAACGAATTGGCGGCCGCTTGCAGCTCTGAGTTCCCAAAGGTGGTGTCACGATCAATGGCCAATTTATCCCGAGGGTGTAATTTTGGTTTTCTTGATAACGCAAACCCAGTTTGCAGGACAACAGCCAAGCTAACAGGTGGGCCGTTGCTGCGTAAGACGAGGTGGGGGGAAAGAGTAAAGAGGGCCAGCCGCCAAGTCTGACGTGCCATTCTCCCCGCCTTTTTCATGATGAAACTGCTCAACTGTGATGAGAGGATGCATCACTTGCACTGGCCATATTAGTTAATAGTAAAATAATCTAAATGTACGAATTTGGCCCCCAATTCTCTAGCAGGACACTTAAACAGTACAACGGCTTTATCCGCCGTGTGGAACAAAATGTTCTCAAACATGCTCTTTACCAGTATCCATTGGCAAGATGTACGTCAGTTGGAGAACTGCGCCGCATTGCTTGTACGGACTTGACGAATCGGAAAAGGCCCCCATATATTAATTATTTTCCGGGTGGTCACTTGATAGCCTGGAAATCTGTTTTTATGCGCTTCCATGCGTTTACAATGGGTGTTGGATGCCACAGGGTTGAGTTTGAAGGCATCGATTGCGAAGTTGTTGGTTTGTGTGGAGATTCATGTGTACATGATTCCCATTCGACATAACATCACCCTTTAGAACAACCAATTCATGCTCAATAATGCTCACCCATTCATCTATCTGTCTCGGCATCTTGGAATTTTCTGGCTTCGCGACTTTCAGCAAGCTTGCTCCTGTTAAAGGCAGCTCCGCTGCCACTCATGACTCATGAGAAAGCGCCATCTCCATCCAGTTTGACGCCACAGCTTTCCATCTGCCCTGTAGACCACCAGAGTAGACCACGATATCGGTACACAACAATAAGCACGATGATGACTTTCATACATTCATTGAATCCCTTCAAACTGTGCCTGACCGTGGTGTTGCTGTTGTCAAGCATGCTGCACTCAGTGGTCGGCCAAGACTTGACACCGGAACAGCAAGCCAATACCAACCGGACATTGCATATTGGCTATGTAAGCCAGCCCATTCCCTAGAAAGCTTTCCGCCCCTACCTACCTAAGCGTTGGCTAAACAGCTGCAATAGGTCATCTATGAAGGATTTACGCCGTTAGACATCTGGGGTCCAATGGAGCTTCTTTTCCAGGTATGTATAATCCATCAACCGGTGGGCTAGCCATCAGTAGTTCAGTAGCTGTTACTGACTAAAACCAAGCTCTCGAATATGCGCAATATGACCCTCTCCGTCATATCTCACAAAAAAGGCCCGGTGAACGCTCGATCACCACCTCATGGTGTAGGATATGACCCTGAAATCGGGGCTGCAGACTACAGCAACATGATTAATCCGCAGATGATCGCCACGCACACGTTCGAGGATGCTCCTCATCTTGACGTTATTGTTGTTCCTGGCGGTGCGGGCTACTTCCGTCTCGTCGAGGAAGCCAACAACACCGTAATGGAAGACTTCCTCGCGCGCCGTGCGCCGGATGCCGACTACTTGGTGAGTGTGTGCATCGGGTCTGTTATCTTCGCACGTGCGGGATTGTTAGCGGGCCGCCGAGCCACAACGAACAAGGCATCATGGGCCTGGGCAACCAACCCCAATCACGGCGCCAATATTACATGGGTACCGAGCGCACGTTGGGTCCAAGACGGCAACATCTGGACCAGCTCTGGCGTCGCCGCGGGCATAGACATGATGTGGGCTTTTCTCAGGCATTTGTACGGACCCATACTCGACAAGGTTGTGAACGGCATCGAATATACACCCCACACAGATCCGGACTGGGATCCGTTTTCGGTAGTGTTCAAGGTAAGAAGTCTCTTAGGTCACACGCGCGTTGACTGTGGAGCTAACGTGATGGTAGGTTCCTGGCGCGAGCCAGAATGAAACGCTTGTCAAGGAATGCGATGTGCCCATCCCTACGTTGACTTGATTCTATCATCTTTATGGCACCATGTTTAGCTCATAGTGATACTGCAAGGTCAGGGCTTGTCCTGACCTGAGGTAGAGTAGATACTATGCAGACAAGGTCAAATCACTTTCATTCGGGCGGAGCAGGGCTGTTCTTGAAACCAAGTGTTAGCATGGCTAGTATTTGATCAACGAAATGTATTCCTCTTAACAATGTTAGGCTACCAAAATGAGAGCAGACAGGATGATGCCACAAGTGAGCACAGCCAAGAGTCCATACACCACAAGAGCCATTGAAGGAAACCGTACTCCTAGCACTAACTAACCACCTGGAGTTAAATGACATTGCCCTTGACTTGCTTGATGTTCTTGAGATTGACGTCTCGCCAGGCAAGGACTGCAACTATGCCAATAATCCAGACAGCAATACCCGGGAGCAACACGGTCCTCTGAGCGTCACCGTAGGCTTTTTGGATGGCGATGCGAGTGTCGGATCCGATCGGGAAACTCAGCTGTGTAACCACATCGCCATAGATCTTCTGAATATTAGGCAGATCTTTAGCAGGAAGGTGGTTGGCGAGCGCTTTGGGAAAGGCAAACGTCCAGATAGCCGCAGATATAGAAGAACCGATACCGCCACCGATGCTCGAAAACAGTCCCTCCATAGCTAGGATGACGGCGACGTACTGGTGTGAGACCGCAGCCATGCCAGCGACTTCGTCGCAGATGATGATAAATGCGTGGCCGATAGCCAGGAGAATCTGGGTAAAGATGAAATAACCGTAATGCCAACCAAGAGTGGAGAAATAGTACGTGAGGCCCAGCGCGAGAATAGTCAAAGGAAGTCCGAGGAAGAGATTGACATATTTGTAGTGACCAGACCAATTGATGACCCAGCCTGCGACAAGTGAGAACACTGTGATGGCGACTTGGTAGGCATTGGTGATATAGCTGGCAGTGGTAACAGATTGGTTATTGACAACCATAAGGAAAGAACTGAAAAAGGACGTCCAGCAGGATTGGCTGATGAACAGTGTAAAACCAAGGAAACAAGCACCCAGAACTTGACGGTCAGAAAGATAATTAAAGGGGATGAAACTGATAGAGGCGAAGAATTTTTCCCACGCGACAAACACAAGCATGAGAACAAAGCCGAAAACAAGTAGGCAGATAATGAGAGGAGATCGCCATCCGTCCGGTTGCAAGGTGTAAATGTTGAATGGCAGAAGGAAAAGTGCCAATCCACCAGTCAAAAGAATGAGACCGACGGCGTCGAATTCGCGGAAGTAATGGATAACGGATTGGAAAGGTGTTCGCCCGCTGTCTCGCTTTGGAATAAGGCCTTGCTTTTTCGCTTTGGCGATATTCCAGTACAAAAGGACAATGAGTGGAGCAACGACCATAGGCGTCAGAATCGCAAATGTCCCAAAAGCCCAAGGCCAGCCTGGTCCGGCGAGGAAAGCTTGAGAGATTGGGCCAGCTACCCAAGTAGTGATGAGACTCGGCGAGCCAGCATAGGCAAACATAAGGCCACGGCTTTTGAGCGAAGATGTATCGGCGATGATGATTTGGACGGTATACAGCAGAGAGGCGTGGCCGATCTGCCAGAAGATTTCAGCAGCGGCATACTGGTCAATAGAGCGAGTAGCAGCCATCATGATAAAGCCGACTTCGGTTAGGACCATAGAGACCACAATGCCGGTGTGCCGCCCCCAAACGTCGAGGATCTTGGCAAGGGTGAGATTGTTGACGCCGCCAACGATGCTGGCGAGGACCGTGACGGTAGGCGTAAGCGAGTGCTTGCCGAAAGTTGATGTCACAAAGGGCGTCAGAGTTCGGATGGCGGTTCCCTCGATCAGCACGACAAAATAGATGAACCACATCATCACGTAGGCCACGATCAGCGAGGTCTTGGTCCAAACAGAGGCCACTGCCTCCATGTATTGAACGCCGTCCTGGGCATCCCGATCAATTGGCTCTTGGTCGTCGTTATGTTTGGGGTTCGAGTCGCCATCGTTCCCAAGCTCTGGGCTGCTGAACATAGTGTCGGCGTCTTTTGCGGTACCGCCATCGCTGTGCGGCGGGATCTCATGGTGGTCCTGAGCTTCGCTCATGATTTGTTTGGGCGACAGGGAAGGCTGGATGGAATCTGAAGCTTGGTTAGAGAGGGGGGACGGCGCAGTAGTGATGTTAAACTGATGGAGAGCACTGGAAAGTATCGAGAGGAATATTGTAAATCACAGATGTATTCATTGGTCCTGAAGGTGACCATTTCGTAGGGTTTCGTGGGGAAAATAAGCTCAAACCTGCTCAAAGCGGTTCCTGGCACTCCTGCGGGAGGGGGTTTACCCGCACACGGCCCCGAATAATGCATCTAATTATGCTTCCTATTGGTTTGTGTATGTAGGCGTCTAGTCCATGTGAGTTCCCAAGGCTTCCTATGCCCAGCATAATCCTATTGAAGTCCCCTTGCAGGAAGAAACGAAGCAGTAGCGAGTATCCGCAGTTTCTGCCTCTCCTCGATTGGATAATGGAGCTACAACGGGGGACGGCGAGATCCGCGGCAAAGGTGCGATGGGATGGGGGGAGGCACCTTCGGTGTAATTATAACCAATTCATCGAATATGCTCACCATAGCAACCCTGCCATCCTTCGGTCTGACAAATCCTGATCCTCCTGATCCCCCTCCTTGACTAAGCTCGCCCAGTTAGCGACACAGATAACAAGTGTGGTTGCGGTCTACGGTGGCAACTTTGCTCTGTCACTAAACGCATCTTACACCCGTTGAGGGCTAATTATGCAGGGATGGAGGACAGTAATCCTTCAATAGCAGGAGATTTGAGTTAAGTATGCTAGCATTTGTAGTTCAACTCGAATGATTCTAATCTTCCGATGTCGGGCGGAGTGCGGAGCGGGTCCCGTCCGTTCCCCGAGACTCACGGTTGGCGGGACGGCGTTGGGCTTTCGAAGCGACCAGCAAGAGAAGGGGGTGGGGGGGTATAGAAAGGTAAGAGAAGAGGATGTACAGTTAGGTGATAGGCGCGGCAAGGGGAGGGGAGGCACTGTTGGCTTCGTCCGATGAGGAGGGGCGTGGAGGTGGGATGGTTGTTAAGTTGCAATGACTTGCTGGATTTGGTGGCAAGACTTGGGATTCGAATGAGAACCCTCGGCCGAAGATTTATATCTCACGATGGGATCTGTAACTAGGAATGTCGCGATTCGCAGAACGGTATGAAGGCGCCTTCGATTTACATACATGTGGGAATAACGAGTGTGATATAGCGAACATTCTAACTCTCTCTCTACCCCTGAATACACTATATCTCTCCAGCCCCTCCATTCCCTCCATCCCGTATTTCTTGCATAGTTAACAAACTAACCACCCTAGCCTAGAATTAGGAGGCAGATATTGTCTAACAATCGTAGGAGTAAAACTGAAGACCTGGCTCGAACTTGCTGCACCAGTTTGGCGGGACCGTGGTGGCTCTATCGCTGCAGTTGGGGTTGGTGTAGACGGTGACTAGAGTGAAAATCGGCGATCAGCGAACGACACTGGTTATACAAGAGTAAGCTTTCATCGGCCAAGGCTGATACTTGCAGCTGCACCCGTCATCGACAGCGGGGAATTTCATTTTGTCTGGTTGAAAATTGGGATTCTTTAGGATGAGTTGGGAAAGTAGTAAGCTGTGTATGGCAGCAGTGGAAGATGCTGGAAGATGCTGGAGAAGATGATCTGTTGGCGTCAACTCCACGAGGGCACCTCGTCTCTTTTATATTGTTCGAAGGTTGCTTTCCGCCTTGTCCAGTTCCAAATTTTTGACACGCGGAAGTGCTGAATCGCCAATGTTCAGCCCTGTGTCACCATGCCATGCCGTCAGCTTACTCTATTCTAGACAAGTATAATACTATCATAGTTTTTCTAGCTTGTTTTACGCTTTGCCCTGCGTATCAAACAGAGACGCTAGGTTGCTGTCAGCCTAAAGATTACAGACCTGAAAATCAACCACACCACTGACAATGGCTGACATTCTCCAACCACATTGGTCCTTTCAATTCCACATGTTTTCGGTCGACACCCCTCCGCACCGTCTAAAGGTAAAGCGAGCGCACGCAATGCAGCAGGATGTAGTCGAGCGTAATCTCAGGCACATCGGCTTCGGCGGTGTGGCTAACGGACGAGCAAGGTTGGTCGGAGAGTCACCGGCAACCGCGTGTCTCCATCCCACGCGCGCACTTCCAGTCCATGAATCTGTGACGCTGCCCTGCACTCTGCCCCTAGACTGAACCCTCACTAGACACACAATTCTTCATGAAGTCTCCACCTCGGGGCGCTCGAAGACACCGCATCCCCTAATTATCCATCGGCCGCTGGTTGTGTGTGTATTGAGGGCTGTGTATTGAGCGGGGCTGCCTCCTCCGCCGCGCGGGCACGCCGAGTTCCATCCTCCAGTGAATGCAGCAAATCCGTCAGTCCGCGGGGCCCGGTGGCGGCGCGGAGGATGCCTAGGGGTGTGACCGGATTCCTCGGCCGCAGCTCGATGGCGGGCTCCTCGCCAGGCCGGCGCTGTGTTTTGCACACGCAATCGCGAATAAAGCGTGCGATCACACCAATGATGAGGAACAGGAGAAAAATCAGAAGCGTGCTTGGTCCTCCGCTTGCCATTGTGGGCAGCTCGTACGAGGTTGAGTATTGATGGTAAGAATATCAAAAGCGTGCAGAAAGGTTATCATCTGAAATGGGATGGAAACTCGAAAGCAAAAATCGGAGTCGACGAGGGTAGCTTGCTTAGTTATAGATCTACTGCCGGGGTCTAAAGGTAGCCGCACCAGCCCCTTTTCAAGCCCTGTTGCACTTTGGCGCCCAATTTTAATTTGAACCCACACCTCCTAAAAGTGGGGTGTGGCATGGGTACTCTTCCTTCGCCAAGACCTCGCCGTATCAAATGTCTAGCCGCATTTCTCTTATTGGATAGTCATTTGGCGCAAAAGAATCTGCCATGAAGCGTGTCTTTAGCTTGAGGGTTGACAAGCACGAATCTCGCCACGATGTGGGAAGCCTACAGAGGCAATATTGCTTAGTTATCATAATTTCCATTCACTGCCTGCACAGTTTGACACAGCTCTGTCGCTCCCTGGACAACCCAGACCGGATACGCCTGGGGCTTATGACCAACGCTCTTGGTATTGATCGCTATATCCCACAGTCGAACTGTATGCGTGCGGCGAAGAGAGACTGTGCTTATCTCAAATGTGACAGCTACGATCTTGCCATCCAAGGGAGAAATCGTAATGGCCATGGCTGGATCGCTGTATCGGTGTCCGAAGCATCTCATCCGTGTTTTGGCATTCCAGAATATAGTCGAACAATCCGCCGACCCTGACGCCAGGGACTCGCCGTCCATCGAAATCGCAACTGCACGGATCTCATGCCTATGACGACAGTCAATCTCCTCCAATAATACAACGAGAAGTGGGAGTTCACGACGGCGATGGCGATAGCCACAGCAGCATTGGCTTTAGCAGGTAAGGGTCTGTCTAGCATAACATACTTGGAAAGGGCATGCAAATAGTGGAAAATGTGCGAACACCTAGTGAAGCTCAACGAAAAATGGGAAAAGGGAAGTTCGATGAGAAAGACACGGCTCATGCTGGCTTCTGTCCAGTTATGACGAGAAAGTCAAACAAGGTGTGTACATCTTTTCGTCGCGCTGCAGCCCTTACTCCAGCATTGAGAACAGCAATCTCCTCTTGACTCCATCCTAGGACGTCTTTGAACAACACGGCGGTGAACGCCTCGACTCCCTCCGCAAAATTATAAACCATGAAAGATCCAATTTCCTTCAGCCTCGGGTCTTTTGGCCAGCTTCCGACAGGAATTTTGAACCTCTGCTCTTTCACATTCGCGAATCCCGCCGTCTCAGCCCACGACTTCATGGACGGCGCGGGATCCAAGGTTCGTCCAATCTTATCGCACGCCTCCATGAGACCGTCCATCATCTTCACCATCATGTTGTCGCTTGCGAGCGAGCCGTCTTCCGAGTACATCGTGTTTGCCGACTCCTGAAACTCGACCCAGCCGCCGGGCTTCAAGTTATCATAGATCTGCCGCACCAGCCGCGGCCAGTCACGGATGGAACCGGCCATGTATCGGCAGTGGATGTAGTCGTAGGTCTCAGTCTCGATCCAGTCCAGTTCAACATCGTCAACGATGAACTTCACGTTCGGCGGGGTCCATTTTGGCTGGATGGCGCTTAGGTCGTTCCCAACAATCAGGGAAGCTTCGGGATGCTCATCCCCGACGTGGATGGGCCAGATCCCTGTGCCTGTACCAATGTCGAGGATCTTTAGCCCATTGGGGTCGATAGGCGCCAGGAAGAGGCGGTTGTTAAGCGCCCGGTAGTAGACGTGGTGGATCATGTCCAAACGGTCTTGTTCTTGATCGTCATTGGGGAAGCTATAGCTCCCAGCCTGGTAGCTGTGATAGCGGCGCCCGTGCTTCCATTCGTACTTCAGCACATTGGTTCTCAGAGAGGTGCTAGCAGTGGAAGCATCGCCACCATAGGCGGAATCGGCCTCGTCCTCATCCACCTCGACCGTTGGTGCATCCTGAGTTTGCTCAGCTGTGGGTTGTTCACGAGCAGGACTTGCCATTTTCACCAAACAAGAAGAGGAGGGATTGGGGTGCTGACAAGGTCTGTTTTGCAAACATGTACGCTTGGGGAGGAGCAGAGAAAGAAGAGGACGAAGGAAGATTCTTGGGGGCGTGAGAAAACTTGGTTGTTGAAGCTGGGGTTGCAGACACGGACAAAACCGCCCAATCGGGAAAGGCAGCCGTTGGTTGAACAGTAGACACGTTACACATCACACCAATCCTTGTCAAAGGGTTACGTGGGGGTTTAGAGTATCTTCATGGCCCGCCTATCAAAACACTTCGCCTAGCCCTGCTTACGGGCGTAGTGTTGGATGGTGGCCCCCGCGCCCCGGCACTGTCGCCGATTGGCTTTGCTGCCCAGATATCCTAGGGAAAATCTCTTTCTGGCTTAGACCCTGTTCATCGCCATTGCAATGCAACCTTGTCCAGAAACCAAGTGTATCGCAATGTTGATACCTAAGGTAGGTCGGTGGTTACGATATTCTCGGAGAACAACTGAATTCTTCTCCTAGGTTCGCCAAAGAGGCCTGAAATAAACCGTCCGTGCCAGCTACGAATCTTGCCTCGTCACCGCAGCTGCTCTCAGTGACAAATCCGCTGGCCTCCTCCACCTGCCACTCTCGCTTCATGTCTTCGCGCAGGTCCTCGAATGACCGCTCGTCGCCCCCGCCCGCCGTGATGGCCGCCTCGAGGACTCGCAGGATCATCCGCCGGACGGCCGCAATGTGTGCCGCGCCCTCGTAGCAGCTGTCGTCGTATTCAAGCCGGAGAATCAGCGTGGCTTCGCTGATGGCGGTGAACTCGACCATCAGCTTGAACTTGGAACCCTCACTCCAGACCAGTTGCGGCTGTACCCCCGGTCCTACGGTCAACTGATTCCAAGCTCCGCTTCCTGATTGTTCTGTGGAACACATGTCGTGGAAAGAGACAACGCAGTCGAACAGCGGGTGATCGGGGAGTAGCTCGTCCGGCTTGATGCCGAGGTGTCCTAGCAGCCGACGCCATGGGATCGCGTGAGACAGCGCCCTTTGGGCCAACGACTGCACGGCGCCAACGTATTCGCTGCACGAGACTGGCCAGGTAGAAATGGCACCACCACCTTGATCGCCAACAGAGTCGCAGAAAGCAATCCGAATGGGCAGAGGCTCGAGGAAGAGGCCAACTGTCTGCATGTCGGCTTCCGATCGCCGGTTGATGAATGGAATCCCTAGGGTGACATCCATAGCATTGTCTCTTACGCTGAGAGCTAACGCTGTGGCCGCGACGGCCAACTGCTGTGCAGTGACCCGCTCATTTCCAATATAAGCACGCATGCGATGCCACAGCCATGGTGAAATGCGCGCTGTGGAGGATGTGCCACGATAACTGCTTCGATCGGCCCCATTTCCGAGGTATGCTGGCTGTGTGTGTGCAATGTTCTTGAGATAGTCGTCCCAAAACTGAACAGAGCAGGGTGGTGCGGGTATATTCCAACTCGTCGTCTTGTGATTTGTGATACATTGGGACGCAGGGCTGGAGGGCATCGTTGCGGTAGACGGCCGCGACTTCGGCTAGCAACAAAGCAAGGGTGGTGTAGTCGCAGACAATATGGCTCCACGTAGCCACGACCATGTCCTTGCCAATAACCACGCGCACTGGTGGCGCCGTCTCCAGCGTGAAGGGTGTATTCAACTCCAGCCAGACGTCCATGGATGCCAATGTTTGCACTACCGGTGGGTGAGGCGACAGCACGCGCTCCAGCCCACGCCTGCGGTGGTGAACGTAGCGACTGCGAAAGATGTCGTGTCGTGCAAGCACATGGTTCCATGCCTCAACAAGCCGCTGTCGATGAATCTGTTCCGGATCATAGTGGCACACAAAGCTGACGTTGAACGCGGCCGATCCGCAATCCCATGTGTACCGTTGCCACCAGTATCTCTCAGCAGGAGACAGTTTGTATCTTCCCAGAGGCATCTCCCGACACGTTGTGGCAGGGGAGTGGTGTCGTAGCAGCTTATCAATTTATTGGGCGAGACTGCGAACTCGATAGCTCGGTGACAGTTCTAACGCTCACGGGGACTCCGAACTCGGCACTGAGCTTGGAGACGAGACGCAATTGATGCAAGGAATGTTCACTGACCGCAGTGAAACTCGAGCTCGGCTTGATGACTCCGTCGTGGACGCTCAGGTCAAGGAGGGAGGCCCATATAGCCGCAAGCTTAGCCTCCGTCGTCGTTTCAAGCCGATCTTCGCCGCCAAGATGACGTCTCCCACCCGAGGCCACGGCCTTGTAATCGACTTTCCCCGTCAAGGTTATAGGCAACGTGTCGACCGGGATGTACCGAGGCACAGCGTAAACGGCTGGCCGACGATGTTACCATCTACACTGACGGCAACGAGAGCCTAGCGGACGAGTTCCGCAAAGTCCTTGCCAAGTCGTCCATCAAGATCGATACGAAGCCAATCGAGAGGCTTGAGAAGGGCAAAGTGGGCGCCGAGGCGACTGTGCATTTCAAAGACAAGAGCCAGCAGACCGAGGGCTTTCTCGTAAGTATTTGCGCCTCCCTATCCAGACCAGACCAGACTGGCTTCTTCTCCCCGACGGACGTGAAACTAATCCGAAAACTTCTAGGCCCACCGGCCCAAGATCGAACTCGTGGGACCGTTAGCGCGCCAGCTGGGATTGGAGCTGACCCCAAGCGGAGATATCACAGTGACGGAGCCCATGTTTACGACCAGCGTGCCGGGCGTCTTTGCTGCGGGCGACTGCGCGACGCAGATGAAGGCCGTCGTCCAAGCTATGACTACGGGCGCTTTTTGTGCCGGAGGCGTAAGCGCAGCGCTGTCTGCCGAGATGTATATCAAGACAGCTTCACAGTAGCTCAAGCAACATAATCTGCGCTGGCACCCGTGTGGCCTTGAGTCCTCAGGCCAATCCATGGAAGCAGCAACTAAGGAAATAATCCGCAGCTAGGCAAAATTATTCCTAGCACTCAAGTCCATTTCTTCCCTCATCACCAACCATATCCACTCTGCTAACGTCCATCGGATTCCAGATACCTCCCACACTTTCATCCTCTCATTAGGCTTCTGAGTCTCATTTTTCACACTAGCTCGTTCCCAGTCTTTGTTCTCGCCATTTTCTTGTCCACTCTTCACATCTTCATTTGCGCCTCACCGTCACACCAGAGCCCACGTATGGAGGAAAGCCCCGTTTACTTGGAGCTCGATAGAGTCAATGCGGAGAATCCGGAGCATTACCGCCAGGGCGGGTATTTGCCCGTCCATATCGGCCAACGGATTGCAAAGCGCTTTAAGATTGTCCACAAACTAGGCCACGGCGGATTCGCAACTCTCTGGCTGGCACGCGAAGAAGACAAAAGCCGCTATGTCGCACTCAAAATTGTGACTGCGGATCAGTCTAAGACGTATGAGGCGGCACCCGAGGTCGCATCTCTTCTTCGGAACTCTCGGGGCTTCTTCTTGGCCGAGCATGAGCGATTTTTCGTCGACAGTCGAAACGGCCGCCATCTTTGCCAAGTGTTTCCCGTCCTGGGGCCGACTCTAGATGATCTTACAGATTTCCACCACCGCCTTTACCCGGAGTGCGTGCAAGACTTTGCCCGACAGATGGTGCTGGCTGTCGACACCATGCATCTGAACGGCTTGTGTCATGGAGGCGAGTTTCCCCATCTTCCCAATAAATCGGGGGTTCGCTGTGCTAACTGTGCCCGTGAATTAGATCTGACTACTCGGAATATAGCCCTCGAACTTTCGCAACAACTAGACCCCCTATCCGAGAGGCAGGTCTGGGACATGTTTCCCCTGGAGAAGGAGGCGATCGAATTGCGGCCACCCAAGAACAAGGCAACATCCGCATCCAGGGCACCAAAGTATGCGGTACAAGCGATGGATCTTGCCCAATTGCCGTCCAAATACCTGTCCGGCAAGTTATATATCTTGGACTTTGATCAGGCCTATCCCGTTCGGGACCCGCCACGTACCCTGCTTGGCATACCACCGCGGTACTTGGCGCCAGAAAGCATCTTCGAACTAAGGAATGGCCCGCCAGCAGATGTTTGGGCGCTGGGGTGTCTTATATTCCGCATGCGGTGCGGACTTGACATTTTCTATGATCTCCCCGAGATACCGAGCAATGCCGTTTCCAAAATGTACGGCATCCTAGGGGGACATCTTCTGCAGCACTGGAAAACGGTTCAATTAGGTGACGACGGATGGCCCGCCCATGACGGACCGAGGGAGGGTGTTTGAGTACGACGACTTTTCCGGTGATTATCAATTTCCTTATCCACCGCTTCGGCAGTTCGTGACGAATGCTGTCGACCTCAAGAGGCCCGAAAATGCGGGCAGCAATGAACTTGGGATCTTGAAATTCTGTGCGCGGCTCCCAGCAGATGCGTTCCAACAATGCGATTTGAAGCGAGTATGGACCGCCAAGAACGCCCTGCCTATTAGTCCAGACGAGGCAGAATCCTTCTATGACTTGATGAGGCGAGTGTTTGAGTATGATCCTGGCAGTCGAATCACAGCATCAAACATGCTGGCTCATCCATGGTTCGGGGGGAAACAGTTGCCACTACCAGGATAAGGTTATCTGGCGGCTGGGAATGGAGACACAGTATGACCACGACATGGGGAATTGTGGTTTCTCATTTTGTTGGTCCTCTGCTCAGAGGCACGGAGACGAGGACGGCACCTTCGCAGTGGTCGCAGAGGACAAACCTCGTCTCTCCGCAAATTTTTCACCTCTAGACTACCACTAGTAAATCACATACTAAATCACGTACTCTAGCCCTAACAATTGATGGTCGTATACCTGCTTTGTCGAGGTTGAACGGAAAGACAACAACCTTGGTAGCGCCGATCTGCTTCGTATGCCGCGTTAAAGCCTTTACCGCCCACCCGTTTGTTTGCAGAAAACCCCCACTTCGCACTTTTGTTCGGAGACCGAAAGCATTCCCGGACATTGAATCTCCCGGTTACATGGACGATGCCGGATTCACTGGGTGCTTTCAATGTGGGCACCGATCTAGCTACCCGTTGGTAATGATCTATTGTGTCTGGAGCGTCGGGAAAAGCAAAAGCAAATATTGGGCAGCTTCTGTCCCTTCATCTTGGCAAAAAGGCTTCCGACAGGGTGCTTGAACGTGGTATGTGGCTTGAAGAGGCCTTCAAGCATATACATACGAAATGCCTTGAGCTCCTGCGGTACGCTTGCCGTAGGTATCATCCAGCATCCAGAATGGAAGTGTAAGTTGGGACTACAAGCGACGAAGCGACGAGCCACCCACCCACCTGGCTTTGTCGGGAATCGGCCACTTTCTACTTTTGCAGAGGTCGTGGCAAGTTGCTAATGCAGGGACTCAACCCAAGCGGGACGATGGTATGGGGGCTGGAGGGATGCAGGGTTGGAGGGCTGGTATCAACCTTGATGGACAACCCGTGGGGGCGTGCAGTGCTTTTCCCTCACCAACCAGGATAGAACCTAGAGCCACTGGATCAATAATAGAACAAATAACCTCAATGGACCTCTGCAATGCGGCGCCAGCCTCAATCAATAGTCCATCCTATGGAGTACTACGAGCTGCAATACGGTCCCCCAGGAGTGGGGGGTGCTCGCATCTTGCAGGTGGGAAAGGCTCAACTAGCAGCATCTGGGCCAACCGATTGAGTAACCCTATGGTCCCCAAATGGCTCTGTTTGTGGAGCTGGACATCCAGGTGCGCCTCAATTGGCACTGATGGTCGAGAGCCACCCAGTCGGCGAGGGTGCGATACAAGGGGTGCAATGGGGGTTGCAGGAAGTTCATATTGTCCATAAAACCTGTCAAATGCCCTCCTCACTCGTTTCAAGTCGGTACCACATAATACTACTGTATTCTTCCGATTGGACTACATTACCCTTCCGAGCTTATATTCTTGCCCGGGTCGTCATCGCCATCCAATTACCATCATGCGTCCCCAGAACATCCTCGCCGCAGCGTTGAGCTTCGTCCCTCTCGCCCTCGCTCACATCCCTCACCTCGATGATGGAACCCACGTCTCCATCGCCACTGCCTGGCCATTCCCCGACCCAGTCATCACCCGCGTGCTCATGCTCTCATTCGACTGTCCATCCGTTGCCACCTACAGCAAGGTCAGCCTCAACGATAGCTCTGTCCCCCTGACTGTCGGGATCGGCATCCCCAACATCACCGCCCTGTACGACTACCGCCCCTCCCTATGGGCCATCGGCAAAACAGTCGTCACGCCGCCCGAGTACCAGACGGACACTGGCCGCGACGCCTCGGGCATCCCGAATAGTGCCGCGTTCAAGCCCGTCGTGCCTCGCGAGTTCAACGCTGTCGAATACCCCACCGAGGGAAGCGGCATCTTTGCAGGCTTCAGGGAGGAATCGAGCGGCATTTCCGGATTCGGTACCCTGAGCATCAACGTCACAGCCAGCGAGCTGGGTGACGTGTATCTTGTTTTTCAACCGCTTGAGCACCGCCGAGGCCGGGCATTCATCTCCCTCGGTACGGCCGAGACCGCTACGCCCGAGGAAGGATCGGTCCGACGAGCTTCAGGAGGGAGCCTGGTTTGCGGGAAATACTACTCCAAGGATGGGCATGTCGTGTGTTCCGTGGTCCGCTTAAGGTCTTGGTTGGAACTGGGGATGCGAGGAACCACATCGAAGTTGATACCATCAGATGGAGTGTCGCCTAGTTAAGATGCACATGTCCAGTACACATAAGTTGATAGAGCCTTCTATTCCTAATTAATAACTACCTATCTTGCTCCTAATTATGCCGTCCCGATTACAGACTTCATGCCTGATAGACTGCAAACTTTAGATACCGGATCTCTTCGGGAAACCCGGGGATCTGGAAAGGCAGCTCCCCAACCCATCCAGCCTCGACTCTCCATTTCGTGCCCGTCCTCTCGCCCACCTCGTCCCACATCTTCTGAAGCGACTCCGGGTCATGCGCAAACCGCGTGCCCGCCCCCATCAACGCCTTGATCTCGCCCGGCTGGGGACAGCCGATCTGCGCCCCGAAGATGGCCGCGTCCGTGGTCCCGGCCTTCAGGAAGCGCACCATCCGCACCGCGGCCTGGACCTGCTGCTCCCAGGGGAACAGGTGGAAGAAGTTGGACGCGTGCACCAGCGTCACCTTGCCGTCGAGCGCTGCCGCGCCGGCATCATCTGGCTTGAGCAGGTCGGCGGCGACGAAGGCGCCCGGCGGGAAGCGGTCGCGGTCGCGAAACAGTTCGAAGCCGATGTCGATGAAGGCCGGGACGAGGTCGGTGCTGTACAGCCGCGCAGGGTCGACCCCGTCTGCGGCCAGCTTGCGCGATACCTGCCCCACGCAGCAGGCGACGTCGAGAAGGGCATCCTGGGAGTCGGGGGCCTTTAGCCGCGCAATAACGGCCTGGAAGGTTGGGCCTTGGAGCAGCTTCAGGTTGGTGAAGGACCAGCGGCCGATGCAGGGGTAGTGGGCGATGTCCCAGGCTTTATCGCGCTGCGGAGGAGAGAATGTCAGCGGGGGGGTCGTGAATTCCTACGCAAGGACGAGGGATTGCTCTCGTCGTCGAGGCAGTACGTACGATTTTATAGAGATGATTGTCAACTTCATCGGGAGGTATCTTGCTATACGTCTCCAGTAGGTCTCGGAAGGGCCGGATGTCGTCTGGCAGTTCCTCGAGAAAAGTGTTGGCTTTCCAGAGACCCTCTTGGTCAGAGTTATCGTTTGCCGTCATTGTGGATAATCTGCAGTCCGTTTACAAACAGATCTCTCATGCAAGCCTTTTAACAAGGTGAAAAAAAAGGACGTTTGGGTTATGGTGGTTTGTTGTGTGTTGGTCAACCCCGCTCGAAATTAGACATGACTCACATGAGTAAGCAACATTTTGGATCCATGGAATGATCACCACGTCTTCGTACCGCCATCTGATTTGTTAGTTGTCTATATGCTGACAAGGTTGAGCCTAATTAACACTTAATTATTTGAGATGCACAGATGCTGCCCTATCTGGAGAATGTAATTATATGATGCCTATCCATCCCATTCATCTGCGTCCCTCTGACCTCGCTCGCTCCGTGCCTAACGTTTCTAACCGAAGTCGGTCTCGAACGCACTCCACACATTCTACCCATCATTCAATAGGAAGATATCCTAAGTCCTGCCAGTTCTTACCGTCAAACCACACCTCCTTGACCTTGCCGCCGCTCTGGAAGTAGCATCGGTTCATATCTGTCGCTGCGCTGAGCGCTACGCTTGTGTAGTCCCAAGTAGCCTGGATCAAGCAGGCGATATCTGTGCCCTTGTCTGCATCTGCTAGGGCGGGGAATGTCTGTGGTCCTTGCCAGCCAGATGCGTCATTCTGCCATACGACCTGCAGCACACCTTTGTCGTCTTGGTATAGAGTGTAGGTGTTGACCAGGTTTTCGCTTCGGGCATACACGAAGGCGCCGATGGCTGTGTCTGCCGGAATACGCGTAGAGACCTGTCCTCCTGTCCCGCCACAATGTCAACAACACTCCCTACCGTACCTAGTATTCCGGGAAGGAGTGGCGCCCGTATCGGCTTACCTTGTGCCCACGCCCATTCGTCTCGTAGGACCCCATTTGTGCTCCCAACGAAACTAGTCATCTCCCCTGCCGCATTGCGAAACAAGAACGACCCAGCAGTGAAATTTGAGACGGCCGCCGGCAACGCCGCTAACCCGGAGCTGGGCGAACCTATAGCGTCGCCACCGTCAAACGTGCGATTGTCCCAGTTGTCAGGAGCCGTCCAATGCAGCCACCGCAGCTTGCCGTTTTTGTCCTGGGAGACTAGATGTGGATGGTACCCCGCGAGCCGGGATGAGGTGTCGATTTCCATCGGATAGGCGTAGATGTCCGCCGACAAACCCTTTGCTGGCGTAACGCTGTCCTGGAACCGCTGTCCGCGCAGCAGCGAGGTCTGGTCGACAAAGTAAAGGTTCATCTGGGGCTGTGGCAGCTTGTCAGTTACGTGTGTACACAACGCCCGGAGCCTATTAAAAGGCCACAGAACCTAATACCGGTGAGGTGGACAACCAGGTCGTGGCTGCTATAGGCGTCTTGGCCATCGGCGCCAGATTACCCAGCAGTGCGGAGGATGTCCAAACATTCCTGGTGCTGTTGAAGTCAGAGTAGCGCAGCACATTATCAGGGCCTTGGTAGAAGAGACGTGCTTGGAAGTCGCTGTTGCCACGATAGCCTGTCACAGCGAGTCTGGAGTTTAGCTGAATCGATTTTAGCGTCGTATTGGTCTTGGGAGTCGAGGACTCGCTCGGTGACGGCGGTGACGGCGACGGTGATGGCGGTGTGATGCCTTTGGAGGCACTGCTTCTAGATGCTCTGCTTCCTACGACTCCACCAACGACGGCGCCCACAATGACTAGGACAAGTATGATGCCGCCGACTATCCATAATAGCCGCTTGCGAGATCCCTTCGCTGTTGAAGACGCCAGCGGCTCGTCTGCTTTGTCCTCGGGATACCCATGGATATTTTGGCCTGGAACAACCTCAAGGCCTTGGACTTCCGAGGGGGCCAACTCCAATCCATGCTGGTCCATAGCTCCGAAGGTAGGGAGTGGAGTGCCCGTTACGACGGCGAACGCTGCTTCCGGTGGGTGTTCGCAATTGTCGCCGATGTTGGCGAAGCCTGCAGGAAACATGAACCGCGGTCGAGCTTCATGTCGCGCCACTTGAATAAAGAATAAACGAAATGAAAGTACCCGAAGGATGGCAATCCTGGTCTCGGGAGCGGGTTAAGCCGCTGGACTGACAACCCCTGCTTTTAAATCACAGGAACAGAGAAGGACGACGAGATAATTAGTCATCCTCCCAGAGAGGTAATGATCATTAAATAGTTTTGCGCAAGTATAAGAAGTGCCCTGCCGTCTCCCCCGTCAGCTCCCTAGCGACAGACCCCCAAATCAAGGGCCTCGCGGTACTTTGATGATGTGGTCGGCGCCAAGCTTCTCGAGAAGGTTGGCCGCAGCAGGGTGTCCTAACTCTCGGAAGGGTCGGATGTCGTCCAGCAGTTCCTCTAGAAAAGTGATGGCCTTCGGGAGAGCCTCGCGATCAGACTTAGCGTTTGCCGTCATTATATATGACCCACAGTCCGTTTACAAACAGATCTTTGACGTAAGCCTTTAATAAGGTGGAAGGGATGTTTGAAGGTGGACTTTGATGGGTCGATCGACTCTCTCATCATCGTATTACAAGTGAAATTCAACCTAGCCTCTTGCTCTCCGAAATATACAATAATCGTGACAGTATTAATAATCGGCCCGGTAGTCAGGGCGGCGACGGTTCCTCTCTTGCGCTCGTTCAAAGGTCACTGGATCCCCAAGAGGATGCAGGATCATTCCCTGGATGTTCCGGTTCCTATCCGTGACAATTCTCATAGGCCCAGCATCTACACCGTTGCCTCCCATCGGTCTCCCAAACCTATTCTGGGTGGTGTAGTCGAAATTGTTGGCTGGATATGCCCAAAGGACAGGTGCAGGCCGGTTATTATTCGGCAGCGCAATGCCTGGCAGAGGCGTCAACTTGATTCGTTCATTCGCAAAGAGGTTCTCGTCATCGTAGTGAGCGTGGGGCCTGCGGGCGTTTTGGGCTTTGTTGTGAGTTGGTGCTGGGGCTTGGGCTATGATTGACTGCGCAGTAGTCTTGGGAAAGTGAGTCCGGCCCGGGAGGTTGTCCTCTCGCCGGGGTATGTCGTAGTACTAGGGCCGCGTTAGTGTCTCGAAGGCACACCATTACGGCACGTGGATGCGTTGGCCGGACATACGTCCTCCTTGCTCGAGCAGCAACCCATAATAGTCCCACAATCCCGTTTCGACTCGGGGATATTTGCGGCGTACGGGAAGGAGTGGAGGACGACTTCTGGCAAGGGGTCGACAGCTGAGAAAGGATCGTAATGAATTGGATATATCTTAGTATACTGTGTGCCTCAAGAGACAAGGCACCGCTGAGTAGCCGTTGTGTTGTGAGAGGTATTATACTTCTTCGTTACATCTCGAAATGAAGTCTCCATCGCCAACAACGCGGAGTGCTGCAGCCCCCCGACATCCTAAAATAGGTACTGTACTTACGGTCCTGGCATCAGCGGCAGGCGCGCGTTTCAAGTAGCCGCTCTTTTCTTATTTTGGGCACCTGCCGCATGTGCAGAAATGTGTTTTGTGTGTCTTCCCCTTAGCTTTGATTCGTCGTCAGTTTCCAGGACGTCTATCTCCTTGCCTTGGCGGGAGAGGTGTGTCTGATGGTGCATCAACGAGGACCACGGGACACCGGTCCATGGGTGGTTTCGGTACAGGCACGGCAAAGGCGAGCATCTAATAGGCCAGCGGTTAATTTCGTCGCACATCCGGCTAGATATTGGCGCCGTGGACGTTTTCTTGGGGTGGCGGTTGGTAGCAGATTCCCTTTCCCCTGCCTGAAGTGAATCGTCGGGCGGCTCCCTGTGCCAGAAAGGTGGCGCAGCACACGTGCAGTTGGGTCGCGACATTGCCCCTCAATACCTTTAATGAGTCACGGCGATCCATCCTCCCTCGGGCAAATTGAATGCCTCTATCTACGTCGCACTTTTTGAATCGCGATTCATCTGTCTTGACACCCAATTCATCTGACCATCTGCATCGCAACACGCACTCACTCATAACGCCATGTCTGATCTCAGCCTCAAATTCTTGGACGACGGCACAACCGATGCCGGGCCTGGCCGCTATGCCGACAAGAGGGCCTTTGACGTCCTGCAGCGCTATCTCCAGAGCCAGCTCTCCGTTAAAGAGACGGCAAAAGAGATCACTGCCATGCTTCCCGAGCCCGAGGCCCGCAAAACACGCGGAGCCGAGATTGGCCTGTTCGGTTCCTTCCTCTGTCAGATAGCCCGACAGATTCCGTACAGTCATCCAGCACAAACGAGGCTGGTGCAACTGATTCAACGTGTTTCCCATTCTCCAAAATTAACCGGACAGGGAGACGACGATGTATGTACCCAGACCCTGGTTATTGCATCGTGTCGCGATGGATTATAAAGCTACCATGTGGTGGTCCTCTAACTCGAGACTAATGGATATTGTTCTGCTTCCAGGGATACATGATCTGTTTCACCATGGACGACTTCAAAAGCCAACTGCGAGAGTGGTTTACTCGTAAGTTTCTCACTCACTTGACGCACAAAAATACTGGCAATTCTGGCACGAGCGATATTGAGAATTTTCTGCAGCGATCTTTGAGGATGACCCGGAAGACACAAATCAGTACTCCCATGCTCTCAACTTCTCTGCTTTCCTTGCACGCCTCACGCAGTGCGGCTTTCTGAGCTACTCCCCACTTTCCATCTGGACGATGCGTGGATCTCTTGAGGAGAAGATTGACCATCAAGAAGCCTTCGACTGCTCCGTCAGCTCAGCTGCCTTGTGGATCATGTTTGCAGGCCAGGCTACTTATACGCAGGTAGTCGAGGCACCATTCCCTGAGAAGGCTGAAGGCATCTACCGTTCGGGAAGCCTGTACCGCGGGCCCGAGTTGGGCTTGGAGCGATGGAGATTCTGGAAGGAGGCGCTGATGGCTGCTGTCGAGAAGAAGGGAGCGAGTGACGAATGTCGGCATCTGGCTCATGGGGCAGCCGAACTCATGGGCGACATTGAGCTGAACATGGAATTCTCATTTGCTTGATTCTAGCCGGAGGAAGGTTGACAGCATTACTATTTATTACTGCCTGTTCTACAAGACGTACCTAAACCCCTTGTTATCGATCTCGGTCATGTCTCTCATCCCCTTCTCGATAGCTTCCCGTTCCTGGTCCTCGGCGCGTCGCGAGTCTGCAGTGGCTTCGCGGTCGCGTTTCTTGTTCACGCTCCACATGTAACCGTATAAGACTACGACCATAATCGTCTTGACAGAATAGCCGATGAGAATCCTGCAGCGGTGTGTTGTGTTAGCTATCTGTAGCCCTGGGAGCGACCTGGTCTGTCTACCGGGACAGGGAATAGAAACTCACGCTATATAGGCAGAGTGGTAAAAGGGTGCTTCCGAGTCTCTGAAGGTCTGGGGCCCAATGATGTTCCCAACGCAGTAGCCAACGAAGATGAACGCCCCGGTGAGCTGCTTCTTGGTGTAGCCAGCGACATTGCTGCTCACCATAGTAAGGCTTATGCTAAAGCCTACAGACTGGAACGAGCACAGCCAGATGGCAACCAGCCTCCCCCACTTGTTTTCAGTGCCATCTGGGCCCGGCGACAGGCCGACGAGAACGCCACCAGCCACCACGCAGATGAGGTTCCCGAAAATCATTACCAGGCATCTTGTGTTGGGCCACCGCGAACTAATGTACCCCGAGGCCAGGAGGGAGACGATCTGGATGACGTTGCCGGGGATCTGCATGTACTGGGTCTGCAGGGTGGTGAAGCCAAAAGTCTTGAGGATGATGGACGTGAACTTTGATTGCGGAGCAAGTTAGCGGGATATTACAAGAAAAGACGTTGGAGACGGACGGAAGAGCATAAGTAGGGGGGATGGGATGGGATAGGGTCGCGGATGGCTCACGGTGGATTGTGCCGCATTTGGGATCTGGGCGGCGATAGCCATGACGAACAGGATCCACGTCTTGGGATCCCAGAGGGTCTGCCACAGCTGGTACTTCTTGAAGTGCTGGTTCTTGATGCCCTGCCGGTTCGTGGCGACGCGCTCGACGGCGACGATGGCCTCGCGCGGGCTCAGGAAGCGGGTCGCGGTGGAGGGAAGGTCGGGCATGAAGACCAAAAACAAGACGCCCCACGCGAAGCTGACGGAGCCAAAGATGATGAAGACGTACATCCACTGCGGCAGCCCCGAGGTGATGTGGCCGATGGCGTAGCCGAGGAGGCCGCCGAAGATGCCGGCGAAGCCATTCATGCAGTAATAAGTCACCAGCCGCAGCGGTTGCTCGGCCTTCCGGTACCACATGGACGTGACGAGCACGAACCCTGGGTTCACGACCGCCTCGGTCACGCCCAAGAGGAAGCGGTTCGTCGCAATGCCGGCGAAGTTGGTGCACGCCGGCGTCGTAAGGACGAGGATGGCCCATGCTGGCATTGGAAAGTCAGCCATATTAACATGATTATCATATCAGGGCAGGAAACCCTACCAAGAGTGGTGACGCCGATGAATTTGCCGATTGGAAACCGCTGGAGGAGGTAACCAGCGGGGTACTGAGAGAATAGATAGCCTGGACATGTTTTCCCCAATCAATCAGCCAGCCATCCTCAACCGTGACTCGCAGAGAATAAAGCATTAATTACCAAAGTAGAATATCGAAGACAGCCAGGAGTAGTCCTGCCCGTGCAGATTCGTGCCCTTCTCCAGCCCGTACACACTCGCGAAGTTGATGCTCGACTTATCGAGGTACTGGAGCATGTAGGTACCCATAAGCAGCGGCAGGACATGCCAGTCGATCTTGCGCAGTACCCGGCGCTCCTCGTCTGGGTCGACGTCCCGAGCGTCCTGCTGCTTGTAGACCTCATACGTCTCGTCCAGGTCCCTCGACGACGCCGCGGAGGTGATCCCGTTGTCCGACCAGGTGCCACTGCCCCTCCGGTCCTGGATAGGGGCGTCTTCGGCGCCGTCTTTCTCTTTCTCCTCGCCAGTCATTTTCTGGTCGTCTGTTTGGTGGACTTGTGCGACGTGAAGCGTTTGACGGGGCTAGAAGTGGTCCGTCCTCATAGATGCGGGAGCCGGAAAGGAATCGAGGTGACACCGGGGAAATTTCATGATATATAGGTACCAATATTGTTGACTCGGCATATTCGAGCATAACTGTCTTTGGGTCAACGACAGCAGAGTGGGGTTGAAGAGACGGACTAGTCCAAATGACGGAGGATCTGCAAGCACGTTCTGTTGCTATTACGGGACTCGATGGCGCAACAGCTCTCCTACCCAATAAGCTCCCGGTTGGTTTCTGGGAACACCACTGCATCGGCACCGTCATCCCGGTTCACCTCGGTTGCTATCCTCTCCTTGGTGGATTTGATTCGACTCACTTGCCGGGCTTAATTCCGGAAACGGTTCTGCACGCCGTCAACCATGTCGACCGCGAACAAGCAGTATTAGCGTCGACGGTGAGGAATCATAGTCTGCTGTCCATTCTTGGGTAAGCAATCGAAAGTGCATTCTCACATAATTAGAGTCAAACTTATGACGCGAAGGATACCGAGAGACTCAACGTACTCGAACGGTATTGTACGCCTGTGACAACCTAGCGGTAAATAGCACTTTCGCAACAATCACAATGGAAGATGAGGCTGATTAATAGCAACAGGGGATAAATAATACTACTATGAACGTGAGGAAATGTGCCGTCTATGTGCTGCCATTTGTCATCTTCAGGAACTTGTTCTTCGCCAATTGAGCAACACAATTCCAACACATAGACTCCCTAAACTCTCTAGATTTTTGAGGGGCCTAGGCACATTGGCCGGCATTTGGATCAGACCTAGATATCAGTTAATTGCGTTAGATATGAAACCCAAAACCCATTGGGTGTTAGACTGCTACAAACGTGTATTTCCAGTTGGTGTACGAAGTGCTGCCGCCGTTGTCACACCCACCGATTTCCTTCTGGAGGCCGTCGTAGCACTCATCCGCCGCGATGTCGCGGTTGCTCTTGCTGATTAGCTCGAGGGCGAAGTCGACCTTCTTGGTGCTGTCGAGGTTGTAGCAGATGGCCCTGATGTCCCCGGGCCTGTAAGTGCCGACAAAGGCCTCTTCGCACGCCCTGGTGGCGTAGTTGTAGGCATAGTTCCTGTCGGCGCCCCAATTCTCGCCGCCGTCGAAGCAGCCGCGCTTGTTGAGGCTCGTGCCCACATTGTCGGGTTCTCCGGCCGTCCGATCTTTGAGCGCGGTGCCCGAGACCAGGGCAGTCGTAAGAGCGGCTACGAGAAATGAGTACTGCATGATGAAGTTATGTGCTAGGTTGTCAGGTGATTTGAGATGAGGATGTCTCTGGGGAATTAGCTTCTCTTCTACGGGTAGACAGAGACCCATTTATACACGAAAGACCCCCCCATAATTTGCCTTCCCTCAGCCAGATGCCTACAATTTTCACCGATATGTACATTGCTAAGGCGTCTACCCATGACATGATAGGGTGTGATAGAGTCTAGTGAGATTTTAGTAGGCTTGCTAAGGTTAGGGATGAACTACACTCTCACAGTCTTAAAGCGCTTCTACGAGTGTTATTATTAGCAATGAGGACGGCGCTGATCATGGCGAAGGATTTGATCCTCCTAGGCACCGAGAAAACAATTTGTGTCATATGTCATACTTCAATTACTTGAAACTTCCAGCTGCGCCGATTTATCCGTACTTTCCGCGTGATATCCACTGACTTTGGGAGACAGTTACTGGTCAAGTCGACCGTCAGCCAGACCCCTCCCACGCCTGTCTCAACTCCTCCCTCTTACGCTGAAACAGGTCAGGGTTCTCTTCCATGGCCTTCCTTGACCGTTCCCTCGCCTCCTCACTCAACGGCGGTGGCAGAATTCCCTTGTCAGGTTCAAACCATGCCTCCTTGGGGACCTTGGTTCCATCAACACCCTCATAATCATCTCCAAATTCGCTGGAATGGGGCAACATGATGTGCATCAAGCGTGCTATTTGGTCTGGGTTGAGCCCGATCGCATCTACCACGTCGCGGTCGGCAGTCAAGGATCGCAGCACTCCGTCCTTGCCGAGCGCGATGCACCCCATAAGCGAGAGGTCCTGTTTCAGGCCTTTGAGGATCCCGCTAACCTCTGGTTGGTCTGGGCTTGAGTCTTGCGGGGACGATGCTGCGCCTTGAGCCTTGTTGTGCTGTGCCATTTCTGTTCTCGCGCCGATCTTGCGGTGGTTGGAGGTGGTAGTGGAGCTGGCGGCGTGATGCGAACGAGGTTGATGTTTAGCTGGCTAAAATAGGATGACGAACAGAGCAAGTTTGTTTGCGGCGCAATGCGGCGGTGTCGCGCAGTCTAAGTACGAAGTCACTGGGCCGCAACTGTGGTAGCCAATTGACGTCACGCTGCTGCCTGGCAACATATCACTTTAATAATCGCTTGCAATCGACTAGCTCTGTCGATCAGGGACTTCCAAACCACGAGCAAAGTTTACCAAAATGAATGTAGAACCCTGGATACCTTCCTCTTGTGCATCGGGATCGTCTCGTCCCGTCCTGCCTTGGCAATCAATCATATGCACTTCGATCCTTCCGGCACTTAGCTCGGCCATATTAGGTACCTTTCCGTGGTCAGGTAAATACAGAACTGGTAAAAGAACGATGTAATGAGCTGAGATGCCTTGGCAGCCGGTTTAGAATTAGAATCGAGGTATACTATGAGATGAGGAGAACAAAGGAGGGAGTAAGTATGCCGGTTCTTCTGGGATCGCCATCCTTATCCCCTCGGCGTCAGAAGGCCATCCTGGAGGATTCAAATAACACCGAGGCCGCAGATTGATGTTACTATCATCACAACTTGCGACTACGGGCCTGACTTTGGCTTGTTCTAAATGAGTTGCGGACTCAATCATCCGAGAAAGATGCACCTAGATAATATATAGTTCCTGGCTGTCTCTAGTTGGTTTCTCCTGGTCTCCGAACAAACATTCCAGCAGCAACAGCAACGGCAAAAGTAACATAGATCAACTATCGCTATCACAATGCAGCTTTCACACTCAGTCGTAGCGTCGACACTTCTTTCCCTTTCCACCCTGTCGCTAGTAAGTCTCTATCCCATATGAACGTCAGAAGATGCACAACGCAATTCTAACTTTAGCTCCAGGGCATCAATGCGCTTCCAAATGTCCAATCTCGGGAGGCTGCAGACCGGTACATCCCCGGCCCAGTCTCCGCCGCCGTCCAGGCCTTGAACACGGACGACGACCACGGCTTCTTCTCGGTGGGCGCCGACGGTGTGCTGCGAAGCTTCGCCGGCAACGGTACCGTGCTCGACTACCACCAGCTGGACCCGGACCAACTGGCATCCTTTGCTGCGAGCCAGCTAGCCGCGTGGGAGGCCAGCGGCATGGCCGTGCCAGCCTCAGTCTCCAACCTGGCAAACTCTGCCTCAGCCGTCGACGGCCGGCTCGTCACCGACCTGGACCAGCTACTGGACCCCGCCGATAGGCCGGTTCAGAGCTCGGCCGTGAAGGAGAGGGACATCGATGACCTGGCGATTCCCGCGAAACGGCAAGGATGCGTCGGCACCCCGTGCCAGTCCCTCCCAGATTGTCTTGTGATTGGCTGCGCCGCTTGCTTCTTTCCTGGTGGCCCACCTCTAGGCGTCTGTTTTTTCAGCTAAGTTTGTCGTAACTGGGTTCTCGCATGCGGCGGGATTGCGCTGCCTGGTAGTGATTTGGGCCAGTGTGAAGTCAACAAGTGACTCTCGAAGAATGTTCCAGCTATTAGATTGTCACCTCGTTTGGAAGATTAGCTACTCTCGCTTCATTCATAGCATGGTAATTAGTACAGCAATATTGCGACTTGTCCTTGCGACTAAGAGGCAACTAGCAACCAGCAAGAGTGCTCCTCATGTTGGGATGTTTCAGAATTTCCCTTCCGAGGTCCAGACGGGAGGCGTTGGTTGAGAGCGATATGCTAGCATAAAGCCACCTGCACCCAGAGAAATTGTGTTATATTAACTTATATATATATACCCCTTACCCCTTTCCTCCCGTCCCTTCCCTTTTCTTTTCTTTTCTTTTCACTTTGTATCTCACATCTCAATCCGGAACCCAACTTTGGGAAGCAATTCTGCCACACAATGTCTTTGCCCGGTCATAAATCACAATCCACTTCTCAGTTAAACCTTGTGCACCTTCCTGCTGAGCTTTTTGCGGCAGCGGCGTCGCATCTGCCTAACCGTGACATCAAGAACCTCCGGTTGACATGCAAAATCCTACGCGAAAGGGCTACTCTTGGCCTTGACAGGGTGTTCTTGTCTGCCAATCCGCGCAACGTTGAAGTCTTCCACGCGATTGCAGACCATGAGACGCTCCGTAAGGGGATTATCGAGATTATTTGGGACGATTCACAGCTAGTTCATAACATTGAAAGGGAAAACGATGCAGTCCATCGGCTAATGGAGAGCCCCTCGCCGGAAGCGTGTCCCGGATGGTTTGCACGGGCTTGCCAGCAAAATATTGACTACCTGGCATCCCGCAAGGAGAGTGACGTAGACCGCCCAGACCATGTTGCAAGGACCGAACAGATCGGCGCGCAGCTGCCGCTCGACGTGTCGTGGGATTATTACCAGCAGCTTCTACTACAGCAGGAAGACGTGCTGGCGTCGGGGGCTGATATTTATGCCCTGAGGTATGGTTTGGATCGCTTCCCTTCACTAAGGAGAATCACCATTACGCCTGCAGCCCATGGATTTCTGTTCACGCCGCTTTACGAGACGCCCATGATCCGCGCCTTTCCATATGGCTTTAACTACCCCACTCCACGCGGCTGGCCAACCCCAGATTTCGGAGAGGTGCCATATGAAGCGCCTCCACGGGACGACGAGACAGAAAAGAGTAAGTGGCGAGGTTTTTGTATCGTCACGCGCAAGCTTGAAAAGCAGAACCACCACATCTCGGAACTCATCCTCGACGTGAACCAGCTCAACACAGGGCTGAACTGCCACGTCTTTGACCAACCATGCGAAGAGTATGACAACCTGGTTGTACTGCTTCGACGACCGGGCTTTCACCGCATTGACTTTGCCCTCCTTGCCGATGGGCAAGAGTGGGAGGACTGGTCATCATTCCTCAGCGGCTACTTGAAACTTGCGCTGGGTGAGGCGAAGGACCTGCAACATGTCAGCCTCCGGACCCAGGTAGATGTCAACCAGTTTTACGAGGCTACGCTATCAGGGACCAGCGAATCTACGGAGAATTTCATACCACTGCGCACCATCTTCCCCATCGACAGGTGGCAGAAGCTACGACACTTTGGGCTTTCTAATTTTCTTGTGAGACAGGACAACTTGCTCTCGCTGCTCGCTGCATTACCAACGTCGTTGCGATCCATCAAGCTGAGCTTCCTCACGTTCCTAGGCGACGGCGGGAACTACAGAGACCTGCTTGCCGACATGCGCAACGCTCTGGGTTGGCGCGATCGACCTGCGAACGAGAGACCGAGGGTCACAATACTCGTTGGCACGCAAAATACAGCGTCTACCCGGGCCCTCTGCATGGATGGCGAGGTCAACGAATTCCTCTAGGGCGACGGGACGAACCCATTTGGCCAGGAAGGATTTGGTCCAAACCAGCCATCATACGGCCGAGGCATTGAGCGAGATCCATTTGAGCCGGCCCATGACCGGCCTAATGTGGATTATATGACGCTGAGGCGCATGGGTATTGTGGAGAGGGACGCTGCCCTCCTTGGAGAGCCGGAATCGGGAACGACAGGCGGCAGTTCTTAGCCACAAAGTTGCACAGGCCCGTGACGTATGTAGGAATTGCATTGGCCTTGCTTTCCTCTGCTCGGATCTCACACACCATTGTGACGACAACGCTGGCATGTCTTCTCGACGAGAAGTACCAAGACGTAAACACCCTGCACCGGAGCTCATGGCAGCAGAGAGTGGACGGGTTGGGGACAGGAGGCTACAAGCGATACGACGAGCAGAGAGCGGCATATCCCGGGAATCTAGCAAGCCTCATAATGCAAAAGTATGGTGGGTCTGTCACTCAAATTTATATCGCCGTCTCCCTAGCACGAACCAGTTGCAATTTGTGCTAGGACCTATTGTGTAGTATTAATGTAATCGCTTTAGACAGTGACGCATCGAGAATTCTTCCTGTCGATGAGAATGGCGACAAAGCACGAACGGCAATTTCAACCAGGCTGAAGAGGAAGTCAAGGGCCTCGGTCCGGTGGGAATCGACATTTTCCTTGGGTCTATTCAGCATTTGTTCGCCAATATTGCGCCGTTCGTTGGGCTAATTAGTCTTCAGGAAAGAAACATGGAAATTCTTTCTAGCCAAAACGCTTGTGCTTGTAATAATTAATAAGCCAGTAGGCTGGTTCTGGAGTATCACCGCACGTTGCACACCAATGGTGACATGCAATATGGAGATGACGAATCTGATCACACCATTAGCTCGCCGTCTACCATTTCCCCGCCGCAGTTGGTAGTTATTACACATTATTTGTCGAAGAATCATGAACATCTTGTATCCTCTCTAATTCTCAAACACCATGGATTCAGAAAAGAGGATCAAGTCCGTAGCAATCATCGGTGCCGGTGCAGCAGGTATTGGCTCCTTCAAGATACTGTTCCCTCGAGCGGCAGCGATCCTCACCACACGCGTAATACAGGAGCGGTTACCGCTGCGGCATTCAAGGCAGAGAATTACTTCGAGCGGATTCAGGTATTTGAGCGAAGGGAGACAGCCGGCGGCACATGGTAATTAATTAATTAACTCTTTCTTCAGTCGTGGTTGGACAGCAGCCTGACAGCCTCATAGGATCTATGACGCCACGTCATGGCCCAGTGCCATCCCCAGACCCGGAAGCCTACCCCCAGAATCGGATCCGCCCTTGAACATTCCGAATAATCTCCCGCAGATCACACCCCCGGCTGGCCAAGAGAGATTCTCCCAGACGCCAATTTATAACTCTCTGACGTATGTTTAAATCCATTTCACTGCAGCATTCTGTCTGTTCTACATAAACTGACGCCCATCCAACCCCAGGACTAATGTCCCAGACATTGCGATGTGCTTTTCCGATGCCAGGTTTGCGTATGGACCCTTTGTTCCACACTGGATTCCCCGTCAGTACGTGGAGAGTTACTTCGCTCTCCACAAAACCGATTCATTTCTGGTGCTCAACACAACTGTGGAGAGTGTTGCCAGGTTTTCTCCCACGTTGAGATCCGGGCCCGATAAATGGAAACTGACACTTCGAAAACGCGATTCTGTCCGGCATGTCGATATCTGGTGGGAGGAAGTGTTCGATGCCGTGGTTATAGCGAACGGGCATTATTCGGTTCCTTACGTGCGCAAGCATCTCTCCGCTATTCCCTCTTCCCTCTTCCCCACCTTCTATACGCCCGTACTGGTCTGACATAGTTATAGATTCCCCATGTCCCAGGGTTGGAAGACTTCACGAGGAAGTTTCCAGGTCGCGTAGTACACTCCAAATCCTACCGCGTACCGATCATTTACTCGTCCAAGAAAGTGCTGGTCATTGGGAACGCCACTTCGGGCCACGACCTCGCCGCCGAATTGGTATCATATGCTCGTCTTCCGCTCTATCAGTCGAGAAGATCCAAGTCGAGGTGGGACGGCGATAGACCACCCCGAGGAATAGAATGGAAGCCTATTGTCAAGAAATACGAGCTCAACGGTAGGGTTGTGTTCGATGACGACACCTACTTGGACGACGTTGACACGGTGATCTATTGCACGGGGTACAAGGCGTCATTCCCCTTCTGGGATGCTAAAACCAACGGGCGTCCGCTGTATGATTACAAATCCGGAAAGTTGATCCGAGGCTACTGGCACACCTTCTTTCAGGATTTCCCAACTCTCGGGATAGTAGGTCTCCCACGCTCCTTAACTTTCAGGAGCTTCGAGTACCAGGCCATTGCACTTGCACGGCTCTTTTCTGACAGAAACTCGCTTCCGCTTCCTCCATTAGAAGAGCAGGAGAGCTGGGAGAGGGAAAGGGAGGAGGAAACGAAGAGGGAAAGGAGAAAGTTCCATGACATCCCGTGGGAGTCCGGGGAGACGATGGCGTGGTTGGAAGGTCTGTTTAGGATTGCAGGACTGGGGACATTGAAAGGGGAGGGCAGGATACCACCTGTGCTGGGAAAGGACTTGATATGGGCACTGGAGCACTTGTCCAAGCACCCCATACCAGGAAAGGGCAAGGATGGGGACCAAGACAGTGACAATGGAAAAGCAGAAGGCGACTGGGTCTTGGTGGAGAGGCAAGAAGGACCCGGGTTAGATTCACTAGATTTCTGATGTCTCTGGGAGGCGAAGATAGATCTGATACAGGCTCGAACTTCTGGTCAATGAGGCGCAGATTATCCCAGAACGTCCCAGTTGGAGCATCCTTTCCTAGAACGGCCAACTTTCTCAGTAGTCCTCTCCACGACTAATGACCTCCTTCACGGTAGGTCTGAGCAAGATTGTCTTGTGTGCGTCATTAATAGGGGATCTTCCAAGTGCACCGAGACGATTACTTACGTGCTCAAATTGGGCTGTGTATGCTCCTTTCTTGTCAACTAGAGGCGGGTAATCTTCAACGATGCCCGATTTGACGAGATTGTTTAGCTGCCCGATTGTTAGCCACTCCAGATACATGTTTTAAGAACTGGGCATGCCATACACCGAGCAGGTATTTCTCCTGTCCGAGCCTGTCCAAATAGCGTCGACAGAATGGAAGAGTGCTGAAATTCTTCTTGATAGTGTTCAACAGCGATTTGGCCGAAGACAGACGCAAGTCCACCATTGGTGCATCACTGCGTAGGGCGTAATGCGAGACTTCACCCTGATCATAAACCCGGCCGGTGCCAGTACTGCCAAAGGTCTCAATAGCAAAGACATCGCCTTCTTCCATCTTAGTGGCGTCGTTCGTCTTTACAGAGGGAACACTCTTAGTGCCGTGGATGCTGTAGGGTAAGATGGTATGGCCGCATATGTTGCGAATCGGCTTGATTGGGTAGGTAGTCCCGTTGATCTCACATTCATAGCTCTCCATAGCCTCCTGAATAAGCCCACCCAGCTCGCCAAGGCGAACATCAATTCCAGCTTCGCGGACACCGGTATTCGTCGCGTCCTTGACAGCTGCAAGGAGGTTGTCATACATGGGATCGAATGCCATGGTGAAGGCGCTGTCGACGATACGACCATTCACATGGACGCCGATGTCAACCTTCATCACATTGGTCTGCTGAAGTACGGTCTTGTTGCCTGCATTTGGGCTGAAGTGGGCGGCAATCTCGTCGAGATTCAAGCCAGTCGGGAAACCCATGCCAGCAATAATAGGATCGCCTTCGGATAACCCATCGTGTCCGACTAGACGTCGTACACTATCCTCAATGCCATTAGCAATCTCGGTGAGCGTCTGACCTGGCTTGATGTGTTTCTGTGCCCACTGGCGGACCTGACGATGCGTCTCAGCCGCTTGGCGGTAATCAGAGAGGAAGTCGCTGTTGATGTTGTCCAGATGGCGCTTCTCTTCGTCGGTAGTGCGATATCGATTCTCATCCATGTATTCGACTTCTTCGCCCTTGGGGTAGTTGTTGTTTGGAAACAATTGGGATATGAGGACTGAAGGAGGTTCAGTCTGGACAGTCAGAGCCTTCTTCTTCTTCTTCTTCTTCTTCTTAGGCTTCTTTTTCTTGTTCTTCTTTTCTTTAGCGCCACCTTGACCAGCGGCAGCAGTGGCTTCAGTGACATGTTCGTCAGCATCGTCATCGGATTCTTCGCCAGAGTGTTCTGCAGCAGCATCGCCGTTTGCGGTTCCGTTAGCACCGGCGGAGTCGTGGGCATTTCCAGATTCTTTGACTAATTACACAAGCCCCTGTTAGCTAGTGTCGCTTCCACCAAATGTGCTCAAGAGACGAATGACACACCACTGAGTGTGTTGAGATCATTGACAGGGGCTTTAGCAGCCATTTTGCCGACAGGAGTGGTCTCTTGGGTTTTGTGGAAAGAAATCAGTCAGCTTCGACGCCAGCCACTGCCTCGCCAAAATATACGAAAACCTTCGCGATATATCCTGGAGGGCCCGATGTAGACTGAAGGGCGCGGGGTTTACAGTGATCCGGGGCAATCATAATTATGCAATGAAGAGGGCTCTTGGCGTTATTACTTGGATATATATTTCTTCATGTACGTGTTTATTAGATGCGATACTGGGAAAATACCCCCACTTTGTGAATAATCATCACTCGTTTTGCAACACCTGAATTTTATGTATTAATTAGGGGAAATCTTTCGCGCCCTTCGATCTACACCGAGCAAAACTCTGACATAAGACTAACCAAATACATCTCTTTGCGCTTCTATCCCTGCGACTGACCGCCCCTCGGTGTTCTCGCTGCATCACATCTCAGGAAACGAGCCCCGCCACGATGGCCGACAATCCATCAGAACCAGCATCCAAGAGGAAATGCCTAGGGGCAGACTGTGGAAATGATACTGGGGATTTACAGTGCCCGAAATGTATGAAGATGGGCATTAAGGATAGCTATTTCTGCTCCCAAGATTGCTTCAAGAGGAACTGGGTTTGTTTCCGTATCCTCTTCGTACTATATATAGTAAGACTTCAGGCTGACAGATCTCGTGTTGTAGAACCAACATAAAATCCTACACAAAACAGCGCAAGGCAAGACACAAAATGGTATCATACACAAACTCATCCCACCTGGGGTTGTCTCTAAACTCGATCCCAGTTACCGGATTTTACAATCCCTTCCCGACATATTCCTTCACCGGCACTGTCCGACCAGTCTATCCACTTTCTGCGAAGCGCACCGTCCCCAAGTCGATAACACAACCTGACTATGCCGAGACTGGCATACCGAAGAGCGAACGGCGCTTGAACGGGACGAAAGTTGACATTCTAGACGCCAAGGGGCAGGAGGCAATGCGCAAGGTTTGCAGATTAGCTCGACAGGTACTGGACATTGTCGCTGCAGAACTCAAGCCGGGCATCACCACAGATTACCTTGACGAGCTCTGCCACAAAGCTTGCATAGAACGGAATGTAAGCGCGACTCGGTTCAAGGATGACGTTAATTATTTCTAACCTTGACAGTCATATCCTTCTCCCTTGAACTATAATCACTTTCCCAAATCGATGTGTACTTCTCCGAACGAAGTTGTTTGTCACGGAATACCCGACCAGCGAATCCTTCTGGATGGTGATATCATCAATCTCGACATCTCATTATATCACGAGGGTTATCACGCCGATCTAAACGAAACGTATTATGTGGGCGATCGAGCCAAGGCGGACCCAGACTCGGTCAGAGTAGTTGAAACGGCACGGGAATGCTTGGACGAGGCAATTAAGCTCGTGAAGCCCGGCACACCAATACGAGAGTTTGGCAACGTCATTGAGAAGCATGCCAAGGCCAGAAACTGCAGTGTCGTCGCGACCTGGGGTGGTCATGGCATCAACACCAATTTCCATCCCCCGCCGTGGATACCTCATTATGGCAAGAACAAGGCAGTAGGGGTATGCAAACCCGGAATGACTTTCACAATTGAGCCCATCCTTGCGCTGGGAAAATCTCGGGACGTTTATTGGCCGGATGAGTGGACAAACGTAACTGTTGATGGCAAACGGACTGCTCAATTTGGTGTGTACAGATAGCATTTCGCGTTTATGGTCCAATGCTAACATATGTATAATTAGAACACACCTTACTTGTCACAGAAACTGGCGTCGAAGTCTTGACTGCGGCAAACGAAAATTCTCCAGGGGGCCCAATACCGATGCCGACGGCGCATCCAACTATGCCTAGTTAAATGACACAGCACCGCATGGAGTTCTGATCAGGTGAATCTGGTATGAAAAGATAGGAGATTCCCAAAGCCTGTACCACGTCCAGGTAGTCAATCAAATCACAAACGGTGTCGTTCTAATGACTCTAAAGTCGAGATTTCTAGAGAACGAAGGCCAAATCGACGGCATAATGACAGAAAAGTCCCCAGGAAGTAGGACCAATTCAAACATGGCCGAAAGACAAGTGACATGAGATGCAAATAATCGAGCGCATGGGTTTTCGGCAGTGTCTTGGGTGAATGTCGGACAGAGACAGGTTGTTGCGTTTCCCGAGAGTTGCCCTCGCCCAACCCCCGACCACACTACTGAGTATTGCTTGGACCCCGTCCAACGCAAAATAAATAAATCAAATAAATAAACCACTAGAGAGCGAGAACTCCCCGGGATGCATTTTTTCAACTTTCTGGTTCTTAGCAATCGTGAGATGCTCGGAGCAGTCTAGGCCTTGGCAAGAACGCGACCTGCAGGGGACATTATATATCCGATGGCCTGGCACGATTGGTGGAAGCCCATACGGTTCGCGAGCTCGGTCGGCGTATACTAGGATACTCGGAGACGAAACTCAAGCGCTCTAAAATCAATTTCCATTTCCAGAGCTGAGCTCCTACTGCTCCAAGCGTAGCTGTCGCTGGGCTTGGGCTGAAGATCCTGGAGCTCGGCTTGACGCGGGCTGATCTTGGGCTGAGGTCGGTATCTTACCGTCTATGCCTACCACCCAAGCCTTGCGCTCACTTGGTGTTGCATCCTTACTGCTACTCAAGGGTTACGCCTAGCCCCTGGGGACACGGTAGAATGGATGCACACATGGTGGTCTGCTCGAGGCCGACCTCCACAGATTCCTAGGTCGGGAGGAGTTGGAGGGATGGGTGGGGGATCCGAGGAAGTTATTTAGGACATATTCAGTCGAGTATCTACAGCGGGTCATCTTGGAAGAGAAGAAATGGGAGATATAAGACACATAAATATCAACGATTATACGTGGGCGGAAGTACACGGAGATCTCCGCCAGTGGACCCCCTCAGAGATGAATGATGTTAGGCCTACTTTTGGCAACCGAGGAAGAGCTACAGGGGGACGGATTCTGGGGTACTCAACAGCTCCTTCGCGGGGATTCCTTCCTCTGTTTCCTGTCCTATTTAGTACCCTTCAATGTATTGCTCAAATGAGGATGCTCTCCAAGGCTGCCAACCCGTGCAAGTACCTACTGTGGTGGTGCTAGTGGAGGTGGCGGTGTCAGCACGAGACCAGGCCTGGCACGTGATGGGAAGTCATGCCAATTTATTGGTGGGCTTCTCTCACATGTAACATGTACCTACCTACCTACATTAACATCTCGCTCGTCCACTTCACACGCCTGTCATCCATCTCAATAAAAATGGCACCCTCACGTCCCATATCAACCAAGCCTCCTTCGTCCACACAGTCCGCTCTAATCGGTTCCTTCATTCCACGGGCCGCCCCGTCCAGCATAACAACCGCGTCCAGGCGCAGGGACACACTCCGGATATCCAAGAAGCCGCCGACAGCCAAGTCCAAGTCCAAGTCCAAGTTGTCAGCCTCAGACGACCGAGTGCTATCTGACGTGCTCCTCGCCATCAAGCCCGTCCACCTAGCCAACATCGCTAGCCGGCAGAAGAACCACGAGTATCGCAAATACCGGCTACGCGATGAGGTTACGCGGCTGTGGCTGTACGAGACGCGCGGGGGCGGCGAGGGTCGGGCGTGTATTACGTAGGTCACTTTATTCTTTATTCTTTCTCTTTTTCTCCATCTCCGCATCTATCTCCTACTAATATATTTTCAGACACATCGCGGTCATCCCACCGTCGGTACGCCGTACCCCTGGTACCGTGCCGACTGAGCCTTTCGGCATAGGCAACGACGACTTCAACGCCGGGCGTAAACAATCCAAGTACGGATACCCCGTGCTTGAGCTCTACGAGCTGGTCCGCCCCGTGACGCTGGCGGAGATGAAGAGCCGGTGGGGCATGGGCGGCGCGCCCATGGGATGGCGCTACGTGGGCACAGATCTGTGGCAGGACCGGTGGGGAGACGATCAAGAGAGGGCTGGGAAAGTCAGCCGGGTGTTTTAGGGCCTGGTGGAATATCGCGGTCTGTAGAACGAAGTAATTACTGCAGCTCCGCGCTCAGCCCTGGCTAAAACGGCTACAGCCTAATCCTTGCAGAGTCAGAATTGAGCTTGCTTCTCCTGGTCCAGAATTGCGTCGTTCGGAGCCGTAGTGCTGATTGGAGAGGGCGAAAGGGGGGAGAAAAGCAAAAAGAGGGCAGGCCTTGGATGGAAACGTTCGTGAAGGACAGCAGGCAACGGAGGGATCATTTCTATTCGCAGCTCGTCGACATTCTGGACCAGTTGCGCCAGCATGAGTTTGACTACGCAGGTTCGCTGATGCCTGATCCTGGTGGCGAATTGGATCCCCTGGGTCGGCTTATCCCCCATTAATTGACATCACAAACCCGGGCGCCATTGAGGGCGAGCAATGGGCTAGACATCTTCCTCGGGTCGCTACGCAATAAACCTGCGCACCATGGATCTCGGCAAGGCCGTTTCTATCGGCGAGCCCTTCGTCGGATCGGAGACGTTCGCTCCGATGCTGAGCCGGGAGGCCTCCTATAAACTGTCTATGCTGATGTCCACCATGGTATGCGCAAGCTCAAACTCAACCTCAAACTTAATGCAACTCGCCGATGAGTCACGCCGTGAACCCGGCGAGTCGCGCTATCTCTGGGGGTTTATTCGGGGGGTTTATTTAGGGTCGCGCTCTCTCGACGGCCAACCTGTACTTGGAAGGAAAGATAACTTAACTTCCACCCCTCTTCGATGGCCCTCCTCTTGGTCTGACCAACGCCGGCAGCGCCCTCCACGCACCCATGAATAAACCTTTTTTTCAGGCGCACGAGACACTAAGCCGTTTGAATGGCACGCCACTCCTAAGGGTACTAATTTAATGCCAGACAGGACCTTAATTGAGGATCTGGCAGCGCTGGTTGGTCTAGATAATTTCCGTCTAACTTCGAATTAGGCTCCCGAGAGCGCAGTTGCACTGGTCTTTCATGGCTGCTACCGATACATCTCCTCGTCAATCTTGCCCAGCACGCTCTGTGCTAACTTCTCATGTCGAAGCCCATAGAGTTGTTGGAAGCTCATTATCATTGGTCGCCACTTATCCGGATCGATGCGAGCAGCGTATCCTTCCAGCCGCAACTCGTCCCGAATATGAACACGGCGTACCACTACCTCCAGTCCAATACATGCACCAAGACGGCCGGGCTCGTTCCCGAACATGTCATGCTTGGCCACAAGTTCGCACTCCATCTGAACAGGACATTCCTTGACCCGCCATGGCTCGATTAGGTCCGACTTCAGTGGCGTGATCTGTGCCCTCTGCCATTTATCCTTGACGTGGATATACCCCCTCCCTTTCTTGGCCAGCGGGACAATCTCGGTGCCAGTAGTGCACGCCAACGCGTTCACCGCCGTTGTCATGAAGGCTGAATCGTCGGGGAGGTTGAGGACGCATTGTCTTGTCCGGAGGATGTTCTGGGGCGTTTTCCCGCTCGAGCCTAGTCCCAGCATGCAGTTCTGGCCGAGCCAAAACACAGAAGACATGGGTGCAACGTTGGACGTGCCATCTTCGTTTGTGGAGGTTATCAAGACGACTGGAGTGCCCCAATAGAGGATGGCCGGGTCAATGACCGAGTGCGTTCGGGGTTCATGGGCGTGGTCCATATGGAAGTCTTCAGGTGAAATCCGCGGGCTCAACTGTGCTGGTATGGGAAGTCGAGGTGTCCTAGACTTTGAAGATGCTAGATATATTTATAGTTGCGACGTCGTAAAAGACAGTGTCATCTCGCCCTGGTTGTTGAAATCGAATCCACATAACTGACGATAGGGGTTTGCTGTGATTGGCTACTTTGGGAGCAACACCTAGCTAGGCACGCCCTTTCGCTGTCAAAAAGAAGCCCCATTGGCCACTTCAATAGCAACACGCACCCATAATCCCGTCTCTGATACTTAATTATTAGGTCATCTTCAAAACCCAATTATCCAAAACTTCCCAACTTCAGTCCCAGTTCCGCGCTTACCGATACCGCCGAATTGTCGGTCCTCCATCATGTTCGACAATGATCAAACCCGCTGGACAGCAGTGAGAACCCGCAACCATGCTGCAGATGGCGCATTTGTCTACGCCGTCCGCACGACCAAGATTTACTGCCGACCGATATGCAGCGCCCGTCTCGCGCGACGGGAAAACGTCACATTCTACCCCAGCTCAAAGGATGCCGAGTCTCATGGCTTCCGACCATGCAAGCGTTGCAAACCAGGGGACCGCGGCACGATCCCCGACTCGGTCGCCGTGCAGAAGCTCAGATTGTTCCTCGAGGGGCGATCTGGCCAATTTGACGCCTCGACGCTAGACGAGATGGCGAGCCAGGCTGGGATATCGAAATGGCATTTCCACCGCTTGTTCAAGAAGCATGTCGGGTTGACGCCGGCGGAGTACATTCGGTCATCTCAGGACCGGTGTCTGACGGAGCGCCGTGAGCTGGCCGATAGCCAGTCGACTGGGGCGTCGGCAGAAATGAGCTCGATCGACGGCAGCGAGTCTGCAGTGGCAGATTACTGGAGTGGTATTTGGTCGGACGTTGACATGCAGGAGCTTTGGCAACTTCCATCCTGGGAGGTGGACGATGATTGGCTTTCTGGCTTTATGCCAACGCCAGAGACAGAGAGTGATGGACAAAGGGAGGAGTGGAACTCCCTTCTATTCCGACCATAGGTTAAACGAGAAGGTCACTTACCAATCAGTCGGTCACTTAATTCCCCCGACGCCAGAATCAATTAGTTCACTGTCATCCAACCAACATGACAGTACCCCTGTCATATTCTGAAGCTTCTAGAATACAGATGCAGGTACCCCTTTTGATAGCTTCTTCAGCCGGTCCTCAGATGCCGCAAAGCACTCAGGGAGTCCAGTGTCTTCCCACTCGCCACCCCGAATGATCTTAACCAGACCAGGAGCACAGTTGAAGATACGCGCCATGCCTGTAATTGTGAACCACATTAGTATTCTTTTCACTTTCGTAATATGCAGACCCTGACAAACTCACCGTGGCCGTTGAACCCGGCACAGATATACTGGCCCGGCAAGCTTTCCAGCTTCCCGACGAAGGGCACCGAGTCCGTTGTCATTCCGATGATCCCCGTCCACGTATGCAGCAGCCCCTCGCCATGCCTCAGCCTCCCTGGCTCGCAGACGGGGAAACACGATTCGAAGCTCCGCATTGCCTCCCGCCTTACTTCGGCGTTGAACCCGACGCGGTCGTCGGTACTCAGCCGGCTCTCAGACGCCTCCTTGCTGATATTGGGATTTTCTCGCGACGTGCCCAGGATGATGATGCCATCGGCCCTGCGCTGCATTACCGAGTTGAAGTGCTTCAGGCTGTGCCGGAGTGAGAATGTGCTTGGTAGGAGATTGTCGCCTGACAGGCTTGGAGGTGGCACAATCGCGTGTGCCTGGGCGCGATTTGGGGTGACGAAAGAAGCAAGCCGGGGAAGGAGGTGGGCGGCGAAGGCATTGGTGCAGTGGACCACGTTCTGCGCGGCTGTACTGCCTCGCGGAGTCCGTAAGTCCCAAAGAACCTGCACATCCGACGAGAGGGATGACTTTATCACCTCATTCACTGGACAATGGGTGTAGAGTCTCGCTCCGGCCGAGATGGACTGGTGAAGGAGCCACTGAGCCAGCTTTGCCGGATGGCTTGATCCTGCCGGCCATTGGTACGCCGCCACAGCCTGGTCGATGCCCGTGATCCACCTAGCCTCGTCGCCCTCGTATATCTTGATGTGCGACACATCCCCTCCGGCATCCTTGAACTCCTGGAAGCTCCGAGCGTTGAAATCGGCAAAGTCCCGAGTGAGACAGACGTCGAATGTCGTCGCCGGGTTGAAGTCGCAGGGCACACTGTGCTGCTTCACGAACTCGTCGATCTGATGGAAGACAGACCTCTCGTTGGCGATGATCTTGAGAGCCTGCTCGGTCCCATGAATCTTCCGGTAGACCTGGAAGCCACGGAAGGCGTCCGGTCGGACATGCCCCGCGTTCCGGGAACTTGCGCCACTTGCAGCCTCTCGAGCTTCGAAGATGGAGATGCTGCTCCCCTCTACCCCTGACCGAATCAGCTCAAAGGCAGTTAGGGCTCCCGAGATGCCTGAACCGATAATTGCATACTCGCTGCTTGCCGGCACCTCGGCGTCCTTGTTCGCGTTGAGATGCGGAAAGGAGCGGGTTGTTTGCTGCCAGAAGGAGAGACAGGGGTCTGGGACCGGCAACCCGCTGGGCTTTGTGGCATCGATGATGGTCATTTTCGTTGTTTTGACGGATGCTGCGTATCAGGGAGGCCAATATCTGACTTGGTTCGTCTGGCGGCAATGACGTTGCGACCCGAGTTTACCTATGCACAGACCACCTGCACCTCGAGCAAAAGGCACATGCACCCGCCTTGATTACTCCTTCCCTCCTCCAATGCCTTCTCTTTGCTTTTCCTTTCCACAACATTTATTCACATCTCAATCCGGAACCCAACCTTGGGACGCAATTCTACCACGCAATCTCTTCTCCCAGCCGTAAACCACAATCTACTTCTCCGTTAAACCTTGTGCACCTTCCCGCTGAGCTTTTTGCAGCGGCGGCGTCGCAGCTGCCTAACCAGACTCATATCCCGACACCATGCCCGTCTGCACAGGGGATGGCGTTGCTCCGACCCCGTTGTGCTGGAGCCCGGCGCCAGGCACGGTCGACGTAGCCGTAACGCTGCTTGCTAGAGCCGCCTACCCCGATGCAGACGTACGCGTACGTACTAAGCTCCAAGTCCTCGCAGATCGACCCAAAGGTCAGCCTCATAGGAGAGGAATCAAGAGGCATCATCACAAGACATCATGACAGTTAGAGAGCATAAGGAGCTCCAAGACTTGACATGGCAAAACACTGTCTATGGACGGCGGTGAGTGCTTACTATATGCTACGTTGATGCAGATAATTGTTGCTAATAGGGCGCAGCATGTGCAATTCTCGAGCTTTGTTTCTCCGACAATGTCCTTTCGCATACTAGGACAAACCATCCCCGTTTCAGCATGAGAGCAGTCTGAGTATCAGTGTCCAAAAACTTGAGAAACTGGAGCAGAGTTTTGTCAGACCCTAGGAAGCGATCAAGGATTTACTATACAAAGAGTGGGAACAGGAACTAGGGTTGTAAAGGCATAATATTTGGGTTAGGGAGTGTTGGAGTTGGAAAAGTTTGGTTTTGAAGACCTATTGCTAGGGGGTTGTGGGCAGGGGCATTTAGCCATTCAGGCAGGGGCAATTAGCTATTCGGGCAAGGGCATTCAACTATTCAGGCAAGGGCATTTGGCTAGCCGTCGCTGTCACCATTGCTAAAACACTCTTGCTGTTGCTGTCTGTTGCCATTGACGTTGCCGTCGCAGTTGCAGTCGCTTGTTCTGTGGCTGGCAGCTGGTCTTTTCCCACTCCTTTGGCTTGGCTGCTATTACCCTAAGATTCACCCGGTTGCGCACTGCTTTTGCGAAACCTGCACGCCGTGGAATTGAGCCAATTTGGTATTAATCAATTGCTTTCAGATGGGCGACATGGTTTTTTAATTTTCTGCATGATGCAGCGGCTATGTAGTTGAGAAATTCAGTTGTTTTGCTGCTTCTGCTCAAGTCTACGGAATAGTGCACTGAGATTTAGGCTTGGCAAGTAGTACTAACTATCTAAAGCAGGGACTGCGCGGCCAAACCATTCCTGGTTTTTCTGCGACTCTAGCTTGGGTAAAAGTAGTATCAATCAATTTCTCTCGATTGAGCGACAAACATTCCAAAGTTTGGAATCGAGACAGCGATGTTGCTGCTGGTAAATCGGGTTGTTTCCCTGGGAATATCCGTTGCTTCAGAACCACGTGAGAACCCAACCTGCTGAGATTAGCAGCGTTTGGCAGTGGCACAGCTGCAAGAGTAGTTTGGTCCACCTGTGATGTGACGTCCGCATTAGAGCATCTTATGAATAGAAACTAGCATCAATCAATTACCTTGTATTAAGCGACACAAAGATAGAGATTTTCACATTGCTAGACACAGGTAGTCGTTGGGAAATCGACTGTTTTGCAATTGGTGCACGGTTTGAAGACCAACCGGCTCTGCACCGCGCCGCCGCCACTACGTTGGCACCTGACAAGAAAATACCGCCGGTACGTACCATCAAATCCCTGCCACCTGATCTCCCAGTTGGCGGTCGTTAGCTTGAACTTTGAAGCCGCCCTTCTTCTCGCCGACTCGTCGATGACGGCCTGATTCTCAAAGACCTTGGTCTTTGCCTTTTTGACGGCGGCGGGAGCTAGGTCCATCCTGCAGCTGATTAGCATGTGTTTGATCCTACGTCTGCAAGGCGGACTAATTATATCCCAGAACCAAGCCGCAAATGCCACCCTGCTGCATCGTCCAGAAACTGCATTGTAAGGTGGGAAGCTGGACTGCGGTGTCTGCGTTAACGAGAACCGGGAGAATTCCGTCAGCGTGAAGTCTCGTCGCTCGTTCTCGATCAACCGCAGGATCCGGTCGACCAAACTGATGCCGAACGAGGCAAGATATCGGCAGTAGCCATCTTCCTCAGCTAGTCTCCGCTTGTCTAGCCGTTCGATTTGCAAGGCCTTCCTGATTTCGGCAGTCGGCATTTCCAGAGCCGCTCTCTGCAGTATCTCAGCTGCCTTGAGTTCCTCTTCCTTCCTGGTAGCGTCTGGTGTCTCGCATAGGCCTGGGTCTGGCGTGACTGACAATCGTTTTGCAACCTCTCGAATAGTCATCTTGTGCTCTTGGAACAGATAGTGGAGGACACTATGGAAGTACTTGTATCGCACAACTTCCTCGTCAAACCGTAGTATCTCGTCGTTTCGCATGAAGAAGGCTCGTCTGTGCTTGGCAGCAATTTGAGGGCAGGGCGTTGTTGCCAAGAAAAATGAAATGGCAGTAGATCTCAAACCTAAACAAACCATCCTGATAGCCGTAAACTGGTTCGAGTCCGAGGTAGGCGTAGGGCTGTGTTGTATAGCTCTGATACCTATAACCAATAGGGATCGAGGTGCAGGCAGACGTGGCTTGTAAGTCGGGAGGAGAGGTGGTTAGCCTGTGCAATGCCGTCAAAGAGCTTGACTACGCACAGGAGGCTGGTGAAACATCTCTCGCGGATTCCATTTCCGTGTGACCTGTCATACCGTAAAACGTTCAATTTTATCGCAAGGCAGCTTTGCACAAGGACCTGGACGTCCAAGTCGTGCTCGCTTGTAATGCCGGGGCGTCCTCGTTGATATAGGCGAAGCCAGGTAGCAGTCAAGGCGTCGTTCCAAGCACCTACGTACATTTCTGACACCGCAGCCTCCGCAGCCTCCCACAGTGAACTTAGAATCCAGTTCCGAGCACAATTTAAACCGGTGTAGACTGATAGGAGATGCCGAAATTAGTGCTAGAAGGGCCTTGAGAGAGCATTGTGCCAGCACCATATCGTGGAGCTCGGCAGGGAGATTCTCGAAGTAAGACATGGACGGGTTGGACTGTGTGGTTGGTTGACTTGAAGTTTGGTGCTTTAAGGAAAAGAAAAATGTTTGGTTGGGGCAAGAGCTGGTATATATATCTGAGAAGGCCAAACCTTGTGCTGGAAGTCTAGTCAAAGTAAGGTTTGCCTAGGTATGTAACAAAATCCGAAACTTTAAAACATGCCTCCTCCATGCCTCCTCCAGGGTTAGCCAAAATTCCGGATTTCCCACCCGGTTGTCGTGACTGGGGGCGGTGGCTGCAGGCGTGAGAGCATAAGCACATACATAAAACTACTTCCTCTCGCTGTCGTTCAGCCACTTATACACCACCCTCGCGTCCTTCCCCCGATATCTATCATCCGCCATGGCCTCTCCAAATGCCTGCAACGTCGGCCCATCCAGCACTGTTCTGGCACCCACCATTTCCGCCAACCTAGTCCCCATCCCCAACACCTTGGCGCAAAGCTCGATCCTGAAACCTCCCTCATACCCCCTACTGCTCGGCACATTTGCCTGCACCCCCGGCACGGGGTTGCTCTTGCTTGTAACCCAACACTGCCCACCACTCGCATTGATGACATCTGTCAGCAACTTTGGGTCTAGACCGGCTTTGACGCCAATATTGAGGGCCTCGGAGGCGGCGAGCGAGGTGATGGCGCTGAGGTAGTTGTTGATAATCTTGAAGGCGGTGCCGGCACCGACATCGCCGCACAAAAAGATGCCGTTGGGGTTACCCATGTGCTGCAGGTAGGACTTGACGATGGGGAAGACTCGGGGGGACGCATCGGGATTGCAGCCGGCCATGAATGTGAGCGTGCCGTCTTGGGCACCCATGGGTCCGCCGGAGACAGGGGCGTCGACAAAGGTGAGAGCGTTGGAGAGCTTAGATGCGCTGGTTTCTTGGGCAACCTTGGCGACGGCGAGGATGGTGTCGGTCTCGATTGTTCCGCATTCCATGATCAGTTTTTGTTCGGGTGATGAGGAGTCTTCTTCTGCTGCTGCGACGGCGCCCGCGAGGATACCGGTTTGCGGGTCGAGGTAGACGGCCTTGACGGCGGCGGAGCCAGGGAGCATGGTGATGACGGTGTTCTGGAAGTGACATGTAAGCGTTCTGGACCGTCATCCGGGTGTATATTAGGGTTTTCTTACAGCTGCCTTTGCCGCCTCAAAGCCGTTGGTAATGACCTCGACGTGCCCTTTGCCCTCCGTCTCTGCTTTGAATCGGTTTAGGGCTTCGGTGCTGACATCGCAGATGAGAAGTGTCTTTTCAGGACCAAGACCGGCGTGGAGGTTCTTCGCCATGGGATAGCCCATAACTCCGAGGCCTAAAAACGATGATCAGCCATTCTACCCGCCATCAGGGAGTATTCATGTTCATTTTCCTTACCGATAAAGGCGACCGTGTCTGCAGGCGAAGAAGGCATTGTGTTTTGCTGTTCGTCCGCTTCTGCTCGCAGTTGAAATTACGGATTAATAGTGGAAGAAACGAGTAGAAACAAACTCTTGGAATAATGGAGGAAGAATAAAATAAAAATGAACAAACATTCGGCTGCAGAGTCGGTGCCTCACCAAGTCCCACCATCACCGATCATCGTTAACCAGGGGGGTTGATGTTGTGCGGGGATGTTTCTTGACCCCGCAGTTCATTCTACGGATCCATACATCATCGCCGTTATCGCCGTAGGTTGGGGAAAGGGACCAAGAAGTATGTGGGGGATCCCCAATGGATGTGGGGGCTACCCAACCCCACGTTTGTGCAGTTACGGTCAGTCATGAAGGGAGTAATTATCTCTCCAAAAAGAAGGATCGTTGTCCGACTATGGAGCCAATCAGGGACTGGTTCTTGGTTGTTGATCGGAGGCTCTCAAAGTGCGTGGCATTTCTGTCCCGTTGCTGGATCCTCTCCAACGAAAGGTGTCCCAGGATATGACCAGATACACTAATGTTGTTTGTCATGGGAATCCTTCAGGCAACGGTACTTGATTTCTTATTTATAAGGCAGACCGGCCAAGTAGCAAAAGGACTTGCGCATAGCTCGAGCAGGTGTATGGGAAATAGACAAATTGTTACAATTATTTACAGCTTTCCTGGCCAGAATCGATGTTTGTTCTGTTCCCTCCACACCCCGTCATGCGCCAGCACTACCTCCACATCCACCTCCCCTCCCTTTCTCTTCTCCTTCAAAAACTCGGCGATCCAATCCAGTGTCTTCCTCGCCACGCCCGTATCCACATGCACACTCCTCATCCCGCCCCTGCCGTCCTCGTACATGGCGATCCCCTTCTCGCCGCTCAAGATCCTCGGATCGTGGCAGCAGTCCCCGCCCAAGTAGACATATGTGCGCTCGCCGGTGCGAACGAGCAGGTTCACGTGGCCGTAGAGGTGACCCGGGCTGTCAATGGCATAGACGCTGCCATCGCCAAAGAGATCCAGCGCGTGAGGGAATCCCGCAAGGGGCTGCCAGGACCAGTTCTCGGCAGAAGGCGGCAGCTTGGCGTGTGTGTCTGTAGGCGTGGGCGTGTGTTTGGGGGCATATGGGCCGTCGTCGTATGCGCCACTGCCACTCCTAGGAACGGGTGGGAACTCGACAGTTCGAGACGCGGGCAGCTCATCGTCGTTGAAAATCTCGGCCGGATACAGGGGGCCGGCGCCGTGCTTCAACAAGTCTAGCGTGCCGGACCCGACGGCGAAAGTGGCGCTGGGAAAGTCGGATGGTGTGCCGACATGGTCCCAGTGGACATGGCTGAGAATCACCATGTCAATGTCGCTGTCCGGGTCGAGAAGGACCTCTCCCGTAGCCCCATCCTTCGTATTACCTCCGCTGTTGCTTCCCATGGCGCCCCTGCGGAGACTGGCAGCGCAGTCCGGGTCTGTGGTGATGGGCCGTCGCTGCGCGATGTGCTCCCGCTGCTTGGGTGGGTAGCCATTGAGGTCGCGCTTGACGCCGAGGTCGAAGACAAGATTGGTAACATGTCTTGCGCCGGCTTGTTTGGGAGAGGGCGATGGGTGCCGGATGAGGAACGAGAGGGAGGGGACTGTGGCGCGCTTTTCCGGGTCGGCATCGGTAACGAAGAGGCGCTCGGGGAGGGTGAGGTGGCCGGCGTCGAGGGCCGAGACAGTTACGTAGACGGGCGGTTTGGTGTCTGTTGTGGTCACCATGGTTGTTTGTTGTTGGTAGTTTGTATTGCCTTGAACGCGAATAATTGCTACGAACTGAAGATCGCCATCCTGCAATGCACGTAGGTGGTGTGATAATATGATGATATTCGTTCACCCCACTTTGCCAGTCCATTTCATGACAAGCTCCGCAATATTCCTTCAACAATAATTATGCACTTTTCCATAGATTCCCATAAAATGTAGAACAAGGTACGGATAGGGAGATATGAAATGAGGGGGTGGGTCAGTTCGTCATAGGCGGGGAAGGGGCCACTGTGGAGCTGGCAAGCGGGGGAAGAAGAGGGGGATAAGCTTGGAATGTCGGTAGTTCTTCATTATCTTCTCCATATCGACAACCCCTGCTTATGCTATGCATGCATGGGGACTACCAGTAACTCTGGAGAGGGCATTCAAGGAAGAAATCGCCTCGAAAAGAGAATGAACTGAAACGTACACACTATATGCACAACATTGGTTCCTCTGTAATTACATCTCAATCATCACAGTGTAACCGCATCACTGACATATTAACGGAAGCAAATAAGGAACAAAAGAAGCAAGCAAAAATGGCAGCTTCAGCCGGTCCCCTCCCACAGCTCATGAAGGCACAGTTCCTGGACGCCTTCAACACCCCCTATGCACTCCGCTCCGTCCCTCTCCCGGAGCTCAGCTCCCCCCACGACATCCTTATCAAAGTCGACGCCGCCTCCTACTGCCACACCGATGCCGTCCTCGCCGCCGGGCAGATGCTTCCCAACCCGCCCTCGTTTCCGCACATCGGCTGCCACGAATTCGCCGGAACCATTGTGGGCCTACCACCAAACTCCTCCCCGTCCTCTTCTCCCTCGTTCCGGATAGGCGACCGAGTCGGCGTGCCGGGCCGCTCGTTCCACCCCTGCGGCACCTGTTTCGAATGCGCATCCGGTCCCACCCCCGAAGAGCCCGACGCTGATCCGCCCGGGTACTCTGTGTACTGCCCACGCTCGCATAACAACGGGCTGAGCGGCCCCGGTGGTTTCAGGGAGTACGCCGTCGTGGACAGCCGTCAGGTGGCGCCCATCCCAGAAGGCATGTCTGCAGTCAACACGGCCGCGCTCATGTGTGCCGGTGTCACGGTCTACGCCGCCCTGAAGCGGTGTGGTTTGAAACCCGGGCAGCGAGTCGGTGTCATGGGGTGTGGCGGGGGATTGGGCCATCTGGGGCTCCAGTTCGCCGTCAACATGGGGCTCAAGGTCGTGGGCGTCGACAATGCGGATGCGCCGCTGCAGCTGGCCAGGAGCATCGCCGAGGGCGCAAGGATAGTAGACGCAAGAGCCGAAAAGGCAGCCGACGTCGTGACTCAGCTCGGCCAAGAAGACGGGAAACAGGACAGGGGGGACATGGGCCTGGACGCCGTCATCGTTCTGCCAGAGAGCCAGGCGGCCTTTGACTACGGCGTCGCTCTCCTCAGAAACCACGGAAAGTGCATCGTCGTCTCCTTTCCGGAGAAGGGATTCCACCTCTCCGCTCGAGATGTCGTATTCCGGGACATTTCCATCGTGGGTAGTCTCGTGGGCAGCAACAAGACGTTGAGAGAGATGCTGCAGTTCGCTGCAGAACATAACGTCAAGGCAAACATCAAGACGTTCCCCCTGTCTAGATTGAACGACTTGGTGACCGAGTACCACAGGGGACGAGGTGGGAAACTTGCCATTGACATGGCTCTTCCCGATGGACCCTGAAGTGGTCATAGAAGAAGGAGTAGCAGCATCGGCATTTAGGTAGCTTCCAACATGTCCGCGTAAATGTTCAAAGAACTCCCAATCACATCGACTATCGCCCATGTCTGAGCCCCTCTGAAGATGGTTGCCCACACCCTCAACACCCCTGCATTGAGGTACCTGGCCATCTCCGGGAGGTCTAGTGTCTTCTCGGGCGGGACCGCGAATTCCGTCTCGTCCAGCACTGCCTTGACGAGTGACAAGATCTTCATCTCGTCTCCACCGATGGGAGGATCGGCATTTGGTCCCGACACCGATACGGCCTCGAGCCATTTACTGAGGAGCAAGGCGCACTCCAGCGAGCACAGCGAGTGCTGGATCGACCAGACAAAGGTCTGCGTCTTGGCCACGAGCCGAATCCCCATCTTGACCGGGATGCTCAGCGCGTGGGCCGAGTGGAGGAGTGCACGCACCAGCTTCGGAGTCCGCTTGATCGTCGGCGTGTCTCGCAGCGCATTGGCGATCTGCAGGGGATCGCGCGTGCCAAGTGCCCGCCCCGGGCCGGTGTCCAGGTTGAGCCGGATGTAAGCCAGGCGAAGGAGGGCCGTCGAGTTGAAGGCCACGGGGCCGTTGGGGTTTGTGGGATCAAGGGATGATTCCGGGTTGCGCTTCCAGCCTGACTGCCAGTTTCGCAGGGCCTGTTCGAGTGGCGCGACATCCTCGGCCGCCAGCTCGGACGAATCGAAGCGACACCTCGCCGTTTGCCGGACAAAGAAGATGTGCTGAATAATGGCGTGGATCAGGACATAGTTTGCAAGTGACGAATGCCACTTGGTCATGTCTTTGCCACTGCTCGAGAACAACCATCGCAAGGTATCTTGGAATTGCGAGGGTTCGCCAGCTCTGCGCCTCGCCTCTTGCCATTTGGCCTCGGTGTCTGCCTTGAACTCGGCAGCACTGCAAGGGAGCCGCATCTTGACCTCCGAGTTGAGAATGAGCGGCGGTATGTCGTACACAATGCAGTGGAGGTTGAAGAAGCAAAAGACGATGTATTTCGTCCTCATCACAGATTCACACCGCGCCCACTCTTCCCAGCCGCCGGGGGATTCGTGTGAAGGGTGGTCCGAACGCAGACCGTCGTCTCGAACAATGCTTGCAAGGATGCTCTGTATCGCAAGTGCTTCCCGGAGAATCTCCTTATGCTTGGCCCAGGTAGCCATGGCCATTAGAAGCAGAAGCGCCTGGGCCGATTGCATCAGATCCTCCTTTGGTGAGAAGCTCACCGTCGAGGTATCGGGCTCTGATGGAAGCCCGAGTGGTCCGTTGACCGTATGTCCGGGGCTCGAAGCGAGTCGATCAAGCACGGCAGGGCTACTCATGGCAGATCTTGCGGAGTAGACCGAGTGATCTGGCTCGTTGTCTCGCTGAGCCGATGCAACTCTTGCATCTCTTTTCCTTATGCGTTCACTTGCAATAGCCCTAGCCGCATGGAAGAGCTCCACACCCTGTTCTGCCTCAAAACAGTACTGTGCACCGACAGCGGCCATGGCGAGGAGAAGCTCGACCGAACATTCCCTGACGGACATGGACGGGATGTGGAGGAACGGAAGGTGCTCGTGAAAGCCATCAACATATGCACGGATGTAACGTGAAAGAGACAGCCTCGTGGGGATCTGAAAGTGCAGAGGAACGCTATCGAATTGGGAAATCATGTGCAGCATAAACTGCCTGTCTTCGTAGGATATATCGAATATTCTTCTGGTGTCCGTCCGTTGACGGTGCATTTCAGGGTGCTGATGGTGGTGGTGGTGGTGGTGATTGCTGTTGTTCGGGTCGGAAGTCTCTTCGTCTGGCTGGAGAGACGGCAGTCTTGAGCCAAATCTGGAGAAGGAATTCGGCTCCTCCAGTGTACCTTGTCCGTGACCGAAGTTGTCGTGGCTTTCCTCGTTGGCGTTATTGCACATCTCGCCCGAGTTTATGAAGGAATCGAATGAGAAAAATGGCATGGGCTGTTCCGTGGTTACCATAGATGTGAAATGGTAGGATGCCAACGGTCCAGTCTCGAGGAACGCGGCGAAGCTGTCAAAAGATTCGTCCAAGTCGCCATGTTCCAGAGGGAGCCTTGGACCCCCGATGTCCATGTTCATGGACGGGGGCATGGTTTCTGGTTGCGTGACACCCTCGGCAAAAGGTTCCGCAGGAATTCCAGTAGGTGCAGCGTAGGCTGCTGAGGACGATGCAGCCAAAGCATCTTGGAAAGCCGTCTGTTCTGCAGCCAATGAAAGGGTTGCCAGAGGAGACTCGTAATCCTGGGCTGATGGCATTTGCCCACCCGAAGACTCGCCCATGAGATGAGGGTGTGTCCGTAAGTCAACATTAAACGGACTCCTAGAATTGCCCCCTGTTGCTGGAGCTGACGAAGGTGATGGCAGCGGTGCTCCATGATTCTGCCAGTCATTGACACCGCTAGAGGAGATTCCTGGTCGCCTGGTCGCCTTCCGTGAGAGCCGAGAATGGTCCAGATCAGGGGGGCGAGTGGTAGCCTGCGGGGGCTGAGGCTCTCCCCCTTCTCTGTTGTGTGTGAGTCGTTCATGGCGGATCAACAGGTCACTATAATGAGAGCATGGATGTGGTTAGTATGACGTCTAGTGAAGGAAGTACCGTTTCGGTTGCTTTTTGTCATGCACGTATGTATGTATGTATGTAGGTATGTATGTACAGTACAATACCTTCTGGTGAATCGAGATTTGCATCGACCACAAGCGAATGGTCTTTCCTGCGTGTCTAAAGAGAGAGAGGGGGAGTGTAAGAGAGAGGAACAATTGCTAGGCAAGTGTTTGGCAGGGCCTGGGTGGATGCTGCTGGTTGGGGTGGATTGGCCAACTTACGGGTCCTCTCGTGCCGCTGCAGATGTTCAAGGCGGCCGAAGAATCTCTGGCAGCGAATGCATTGGAAGCGCTTTGGCTTTTTGGGTGGCGGCTGATCTTCATCATGTACGACAATGTTGTCGACGATGTCACTGGACGGCATGGCCCTCACGATTGGAGGGGGGGCAGGTCGGTCGCGTGGAACGGAGAGGGGGAGACGCGGTTAGGTGTTTCTTTTCGTTCGCCAACGTAACGGGGGAGGAGGTCGGCAGGTCGGTCAATCCGAGGCTAATTTCATCCGTGCTATCCCGGTAGGTCCTTGGTGCCAATTTGTCCGAAATCAGGTCACGTGAACAGTCCCAAAGGCGAGGACCGGATGGAAGTGGAGACAAGGGGGAAGCGGGGTAATCCGTCACTGCCCGCGTCAAGCTTCGAATCTGGGGCCGATTCTAATTATCTTATCCCGTTGCTGTTTGGCTAACCCTGAAGTGATAACATATCCCAAACAATCTCTATGCCACCTTGTTCCCCAGCTCTCTTGCCATCTCTCCCTTCTCAGCCATCTCGTTCAGAACCTTTTCGGCCGTCTTCATGGCGTCTACGCCCGCCGGGACACCGCAGTAAGTCGTGCAGTGCAGGATGGCCTCCCTGATTTCCAGCTCCGAGAGCCCATTGTTCCTCGCGCCGCGGACGTGTACGGCCAGCTCGGGTCCGCGGTTGAGGGCCATGAGCATGCCGATGTTGAGTAGGCTGCGCTGCTTCTTCTCGAGGCCCGGTCGTGTCCACGCGTAACCCCAGCACCACTCAGTGACGAGCTCTTGGCCGGGCTTCGAGAACTCGGTGGCCCCGTTGGCGAGGGCACGGTCGACGTAGCTGTCACCGACGACGCTGCGGCGCATCTTGAGGCCTTCGTCGAAAAGCTGCTTGTGCAGCGCGTCGAGCTTGGGGTCGGTACTCATTTTGGAGAGGCGAATGGGGGACGTGCTAACTGGATCTCAAGAGAGTAGGGCCTGGTGACGGTGGCACAGGAGTGGTATAATTAGAAGAAGACGAATAAATGCTGAGTGTGTGCGTGCGTGTGTGTGTGTATGCAAACGAGGCAGATTACTTCGTTATTTTGTGTTCAGCGAGAACAATTTCAACTTTCGTCAGAGCAAGTCCATATATAAGCTACCCCGTACGTCCTCTAGGTGGGGGTGCACTCTCCGTAGCCGGCATGCTCAACTCAGGCGGGGAGATCACGCGTAGTGTATGTAGGTACTATGTAGCACGCTGGAGATGCGATTACCATTATTGAAGTTGCTCATAGGAGAATATGCAATAATCCGGTCCCAAACACCTCTGTATGTGGGGGGTGGAATTTGTTGGTATTTTCCCCTCATGGGGAGGTGGCGGGAGGATTCCCTGGAGAATCCCCGGTCCTCCTGATTTCAGCTATTCCCGGCCACAAACCTGGTTGCCGGATCCACTGCCATGCCCAGCCTTGCCCCCAGAATGCGAGGTTGCAGGATATGCAACTCTGCCCGAAATGGTAATGATAGACAGCCTCAGATCAACATCTTGCCTGCCTATATCAACAATTTAACCCAATGGCAAACATGTCTTTCTTCCTCAGGAGTAGATCTTTCGCTCCCACTCTCATCTCAAAAACCCATATACCCATTGCTCTACTTGTTTTGATTTTCCACATATTGGCCACCAAACATGTCTTCCCGGGTCTCGGAAGAGAAGGCTGATACCAACTTTCACGAGTTCTCTCACGATGAACAAAGGGGCCCAGAAGATGCAGAGCGGCAGAGGAAAGAGAAGGCTCTTGTCCGCAAGCTGGACTGTTTCATTGCCCCTGTCATGATGCTTCTCATGCTTATCAGCTACTTGGATCGAGGGAATATTGGGTTTGCTGCGACGCAAGGCATGGCAGTTGACATTAATCTCAAGGGGAGCCAACTGAATGTAAGCACTTGTCCTTCTCTTCTTTTCTTTCCTTTTCTTTTCTTTTCTTGTCCTCGTCTTTCTTTGATGCATCTTTCTGACTCACATTGATCACACCAGACTGCAATCTCCGTATTCTACATCTTCTACATCCTCGCCGAATTCCCCACGTCGATTCTAGTCAAACGCCTTCAGTTCAACCGGGTCATTCCCGCCATCACCTTTTGCTGGGGCGTCGTATGCCTCTTCACTGGCTTGGTCCAGTCGTTCGGTCCGCTTGTCGTGACCCGCGTCTTACTCGGCTTCTTCGAAGGATGCCTCTTCCCGTCCATGACTCTGTTCCTGTGCAACTGGTACAAGCGCGAGGAACTGGCGGTGCGCATTGCCTTTCTGTTTAGTAAGTCGAACCCTGAAACATGTACATGTAATTCCATGTCTCAGTGGCGCCTATTAACAACCTCACAGTTGCATCTGCACTCTCTGGTGCCTTTGGAGGTCTTTTGGCGTGGGCCATGTTAAGCATGGACGGAGTAGCCAACATGGCTGGATGGCGATGGTGCGTTTCCAAACTTCCCCCCTACCAATATTTTTATCTTTTCATTCTGACTTTTGATCGCTCTAGGCTCTACATTATTGAAGGTCTCATCACCGTCGTTTTCGCCGCATGCTGCATTTTCCTCGTCCCCAAAAACTACGAGACAGCGTATTTCTTGAACGCAGAGGACAAGGCGATCATGCGGAGACGTGCCGAGGAGATGGAAGCCTACAGTGGTGGTTCCGGACACTACGGCATGAAGGAAATCAAAGAAGCTGCCAAAGACGTGAAGAGTTGGGCGCACGGCGTTATCCAGATCGCTGTCGTGACCATTTTATACGGTGAGTAATTAATTAACCTACACTTCCTTGACAGATGATGATGAAATTAACACTCGTGGAAATAGGTTTCGGCACATTTCTGCCCATCATCATCAAGGATGGATTTCATTACTCGACGGTCCAAGCACAATATTTGGTCATTCCAGTCAACCTCTGGGGGGCCCTTGTGTACGCCGTCGGTGCCGTTCTTTCGGACAGGTACACCAGCCGCTTCCTCCCGCTGATCATCTGCGCCCCCTTCGGCGTGGCCGGCTACGCAATCTTGCTGTGCGACGTCTCGCCGGGGGTGCGGTACTTTGCCACGTACCTGATCGCCACCGCCTGTTTCCTCTGTACTGGAGGCAACATGTAAGTCTCTGAACACCGTCTTGTAAAGAGACCAGGGAGCAGTGTGCTAATAATGTCTGGTGTTATAGTGCCTGGCTATCCGGCAACTGTGCTCCCGACGGCAAGCGCGCCGCTAGTCTCGGCATCTTGCTGACTCTGACCAACATTGGCGGCGTAGTCTCGGGTCAGATCTACCAGGCAAACGCTGCACCCGGATTTACGCTGGGTCATGCGTGGTCCCTAGGCTGTCTAGCCTTTGCCTGGTTTGGGTGGTGGATCGTCAGGTGGATCTACAAGAGGCGTCAGGCGGGCAAGGAGCAAGCGCTGGCCGAGGGGGTCGTCGTGCCCCCTGACCAGTATACTGATCGGGCTCCGGACTTTAAGTATCAGATCTAGGTGGGAAATAGAGTGGGAAAGAGGACGGAGGAGAGTCAACAAATTGCACTGCTTGGGAAGGGTGGAGTGGATAATTCGTTAGTTCGTACAGAGAGATATTATATTGGTTGTAAATCGTGTAAATTGCAACCCATCTTCACGTGGTTACAAAACAGGGATGAAAAATACTTGATGGAATGAATGACAAAGGTATGCATGCATTGATCGATTGTACATTCAACTGGAATTGTAAAGACATGAATCAAGGCTGTCCCATTGTGCCTACGATGTCGAAGCCGAAGCCCCAGACGTCAACTCCGCTATGATGGGTGCCGCGACATGGGCTGTGTGCAGACTCAACAAGGTGGCGATCTCCAGAACCTCCAGTATCTCCTGCGGTGTGGCGCCGTATCCCAGGGCGTTCCTCATGTGCAGTTTCAGGCCGGGAACATAAAGGTGAGTGGCCGCACTGTCGAAGGCGCAATACACGAGCTCTTTCATCTGTCTCCAGCGTCAGCCATTGTACTGTGATTCCCTACCGCTTTCTACACCACAGAGTTTCTGATAGTTGTACATGTTTGGGAATCGGTCCCTTGACGTTACCTTTGGTTCAAGAGCGCCTCTTCCGCTTCCCCCGTTACCGCCGACATTCTTAACCCACGGCACACTCGAGAACTCGAGATAGGCCTCGAAGAATTCCGGGTCGAGTCTCAAAAAGTCTTCCCAGAAGGTGTGCCAATACCCCCTCTTCTCCGTGAATTCCTTCTTCAATTTCTCCTGCCTTTCATCAAAGGCCTTCGTTATCTCATCCTCATACTTCCCTTCTTCCTTCAGGACCTCGACGAGCAAGGGCACCCCAATGTTGCACGCGTGTATGCCTAGCGTGCTAGATAACTCGATGACCTCCAGTACCTCGTGTACGGTGGCGCCTTCCTTGAGCGCGGCTGCGACATGTACGCGTATGCCAGGGGCGTAGAGGTGCGTGGCGGCGCTGTCGACGGCGAGAGAGATGAGGGACTGATCCTTGCGCGAGAGGTGGGATTTCTGGCGCGGCACGGAGGCCAAGGACAGGCTTGCGGAGAAGAAGGCCGGGTCGACAGAGAGAAGAGATTCCCAGCCAGTGTGGAATGCTTCGGCGCCTAGTTTGGCAACAAATCTTTCTTGAAGTTCCTTCTTCTCTTGGTCTGACGCCATGGTTTCAATGCTGTAATTCTTGGCAAAGAGAAAAGAGACGTATTTTCTTTCCCTGTTCTTGCTTTTGTTTGGTGTAGTTGTTGTATTCGCGATTCTTGGACGCACCGATACCACCAATATTACTACACTGGAACGGGGAAATGTCCTGAGAAACAGCATCGTGTGTGGGTTGTCGAAAAAGTTCCCCGCATCCGACTCCGCTCTCAGGCCGTTGGCTTCCGCCTTAACCCCACCCACCCCCGCATAAGCATGCAAGCCAAGGTGCACGGCATTTGCTATTGTAGCTATCGGGTTCGGCGAGTCTCTCCATGTTCCTCTCGTTTTCTCCAGGCCCACAAGTTATGATGCTATTCAAGAGCCAATTTTGTGAGGTCAAATGAAGCCCTACATGTAAATCGGGGACTCGTGGAAACCTTCTTCCCCCTATGATGCAAAGGTCTGCATCATTCCCCCGCTAGTCCGCTTCCCCCGCCCCTCTATCCCATTTCCCCTCAAAGTCCGCCGAAATGAAAAAGAGGCCACGTGATGTGGGGGAAAATCCTTACTGAGGGGACGTATTTTCTCCTCAAGGGTAAATAAAGAAACTGGGATAAGATACGCAGTATCTAGCGTTATAGTATTCCCATGAAGAGTGCAAGGCTAACAATGAAGAAAACCGAGACTGAATGACGTTTATTAATAGCGATAGCAAGAGGACATATATATGAGACATGTGGATTTTCAATACCCGTATCTAGACATAGACACACAATGCACATATCGCTATATAAACCAGACTCGGGAAATGAGCCCCCTCCTCTAATTGCCTTCTGTCAAAGCCCCAAAGAACCGATTCCGATTCTTCACATCGCTCTCCCACTCGACATCATGGGCGAAAATCACTTCCACCCCCTTCCTCTCTAGGCCCCTGATCTGCTCGATGGTTTCCTCCGCCTTGGCGCGGTCGGCGTGAATGCAGCACATGTGACCGTGGGCGTCGTGCCACTCGCCTATTTCCTTCTCCTTGCGGATAATGCGGCGGTCGTGGCAGGCGTCGCCGGCCAGGTAAACCCAGCCACTACTTCCCCGGCCGTCGCTGGTGCGGGCGAGGAGGTTGATATGGCCCGGGAGGTGGCCTGGAGCATCGATTATGTACAGGCTGCCATCCTGAAATATATCGAGCGCCGAAGGAAGGTCGCCAAAGGGTTCCCACGGTCTAGAGAAGTCGATAGAGGAGGAGGAAGAGGGTGGAGGGGTGGGAAGCCTATTGCCACCGCTGCCATTCAATCTCCTAGTGTTTGGGTCGGGGAGCTCGATGGTCCGAGAGCGGTCAAGGAGGTCTGCTTCGAAGAACGAGTGGCCGCCTCGCAAGGTAGAAGTCTTCCCGTCAAGCAAGTCTAGAGCCCCATAACCGACGACGAAGGTGCTGCGAGGAAAGTCTCGCGGCTCGCCAACGTGATCCCAGTGGACCTTGCACAACTGTCAGACAGGGAAGAAGTACTAAAGAAGAAGGAGGGAAAAGGAGGGAAAGGGAGGAAGAAGGGCAGAATTCTCGTAAACATGACTTACATGTGAGTAGATGACGTAGTCAATATCGTCCGGGGTCAAACCTCCCCGGTTCAGACTCTTGACCACGTCCGGATCGGTCGTCATGGGCTGTCGGGTGGCGACATGTCGGCGGATGGGTTCTGGGTAGCGACTGATGTCCCTCCTCAGGCCCAGGTCGAAGACAATGTGCGTATTGTTGCCCGTAACGGGGTTAAAGTGCTGCACCAGGAAGCATAGCGACGGCACAGTGCTGCGCGCCGCGTGGGACGATGGATGTACAAACTGCTCTTCTGGAAGGGAGAAGTACCCCGCCGAAAGCGCGTGAACCTGAACTGTAGCAGGAGCTGCTGCTGTTGTCGCTCCTGCTCTCATTTCAACGTCTAAAAGAGGGGAGGTGGTGGCCGGAGGAGGGGGGACTGGTAACGACATTGGCCGTCGTGTGGTGATTGCTTGCTTCCTGCCTCCAAGTAAATAATATTTCCTTCCTTGCTCTCAGCCCCTTAATTTTTTCCCCCACCTCCGTTGGTCGTGTTCCCCCACCCTTTGCCATCCCCATCTAGGTCCGCACAGAGAGTGGCGTGCCTAATTACCGGCATCCCACATCCCCACGCTAAATAACCCTAGTGTCATTTCCCCGCATGGGTGATTTTGATATTGCACCCTCTGTCGGACTTTCTTATGCTGGGAATAGAAGAATTACGAGAGGAACACATCGCCTACCACAAGCTCAGCCGTTTTTCGAAGCAAGCCTCAAAACGACAGACCGACAATGTCTTCGGCCGATAGTAACTCCCTCCCCAACTCCATAGGCTTCATAGGCCTTGGAGCCATGGGGAAACCCATGGTCATCAATCTTGTCAAAAGGCTCCCTGTTGGATCGCATATTTTCATTCACGACGTCGTAGCCGCCGCCGTGGAAGAGGTCTGCGCCTCGTTTCCTGATGCTATTGTCAAGTGTGCCAATGCCAAGGAAGTGGCAGAAAAATCGGTACGTCCTTGATATAGAGATTCCTCCACTGCTTCTCACGTACTCTGACCAACTGCTTCCCCACAGGACGTCATACTCACGATGCTCCCCGAAGGCGCCCACGTCAAATCAGTCTATCTTGACCCAGCCACTGGGATCGCCGCCGCCCTCTCTTCCTCCTCCTCCTCCTCTACCGCCAAGCTACTACTCGACTGCTCCACTATCGACACCGCCACCAACCTGCATGTCAAGGAACAACTCTCCATATCCTCACCCACAACTTCCTTCTACGACGCCCCCGTCAGTGGCGGCGTTATCGGAGCCGTCAACGCCACCATGGCCTTCTTCCTCGGCTGCTCCCCTTCGGACCCCAACATCCCCCGCCTAACCGCTTTGCTCCAAACCATGGGTGGTAAGGTGATCCCCTGCGGCGGGCCCTCGCTCGGCCTCGCAGCGAAGCTATCCAACAACTACCTCTCCGGCATTATCACCATCGCGTGCTCCGAGGCCATGGACATGGGAATGCGCGCGGGCATTGATGCCGACGTCCTGGCGTCAGTCTTTGCGGCCGGTACCGCACAAAACGCCATCTGTGATGTGTTCAACCCTGTGCCGGGCGTGTGTCCCAAAGCGCCATCGTCGAACGGGTACCAAGGTGGGTTCCGTGTGCAGCTAATGAGGAAGGATATTGGACTGGCGGTAGATATGGCCAGGAGGCTAGGTACGAGGAATGCCTTGGGCACGAGTGGTTTGGGGGTGTTCACGGCGGCGAGCGAGGCGGCGGATTGCAAGGATTTGGATTCGAGGGTCGTGTATCGGTATTTGGGGGGTAAGGAGGACTGGAAGGAAAAGAAGTGAGTGGCAAGTAATCACACTAGGTGTGCATATTCTTTCATCATAGCCCCAGCACTATGTTCCTTAAACTTATAGAGTAGATTATCATACATATATACGTGAGAGTTTAGGCATTGGTGGAGGCCATCATTTGAGATATCGTAGGGGTTTGGAAATCTTGTCGACAATTGTTCAATGAGACGACCAGGCTACATGATTTGACCAAACACCTCGACTTCCACGGTCCCTCCTAGTTCGAACCGCTAGCATCTTGTACACCGCCAACATCTCTTAATCCTTTTTATCCCAAGGAAGCATCTCCGTCATCTCCACTCCGCCAACCTTGACAGGTGGACATCCTTGCACAACAAAGACGGCGCGGGCGTGCTCTGTCGCGCTGGGGTTGCGCCAAGCATGCGTGGTACCGCGCTGCACGATGCTGTCGCCCGCCTTCATCAGTCGTATCTCGCCCGAGTCGAGCGTCAGCTCCAGCTCGCCTTTCAGCACGGTGCCAAAGTCGATCGACTCGGTGCGGTGCATGGGGATGGCACAGCCCGGCGCCCAGTCGCAGTAGCGCAGCACCGTGCCCGCGCGTGGGAAGTGCAGCCGGTCAGGGGCCGTCGCCGAGTGCGCTTGGAACGCTTTAAGATCCGCCTCGTCCGTCATATTGAGCGGCACCTCCAGGACCTCATAACCTTCGAAGTACTGCATCCCGGGGACGCCCCGCGGGGTGAGTGCCGGGGGGAACGCGGTCGAGAAGATGGACTTGCCCTCGGCATCGTGGGTGGTTATATATCGGTTTGGGATGCCGAGTGCAGGAGTGCTGTCGTTGTTGCGGTTGTCTGATGCCATGCCTTCAAGATTTGGTTGGTTGGATTATGGGCTGAGGGTGGTGGTGTTGAGGGTTTGGTATTTCGGCCCTCCCCCCAAAATCATGATCCGGAGCTTTTTATGCTATCGGCTAGTGTACTCTCCTCTTTAACTACTTATGCAAACCAAACAGCATCTATACCCCTTCATTCGTAATCCTGCCCAGCCGTCAAAGCGGGGAATATTCCAAGGGAGATGGTGGTTGAAGAGGGGAGGGGTTTGGCAAAAATGCACGGACCCTGTGTACGCAAATGCCGGCAATTCTTTCAAGGATTCCTCGTTGGAGGCCATTTCACAAGACTGACGTCTGAAACCATTGGAACACAAAAATACCCAAATAAAGAGGGGAGTAGTATTATTATACATCTTAAGGAAGTGTACTGGTTAATCAGTCGGGGTATTCTAAGATCTAGGCATAGCAATACGCCATATATAGGGAGCCATGTTGGCGACCGCAACCAGTGTGCAGCCCCCCCTCTTTTTACCCCTTTTCGGTTTTCTCGACATCGACAACAAGACTCTCCGGACATTAACCACAAAAGCGCTACCATTCGTTACTCGTGGCTGTTTCTATCTCTGAAACAATATGTTCGTGGAAACAGATAGCAAACACGACGGAGCTAAGATATTGACAATAGGTCTCGTGTCGAATAAGAATTTCTTGTTGCTGAAAATTCCCTACCAGCAACGCTCACGGGCATTAACGTCCTTTACATCGATCTCGAAGGCACCATTTGGGTTATCGACTCATTTATGTTATAAACTCAGCAAGGTGATGTCCCTCTATTTCCACGCTTACGCTTTCACGAAGATCTGCGAGCCTAGAAAAGATGGTATACCCGAGAGATGAGACTACTCGACTGCTAGGGTTTGACAATCATGCTGCGTTGAAGCTGTAGGAGAGTAGGGCATCAAGTGTGGCCGAGGTTGCGGCCCAGTTGCATGAGTTGCGGAAGAGGTTGGAGCCGTTGCCAGGGCGAAGACCGAGAGGCTCTTGCAACTCACGAGAACAGACACTGAACTCAGAGGAGGATACAGCTGAGCTGTATGTCTGGGACCGGGCCAGGTCTACTATCTTTATAAACAGAAAAGGAAAGCTTCGCCGTCAACAGTGAGAAACTCGCCGAGTATGTTGAAGTTATGCATACCCTCAACGGAATGCTTCGAGTCTTTGAGAATCGATTTGACATGGAGTTCGAGCACATTGCGGTAGCAACAACATGGCAGGAAAGTGTGACGGACTTCGCCGTTTGGGACAGTGCGTGCGAAGGTAACGGGTTCCTTGGGAATATGTATGTGGACCTCTTTGAGCGAAAGGGAAAGAGTAGAAACGCACTACACGTCTTGATCTGGGGAGTTTTTTCCTTTTGTTTGCAGTTTGATCAGCTCTCCAGGGGTCAATATTGGGGAGGCTGACCCGCAGTTAGTTCGTACCCCCTCGGCCATTTCAGACGGCAGAATGGTAATGACACCTTTGATAACCGAAGAGCTAGAGAATCTAGCCTGAATGGAAACAAGTGTTTGCGAGGAGTGGGTGCGATCGTAGCTCGCAGATATGGTTGGGAGGTTTTGGGTGATGCAACGTAACTTGCTTGCTACCCGGATCGCGCCCAACTTTCTTGCGCCTAGTTCCGCAGGAAGAAGAGTTTGCAGTTCCTGAACATTAGCTCGGGCCTAATTAGGAACCGTTCCTAGTGATTGCCAAGTCCATTACCCTTTTCAGAGTGAACAAACTGCGGGGAAGCTAACATCTCCACCCCGATACAGCCAGGATACGATAAAATGAGGAGTAGCGGGCTTTAATCTTCAAGCTAGATCCAACAACAGGACATCAGATGGAGTTCCTGAATTATCACCGCGGGGATATATCTGAACCTTGTCAACCTGAAATATCCGACGGGGTATTACGACCAAAGTTGGCTCATCCGACTTCTCCCAAGAAGGCTGGTATATAATTAATACGTCTTTTCCTTCAGGCCCGAGAGACCATGGAGATTTACAAACATCATTGCAAGGACATCTATACAAGATAGTGACTCCTTCTTTGGAAGGCAAATAAGTACACAAATGGCGCTTTCCAAGACTCTGCAACTTTTCCTCCTCCTTTGCAGCTTCATCGCACTCTCATCTCAACAGTGCATGACCGACGAAGACTGCAGCCTGAACGGCATCTGTTCGCGTCGCTGTGGGAAGTGCGTCTGCGACCCCGGCTGGAAGGGTGTTGACTGTGGCGTCTTGGACACCGGTCCCGCAAAACTATTCGGCGGGTACAATCGCACAGGGGAAGGAATCTCGTCGTGGTGCAACCAGATCGTCCATGACCCCCATGACCCATCGCTCTACCACCTTTTCCTCTCCGAATTTGCAGACCACTGTGGCCTAGATTACTGGTCACCGTACAGCCGTATCATCCGCGCCGAGTCGAGATCTGGTCCCGAGGGTCCATACACATTCGCCGCTGAAGTCGTTGGCTCGTTCGCCCATAACCCGACTCTCGTTTATAGTAAGGCAGACAACCTGTACCTGCTCTACTACATCGGCTGCCCTCAGACTCCAGCGGATGTCTGCACCGGACACAAATTCTCCTGTGGCCCGGGCAACTCAAACAACGGCGAATCCGGCATCTCCGTCCAGTCAAGCCCGGACCTGCGCACTTGGACTTTTCACGGACAGGTCTTCCAAGGCACAAACAGCAGCGATTGGGATGCCGATGTGACGAACCCTTCGCCACTGGCCCTCCACGGACCACACGACAAGGACTCGACGATGCTGCTCGCCTACCGCGGCTGTCCGTACAACTGCGAGCATGGAGAGCAGATCAACCTGGCACTTTCTCCGACCGGGTTCGAGGGCCCGTACACGCGGGTCCAGGCGGATCCTATTTTCAGCGCGGTGAATGAGGACCCTTTCATCTGGCTCGACAAGCGAGGCAACTACCATTTATTGCTGCACTCCCTCGAACCAGAGGGTGGGTTCGGGAAAGGCCCTAAAGTTGGACGGCATGCGTTTGCGACGCACTTCATGGGACCTTGGACTTTCAACAATAATACGTTGGCGTTCAGCACCGAGGTCAAGTACGACGATGGGACTGTTATTAACTTCTACCGGAGAGAGAGACCAGTCTTGTATTTCTCTGACGATGGGGAAATGCGGCCTCTTTTCCTGAGCACCGGTGTCCAGGAAGTTGGAAGCCCGATGAGTTATAGCGTCATAGTCCCAGTAGGCAACTAATATGGAACGATATTCAGAGTGATCGAAAATGCATTTCACTAAACTTCGTATGTCGAATCTTTGCAAATAATCATGGCAACGATGTCCCTCGACTTGCTTGAACCAGCGACTAGCCTGAGTCAGAACCCGCGGAACATCTGGTGCTGACGAACATGGATAGCTTCTCCTGGGGCATGGCTGAAGTTCCTGTAGAAACATCGGATTCCATTCATATCATCGTAATTACCAGAAGCCAGCAATAAAGCGTCACGGTGGGGCGAATCGCTGGGAGGAGGCACGCAGCTAGCCAATCAGGAACCATAACATGTGTGATCATCGACGTCATAGTTATCCTGAGCTTCCATGACAACGTGGATGATGGAGGATTGGACCCCGGTTCACATTCCAAACGCACGCAAAGACAATGATCAAGTAATCATGGCTCGCTCTAAACGTACCAAGACGCAGCCATCTGCTGCCGCGAATGAGGACCGGGATGCTCACGAGAATAGCGTCGGCAGCGCCACAGATGCTGCCACTGCGGATAGCCTGCACATTGACGACCCTGTTCTCGACGAGGAGGAAATACCCCGGGAGCCAACAAGCCCGGCGTCGGGTCAGCCCGTGGACACCTCGGGAGGCCGCCGAGGAGGAACTTACGCAGGGGCGAGCCGATATAACGAAATCAAGTCGTTCAACGGCCAGATCTATTCCGGAATGGCGGTCGGCGGGTCGCATACCTGGAATTACGACCCGGGTGTTTGGCACGAGACAAAGGAGGAGCCCGACCTGTGGAAGATTGATTACAAGACGCATAAGAGGAGGGCGAGCACGGCCCCGAAAGGGAGTGGCGCCCCAGTGGGGACTGAGTACCACTGGTTGATCGTTGCTCACCAGGTGAGTTTGAGGCTTGCAGTCAGAAGAGGGGCGCCAAACTCACCAACTGGCTCTCTTTGTCATCCTAGTATGTTAAGAAGGAAGACGCCAACACGTACGAGACGCATCTCGTTGGATCGAAATACAAGCTCGCTCACAAGGCAGCCTCCTCCAACTCCTGGTCAGTCCCCACCGTCAAGGGCCAGAGAGAGCGGGAGCTTGAGCTTCTCGAAGATGCTGGGCGGCGTATCCAGGGGCTACCACCTGTGCTACGTGGAGAGAAAGTCCGAGTCGAGAAGCATGAAAGGGGGCAACAAAAACTTGATACTCTGTTCCAGAAGGTAGGACAGGGCACAGGCTCGGATGGAAAGAAGAGGAAGAGAGAGGAGGAGGAAAACCCAGATGATATGTGAGGAAGGGGCTAAAACACATGGAGAGGACAATTGGTGGCTCCCAGCAGACTCGAGTGATTCGGCGGATCGGTCGCGTTGCTGCCCAGCTGTGTTAGCGTGCAACCTATTCTATGCTGGCCCGGCCCAGTTGTCTATCTCTAACTTGGAATTTCATGCTAGACAGGTCACAGATTCAGCAGTTGCAAGTGTCCCGCAAACCGTGGAAAAGAAGTTAGTGCCTAGTGTTTCTTAGAGGCTATGCGTCCCCTACATTCTACTTGCCGACAGAAACAGGACAGAGCGAAAAAGAGATACATCGAGTAGGGCGTCCAATTCTTCCCGTAGAGTAGAATATTTGAAGGGGGGAGTTGCTCAGGTTAATAGCTCTCTAAGCTCTATCTGACACGGTTTGACGAGTCCGGTAGCAATTCCAGCTAAAGCCAACGCTTTGTTCCAAGGTGCGACACCATCAGGCCGCCATTTGCCTCGATTGTTGCATTATCCACAACTTCAAGCACTTTGCTTGCAGACTCCTCTGGCGAGATCGGCCCTTCCCAATGCGGAGCGTAGTTTTTCATGGTCGTCATCATCTCCTGCGACCCTGCCTGTACGTGGGGATCCGTTACTGGCATCATAGATAGGTCAGTAAGCAGTGATAACTATGCTGAGCCGGAAAGATCGCGAGATAGCTAGACAGGCACTTACCGTCGAAGTGGTCATAGACGCCTGTATCAACCACGCCGGGCGAAATTCCCATGAACAGTATCCCCTCCTTGCGGTACTGGACGTGGAATTTTGCAATGGCCATGTTTAGTGCCGCCTTGGAGATGGAGTATGGAGCTTGGAAACGAACATTCGCCTCGACGGTAAAGTTGATGTCTCCCATGCCGGACGAGATGGCGACGATCTTTTTCAGGTGGCCCTTCTGGATTAGCGGCGTGAACACGCTCATCAAGTGGATATTACCAAGGGCGTTGATTTTGAAGGAATCCAGCGTGGTCTTATCGAATATGTCCCAGTCTTGCCCTCTAAGAACACTGGGTTAGCCAGGTTTGGGGGAGGAGGGATAATAATATGACTCAGTTGGGTGTAGTGACTGGGGTATACTTACGGCTTAACTATGACATCAAAGTCGGCCGCGATGAAAGCAGCATTTGCAATGAGGACATCGAGACTGCCACCAGTTACGGCTGAGACAGCATCAGCGGCGGCCTGTGATAGGTGTTAGTTTGCATCAAACTGCTAGTGGAACGAGATAAATGGGCAATACCCTCAGGGATGCGAGGTCAGCGAGATCCCCATAGACCGCGTGGATGTTTTTGCGCGATGGAACATCCTTGGATATCTTCTCTCGAAAAGCCTCGACGCCGCGAACAACACCAAACACGACATTGTCCGGGTCGGCAGATAATTGCTTCAGGAGACCGTACTGTGATGCATTAGCTTAATTGAGTTCAAAAGTAAGAATGCGTGACGAATGCTTTGCTTACCCCGAGACCTCGCGAAGCACCTACTACGGCGTATGATGGCATCTTGGAAATGACAATGAGCCCGTGGGATGCGTTTTGAGTTGGTCTAATGCTTGATGGAACTTGGGATAGTGGATGGATCAACACAAGAACTGCATTCTTCGGCGTCCATTTTAATATAATTGGGCCAAATGGCAGACAGAGCGTTGGAAAACGATTACATGACCACCTCGGTCAAACTTGCCAGGAATTTCATCTTAGAAAGGCATAATTATTGGTAAATTTCAACATAACTAGGTAGCTCTTCCGCTTCCGCCTCGGTTGAATTGAATTGAGAGATCATGACCAATAATTACCGCCGATTCTCATTGGCTATCTCGCATCCGTCTCGGGGATTCTTGCCCTACTAACTTGGATTTGTCAGACGGCTGAGCCCAAGCATCAATTACCCGTGCCACGCCCCACTTTAATTGGTACTCGAGGGCTCCTACCACCTAAAGGTGGTGCTGGCCACCAAAATAACCAGATCACCAAAATAACCACTTTTTTGACCATACCTACTATATACGCGTTATATACGCTTTAATAACCGGAATCCTACCTCTGAATCGTATACTTCTGCCCTTTCTAGCTTTCCAGACATCCTCCATTTGCGTGCCTCTTTTGCAACCTCTTCGTAGAAGCGTTTATATGCATTCCGCTGCCTCAATTCTGCTGCCTCAATGACCTTCCTTGCCTTCGCAACCTCGTCAACCTCCTTTTGCTGTACCATTTGACGCCCTATTGCTACAGTAAGCACGCCCCCTGACTGTAAAGGCGTATTCTTCATTGCCCGCCGTTGCCTAGCTACTGCCTCTGCCATTTTAGTCCTTCCTAGGTCTCGTTTGGTCTGAACAAGCTCAGCTGCCAAAGACAAGGACCCTCTAATATATCGACCTAAATTATAGGCAAAGTCTGGATCTATATCCTCATCTTCCTCAAGTGCAGTCTCTAGCTTATCAGCTACCTTGTTGATTTGCCGTAACGTTACTGGCGTATTGAATGGTGAAGAATGAAGTCTATCTGGTATAGCAGGAGGGGGGGTTTCTCTGGCTTGACGAGCTTCCAGGATTTCCAGGACTGGTTGAGGGTTGAATGGCCAGATTCCAGTCTTCCGAAAGGCAGAGAGGATAGTGGATTTCTTGAATGCCTGTTGCCGTACCTTCCCAATGCAAGAAAGAAACTCGATCTTGGAGATATTGATGAGGCCATCGCGAACCATAAGATCTAGTGCCTGCGCATGGTAGTGCTTTAGAGGTTGGAAGACTACCACGTCTAGAGGTTGAAGTAGATGCGTAAGGTTTGGAGGCATGCCAAAAGGAATGATTCCATGGTCATCGCAGTACTGGATAAACTGCTTTGTGTGGTGAGATCCATGGCCATCAACAATAAGCAAGCGCTTAGAGCTAATGGAAGTCTTTGCTGAGTGCTTCTCGAAGTGCTGAAGCCACTCAAGGCTAATCTCATCATTCGAGTAGCCAGTAGAGGTAGGTCGAATGGCAGTTTCTTCGTCTAGCTCTGGGATTCGGTACCATTGAGCCATATGGAGTTGCCCAGAGAGGATCAAGAAGGCAGGGATATATTGGCCACCAGCAGAGATAGCCTCAATTGCAGTGGCAGACTCTCGATTCTCTGGAATGGAGAAGTAATGGGCTTTCTTCCGGCGGGTTACAATGAGCTGATCCTTTCCAACCCCTATTCGAAACCCAGTCTCATCCATATTCCAGATATCTTCAGGGGGGATTCCATGGGCTGCAATAGTCGTACGAAGAAGCTGGAAGTACTGATTGACTCGTTGGAGGTCTTCTGAGGCTTGCCGGTCTGAATGGAGTCTTTTCTGAAGCTGGTGGAAGTAGCCATAGCGCTTAAGAAAGCGGGTAGTCCATCTTTGGCCAACCGGAGCAAAATCCTCAGCACCACAACGCTCACGCAAAATGGTATTTGCAGCGTCAGTCACAAAGCCTGCGCGTACTGAAAGATTGATACTATCAAGTCTATCAATATAGCGGCAAATTGCTTTTTCCTCTGGCCTTGTAAGCTTGGTATTTGCTGCTGGCTGCCCTGATTTTGGTACGCGGCCCTCGCAGCGGTAGCGGAGGCGGCCACGCGGCACGCCAAATTCTCGGGCTACTGCGGCTAGTTTAGCCTCGGGAAAGTCTTCAAGGTATTGGAGGGCTTCTTGAATACGTGATTCCATAGTTAAAATGGTCAATATATGGCAAAAAAGTGGTTGTTTTGGCAGATATAGTAGGTATGGTCAAAAAAGTGGTTATTTTGGTGATCTGGTTATTTTGGTGGCCAGCACCACCTTTAGGTGGTAGGAGCCCTCGAGTACCAATTAAAGTGGGGCGTGGCACGGGTAGTCATGGCCAGTGGCAGTGGAGATTCCACCATCAGTCATCTTCATCCCCAGTTCTGCCCATTCCATCACATTTCTCCCATGCCCTTCTCCATCACTCACTGCGCCGCCAAATACCCCCTTGACTTGGAAAGATGGCAACTTTCGCCGCGACACGCACTTGCGAAAGTTGTAGAGGTAAGATAGGCTCTTAATTAGCAATCAATTAGCTCCATGATTAAGCGGCCGAAGTACTCTCCTGACAGAACACAGAACGGAAGATCCGATGCGATGGAGGCCGGCCTGTGTGTGAGAATTGCCGTCGATCTCGGCGGACTTGCGTCGTTCATTCCCTCCGACTGTCGTGGCCGAGGACTGGGAATAGGCGTCGCTTTGTCATCGGCCCACGCCCGAAACCCGCACACAGAGGCGAGGCCAGTCGCGAGTCCCACTTCTTGAACGTGTCGTCCTCGCATGTGGAAGAATACCTATCATTGTCCCATGATGGGACTCCATGTACGCTCTGGGCTTCCGTTACCTTGCCCCCTTTGGTAGAAAGTAAAAAAGAGAGCCACTGACCATGCTAATTACACCACAGACATGAGCGACAGAGATAACTATACTGCTCTCGGGGTCATTCCTCATAGCCCATCCATGATATATTCAACACTAGAAACTGTACAAGATGGCAGCAGGTCGCTGTCTTATTGTAAGCTTTCTTCGTAGATGCCCCGATCATGCCATTCTCTCTTCAAGGTCTGCTACTAAGTAACTCGCTCTCATACAGTCTACCGAATCGTTGCTAATACACTTCCTGCTATTGAGGGGACGAACTCGGACTTTCGGGACTTGCTGATGAAGATGGCGCTCTCTGATGATAGCCCGTCATCTCAAGCTGTTCTGTTCTCAATCCTGTCCCTGTCAGCACTTCACCGCCCGGCTAGCAACTCCAAGGACGTGATCAGCTTCAAGGCCTGCGCACTCAAGGCCTTGAGAGAATGTGCAAGCAGGGGCAACCTTACCCTGGTGCAGACAATGCAACATATGGCAGCTGCTATTCTCCTCTGCCGAATAGAAGTGAGTAATGTCTGGTCGTTTAAAAACTAGCACTATCATCCCTCTCTGGCACCAAAAGGGGTTAAGGCTAACTCCTGGCGTTCTATCAGATCGGCCTTTTCACTGCTGCTTCTACACTGTGGTGCTTATTTGTCTGTGGAGCGAACACAGTCCTGACCGAAGCCCACCAATCAATGAACCTCCTGATGCTTGGCAAAGATCTTCGTCTTCTGTACAGATACGTGCACTATCACAATACCATGTCCTTCTTTAGCTTGATGCACTGGAATCGACCGAAATCTGTCGATAAGGGTACAAAATCCGACTTCAGGGGCAAGGCCCTAGAGTTTAAGTGCCCGAAGAACTATACTGTACGTCCTGGCACTTCTCAGTTGTCAGATGATTTCCGTGCTCACTCGATCCAAAACTTACAGATTCCCGCCTTCAAAGACTTCGTCTCGGAGGAATTCCAACTTCTAGTAGACGTTCTTGACTTGAGGAGTGCTCCCGAGTTTGGCAACAACTGCCACTCGGAGACGCATCAGGCCATGCTTGAAGACATAAGTAGTCGCATTTCACGCACATTTTCTCGCGCCACAGGGGAATTGAAGAAAATCCTACAGTCGAACTCAATATCCTCGGCCGAGGTCCAAGCTCAGCTTCAGAAAAGGTTGTTCATTGCGGCCACTTGGATCTACTTCGTCCGAACGGCTCGGCAGCTATCCGGTCCAATCTCAACAGTGTCTTCGCTTCTGAGCGATGCCTTTGACAGTGACACAACAGGGATACGACACCTCAGCGTTTGTAACTTGCCCTTCATCGTGTTCATCCTCGGGTGCGAGACTTCTTCAGAAGACCATAGGAGGGACATTCTCGATCTGATTCAACGGACCTCGGGTTTGGGTAGAGATGAGGGAATATCTCCCGATCAGGCAGCAGTCTCTGTACAACCTGTGTCACTGGGGGTCATCAGGACATTGCTAGAAGCAGCCTGGGCGATGGAAGACTTGCATGCTGATGACGGAGGGGGGAGATGCCTCGACTACGAACAAAAGTTGCATTTGGTGCTCACGGCATCCGAGGTATTGCCGGCATTCGCCTAATGGAGGACGCGGGAATATATATGATTACTTGAGGACTAGATAGGTTCGAGGAGCATATATGAGAGATGAGAGGCGCGATATCCTTAGACCGCTAATAATACACAGGTGAATACCAAGACTCAAGATCCATACTTTGCCTTGTAGTTGTAAGGCGGAGGTTTCCCACCATAATAGGGGTCGTATGTCATGAGGGCGAAGCCTGGGTCCTTGGCAGCGAGGCCGGCAGGCCAGCAGGGTTGCCGGGAAGGGGCGGGAAGGGCCGGATTATACGCTAGACCTTTGGGGCTTGGCTAGCAGGTGACCCCCACTGACGCCTGGGGTGCTATGCTGTAGGAGTTTGTGCTGTGGGTTTCCTGACAGCCATCAACTTCAGTCACCGATCACGACAACCAGTTGATCTAAGACAGCCATATTGATTGACAGCAAAACGAATACAGATGCAATTTACGATGGAATGGTTGTCTGGCTCAAATCATCTTGGATTGTCCAACTGCTTATAACTTTGGTGCCACTGCTAAGCTTTTTTCGAGAAACAAGGAGACCGACACACAGGACGTGTATATACATTAATATATACATTCTTCACATTCTTCCCATGCAATAACGTAGTCAGCCAGCCTTCCATCATCCACTGATTAATTATACCAAGTTCGCCGCAGCAACAGCCAATCCAGTGCCTGCAACCATCCACATCTCCACACCCTCAGTTTGACCAAGAACACTATTGGGCATATCTGTCGACGTCGCCTTAGGACCACTGCTAGTTACTCCCGAGCGAGTTGTTGCAGTCAGTCCGGTCGTCAAGGATCCAGTTGTGGGTTCGGTCGCTGATCCAGTCGTGGGATGTGCATCGGCATAGCACCCAGCAAAGGCAATGGTGTCGTTCAGCCACCTCTCAGCATTAGGCACTGCCATCACGGCGTCCCACCAGCCAAGTGGGCACTCCGAGGCAAGGGACACGGCCGCGGAGCTATGCGCCGACCACCACGATAAGGCCAGGCTGCCGAGAGAGGAGAAGTCGGAGAGCACGGCAGCCGGGGCGGCGGTGGTGAAGCCGCACCATTTATTTCCTGGGGAGGGGCAATCCAGCCGTTCGAGACCTGTGAGTGTGCACGTCTTGTACAGGTCGCTGCCGTACGAGTCGAGCTCCGAGAGCAGGCTCCCGGTCGCCCTTTGGCACTTTGAAATATTGCACGAGACTCTCTGTTGTGCATTCCCACGGTTCGCTCGTGACGGTGGGCTCGTCGGTGGGGAAAAGCGAGTCGTACGCCGATGCTGATACCATGGCAGCAGCCTGGAGGAAGAAGATTGTTGCTCTCATCGTGACGGACATGTCTCTGGAGGAGAAAATAGGGGATGAACGTGGATCAGACATGGAGTGTGGACAAGTGTGGAGAAGCGTGGACGTGTGGTAGTGGTTTCAAAAGGAAAAATAAATAGTTTGCAGAGCTGAGTGATAGATGATGGGTGATGGATGATGGGTGATGGGTGATGGACAGGCATTTCAGATTTCAGTCTTTTAATGAGTAGGGTCGGCGTACCCCTGCGTAGGGCAGTTTAGGGCTAAGCCTCTTTTGGTGGTACGGCACGGCGTGTACTGTACGGCCCGGGGGTATGCAAATCCCCGGCTAATTAGTGGCAAGTGCCTGCATACTTGATCCATGTCATTTCACACACATACACATACTACGTTAGTGCATACAAATACGCAGTTGATATGCAGTAGTAATTAAACTGCAAGAACAAGTAGGGTAGTATGTCCCCTCCATAGACTCTCACTCGTCGTCAGGACGGGCCTCTTCATAACCAGGATACCGCTCCTGCAACGCCTTTTGCACAGCCTCCAGACACTCCCGCTTGCGATACCGCTCTAGGTTAGGCCAACCATGCGTGCGATAGATGCTCTGCACCATGGCTACCATGCCGTCCGCGCTTGGATGGAGCGTGGCCCAGATATCCACCACATTCCGTGAGGTGATGGGGATGAAGTGCAACTCCCGGAACTGGTCCTTGAGAACCTCGAAGAAATCAGCGATGCCCCAGGCGGGGGCGTCGGCGCGCCACTCGGCCTCATTCTCAGGCGCCCAGTCGTACGGATCGTCCAGCACTGGCTCCCGCGAGGGATTGTGCCTCATCCCGTCATTGCATCCAGGACAGTGGACAATGCCGAGCTCTGTGTCGAGCAGAAAGACGGGAGTGTCTTCATCGCCGCCGCTTGTGAGGCCGACAACATGGGCAGGTACGTCTTCAGATATCTCAGGGTCCTCCGAACACACCCTGAGTTCATCGCTGTTGGTTCGGCCAAGGCTGAGGGCTCGGCTGTCTGACTCCCAGTCAGCAAAGTGGCACCAAGGGGCGCCCTGGAGCGGGTCTCCGCCCGTTGCTAGCCGCGCGGAGGTAGGGCAGATGGCGGAGCAGCAAAATGACTTCGTTCGTCTTGCCCAAGCTTTGCAGGCTCTCGGTCGTGATGCTAGGCCAGCCCCCCTCAGGTGGCTCGACAATGTCCGACTCGTCGAGATACATCTTGGTGAGGAAGTCATAGTAGCCGCGGACTGCGGCAACGCACGCGTCGCGCGAGTAGCCAATTTCGCTAAGCTCAGGCATCTTTGGGCAAATCGGGGGGAGCTGGGATGGTTGAGAAAATTCCCTTGAGAGAAGCAAGCGGCAGGAAGAGAGGGAGTGAAGAAAGGCCAAGGGGAAAACGGGAGAGGTCAACAAGCTCAAGAAGGGTTCGGTGGGGGCGGGCCAGCAAAAGCTTGGCAAAGACTTGGCAACGGACTTGTATCCTTATTAGCCTACATACCAAGACATTTTACACGCCTTGAAATCTCGCTAGACCCCTTGGCCGCACGATGGCGGAGGCTTGATGAGGACAAGCACAACGCCTGCCGGCGGACCAAGCCAGAGGATGTAACAATGCGTCACGGCGACAACGTTAACACGGAAGGTTCGGCCGCGAGCGCTGGACAGCAGCAGCCGCCTGCATGCATGCAGGGGGCGGCGTTGCTGTCTATGGCCTGATCATCGCTGCAGTCCCCCTGCCTCTGTCTCTTAATTCCCGCTTGGAAATTTCATCCTCAAACTGGTACTAACATCACTTCATTACACGGCATCCGCCTTGTCGCCACAACCAACACTTAGATTTGCTTAGCCCAACTTAGATTTGGAGGCGAGGACAGCGATCAGGACTGGGACTCTTTCTATAGGTCCAGGTTGAAGAAGACCGAGTGACTGAAGGCCCTGAAGTACCGCGACCGTAGAGGTATAGATCCGCTCTGTTAATGAACAGCTGCGCCTTCGATTTCTAAATATTATGTTAACTACAATTCGACCCGGAACCTGACATATCAAAACACAAAACAGCATGGCAACCCATATTATTCCCCGAATTCTCATTCCCATCCCATATCCCTGTCCCATTGGAGGTTGACCCAACGAGCTCTCGCCATATGTTGAAGCGCCCTAAAAGCATGGCTACGTAATTATTGAACCTCAACCCAGCCTTGACCCAGCGTCGGGACTGCATAATTAGCTTGGGGAAGGGGACACAAAAAGGGGGGGAAAGGCAAATGTACTATGTAATAGTGACCAACAAGAACGGAACGGAGTAGCTAGCACCGATATAGCAGTACCACTCCCCTCGTCAAGTTGCAGAGACACGTCCGTTCCTCGACACGGCATCCTTCACCCCCCACCGACGCTGTTCGATATTTCCACCCCGACTAGATGGGCTCATCCCGGGGCTCGATCAAAACCTCATTGATGGCAACATGTTCAGGCTGCTGGAGCGCAAACACAATCGCCCTAGCGACATCGTCCGGATCCATGATCTTCGCCCCAGACGGCTCGCCGTACTGCTTGACCGCCTCGGCATCGGTCGACATGCCCAGCAGATCGGTAGCGGTATTCCCGGGCTGCACCGACATGACGCGCAACCCCTTACCGGCCGTCTCGAGTCGCAGGCTCTGCAGCGTGGCCTCGACGAAGAACTTGCTGGCCGAGTACACGCCCAGGCCGGGGAACACCTTCCTCCCGGCGTCGGAGGATATGGCGACGATGTGACCGCTGCCGCGGGACAGCATGCCGGGCACCGTGTGTGCCAGGCAGTGGAGGAGACCCTTGCAATTCACGTCGACGGTGCGGTCCCATTCCTCGGTGTGGCAGTTGGCCATCATAGTGAAGTACATGACGCCGGCGCAGCTGACGAGGATGTCGACTGGGCCGAGCTCGTCGTTGGTCGTGCGCATTAGCGACTCGACTTGTGCCGCATCTGTGACGTCAGTCTTGTGGATCAGGACTTTGACCCCGTGGCTCTTGAGTTGGTTTCCGAGGGCTTCGAGGGCTTCTGTGCGCCGAGCCGCGAGAGCTACCGAGGCGCCTTCTTGCGCGAGAGCCGATGCGACCGCGGCACCGATTCCGGAAGAAGCTCCAGTCACGACGACGACTTTGCCGTGCAACGGGCCTTTCTGCAATTGTTGCGTCGAGTCTCGAGCCTTGTGCTGTGTCGGAGGCTTTGGCAGCCATCCCCTGGCATAGAAGTGGCGAGTGTATGTCTCGAGCAATCCAGCGTCGATACTTGGGCGCTTCATGCCGTACTGGCTAAGAATGGGCTTAGTGGCGGCATCGTTGAGCACGATGACGGATTTCAAAAAGTCCACAGTGGGCATGCCGCCGCGGAGGATGTCGACGGTGAAGGAATCGCCGCCCCACTTGCCCGAGCCCCTTTTCTCGGTCCAGAGCGCCGCCCATTCGTCCCACCCCAGCCGTTCGGTGGAGTATCCCAGCGCCGCAAGACTGTCGAAGACCGACCGCGCAGACACGGGACTGGGATTACCGAGATGGAAGATACGCTGGCTGGAGTCGGCGTGCTTGGAGAGCGTGGTGATGGCTCTGCTGACGAAGTCGACCGGCGTCATCTCCACTAGCCACCCTTCAATGTCAGGTGCACAGCCAAGGTGCATCGACTCGACCAGGATGGCAGTGAGCAGATCCCACGCATTTGTCGAGCCGGAAGCACTATGGCCGCTTATAGTTCCGGGACGGTATATCCTCGCCGGTAACCCGCGTCTGGCAGCTTCTAGAACGAGCTCCTCGGCAACCCACTTAGTCTGACTATATCCATCAAGCAGTTCTGTCGGCACCGAGTCGAGGTCGACCATGGTATCTTCGGCCCACGGCTCCGTCGACGGCGGTAGCACGCCGTTTGTGGAGACGTGATGGACAGTTGCGCCGCCGGCAAAGGCCAAGCGCAGGATCTCTCTCGTGCCTCCCACGTTGGCGCTGCGGAGTGCGGCGTACGGATAGACGAGGTTGACAGTGGCGCCAGCGTGGATGATGACATCAACACGAGACGCAAGCTCCTCGAATGCGTCGGGTGACAGACCGAGGCGTTTCTGGGATAGGTTGCCAGGCAGAATCTCCACCCGGTCGAGGACCGAGTCGTTCCATATTCCGAGGTCGACAAGATTCTTGCGGAGTCGTGCCATGCCCGCGGGACGATCGCTGAGTGACGGTTCGTTGAAACGGACAAGACAAATAATCTTGGCGGAGGTGCTTTCCATGATGTCGTTGAGCAGGAAGGCACCTAAGAAGCCAGTCACTCCCGTCAGCAGCACCGTGCTTGCTTCACTAATTGGGCGGAACGAGGCTCCAGACTTCGGGAGCTGCAAGTCATCTGCAAGGGCAGAATCGGCTCGCAAGACGGAAGGTAAATCGGCTTGCACTAGTGCCGTATGCCCATCACGAGCATCTAGCACAACCTGTACATGCCCCTCAAGCGTCGGCTTTTCGGCGAGACGACCCAAAGGCACAGGGAAACCGAAAGTCTTGGTCAGCCGGCCAGCCAGGTCTGCAAGCGCCAACGAATGCCCGCCAAGATCGAAGAAGTCGCGCTCCTGAGTCACGGCACCCGGTGGGATGTTGAGAGACGAAGCCCACATCTCGGCGACCATCTTGCCTGTGATCTTCTTGTCGCGCTCGCTCTCGCCGTTGGGGGTGGTGGCGCCGGACTTGGTCGGGGGAGGGAGTCGTTTGAGATCGACCTTCCCAGAGACTTCATGAGTGGGCAACTCGTCGAGCTCAACCCACACGGCTGGAATCATGTACTGGGCCAGGTGTTCTGACAGCGTCTTGCGGGCAACGGGACTGTAGCCAGCCTGGTCGATTACAAGAACTGCGCGATTCCCGGATGATGATTCTTCGTCACGGACGACATAAGCAACAAGCTGTCGTTCGAGGCCGTCACCGTGGGCCACAACAACACAGTGACGAACAGCAAGCTGCTTCACAATCGCGCCCTCAACAGCGCAGGGGTAGATGCTGTAGCCTCGGACCTTGATCATGGATCCGACGCGGCCCGTGATCTCCAGCAGCCCGGAGGGAAGAATCCGTGCCAAGTCTCCCGTGGCATACAGCCGTGCTCCAGGAGTCTGATCGAAGGGGTTGGGCTTGAAAGCCTTGGCAGTGGCTTCGGGGAGGTTGAGATATTCTCGAGCCAAAGTATCTCCACCCACAAACAGCTCTCCACTAACGCCTGGTTCGACTTTCTGGCCGCCCTCGTCGAGGATGTAGGCGTGTTCGGGATCCATGAGTGGCCCCACTGGACACACAGCAGCAGATTCATCCAGTCCGCCAAGCATCTCTCGAATGTCACCGCAGGCAACCTCGTGCGTCTCGCTGCAGCTGTAACAGTTGAGGAGGCGCGTCTTTGGAAGGGCTTGCAGGGCTCGGCGGGCTAGGTCGGTGGTGACGACCTCACCATTGAGCCATAATGTGCGCAGTTCCGGCAGGCGTGCTCCCAACTTTGAGTGTCGAGAGAGGAGCGAAGCTAGCAGCGTGGGTGTCATGAGCGTTTCCGTGACTCTCTTCGCCGAGAGCAGATCCACGAGAGCAACGAGGTCGTAGCTCGCCTCGTCTGGGACGACGACTACCGTCGCGCCTCGCAGCAGGGGCCGGAGGATTTCCCAGATGAAGAACACATTGCAGGCCACGCGATCCCCTGGCTGGAGATCACTGAGACCAAACCTCAGGTTGTATGAGCGCACTGCAGCCATGTGCGGATTTGCGATGCCCTTAGGACGGCCGGTAGTGCCGGACGAGTATGACACGAAGGCGAGTCGCTCAAGGTCACTCTCGGCGGGCGGGTGGGCCAGTCCGTTCACGGCACCATTGGACTCTCCCACCCCGTTGGTAATAGGGGCAGTCTCCGGTTCATCGAGGATGATCAAAGGCACGTCGGCATTGATCTTTCCGGCATGGGCCCTGTGCGTGAGCACAACAGTAGGCCGGGCATCCTCAACCACATCAGCCAGCAGGCCGGGCGGGTAAGCAAGCTCGAGGACGAGGAACGCTCCGCCGGCCCGAAGCGCGGCAAGGCAGGATATGACGTAGTCCGCGCTTCGGCCGAGGAGCACACCGACGAGGCCGTCGCGACCCACTCCGTGCTTCCGTAGCCGCTGGGCGAGGGCGGCGGTCTCCCGATCTAGCTCGGCATAGGTCCAAGCCGCCGTGTCGTCTTCCAGAGCAACGGCATTGGGGGTGGCCTGGGCCTGAAGAAGGAAGAGCTCCGATAACTCTTTCGTGGTGTCAATGGCGGGCATTTTTGCAACGCACTATCGCCAAGAAGTGGAATTAAAATGAAGGAATTGAGTTCGGGAGTCTAGCTCGGCCGCCCCCGGTGGGTAGGATAACAAAGATAAAGTGTAGGCCCCGGTGATGTTAGGGATGTAATTAGTCCGTGTGGTTCTATCGGAATCTAGATCGTCAGGGGCGTCACCGAAGTTCGTTGCGTTACCTAAAAATATGGCTTTCTGTGGCACACCTGACCGACTTCCCCCCAACGGAAGTCGGCCATCGCCGAGTGGGATAGCTTATCGTGAGCCAGTGACGTCTAGCGTCAGGGCAAGTTTTGCTTAAAACCCTCGTGCCCCCACGTCTTCAAGCCCATTCGATAACTTATCATTGGGCGCCATCCGGTATTAAATGCCGCCCCCAAAAAACGGGGTTGTCATCTAGTGGCCGATCGTGGCCTATCACCCGTCCCGACGCACAGAATCCTCAAGAAAACCCGGAAAATGTTGATGCAGCTCTTACCGGAACCAGAACAAGTAGCCTGTCATTCGCCACACTGATGCGCGTCCCAATATGCAGCCGGGATCGCATTGGGGCAATAAATCTTCCAAACTTGGCCCCATTGGACAGCCTTGAAATCGCCCTCCAGGAGCAGCTTTTTCTTCCGTAATGGAGCGCCATGGCAGGTCACAAGCGCAGTTCTATGTGTTGGCCTTATTGGGTCTCTACTACCTTTTCGTCCTTGCGTGTCGGAGAAAGCGAGCTCAAATAAGACAGTTGATATTCGGCCAATTCGCAGGGTCAAATCACCATCGTGGGGGACCCCAAAACATGGAGCGGTTCGGGTTTCGGGCCGGTATCGGGCCGGTGCAGCCTCGGCAACTCAGCTCCATCAGCTGCCCTCCATCAGGGCCAACTTGAGTTTTCAGCCCCAGCCTGGTTCTAGCCTGAAATGTTAGTTATACATTTTGATGCATATGGTGTTCCTTGAAGTAGCGAAGAGTTGTCATCTCTTCTGTCGACAGTTAATTAGAATCACGAGGACAGGTTAGAAGTGTTACCTCCTCAGACAATGACCAACTAACCTCCACTGGCAGTATATGATGCGCTAGCAACTGCCCGACTTATACGGATTCTTTCGCCACGGCTCATTTAAAATAACCAACGGGCTCAATATCAATGTTGACTTGTGGTCCTTCCCTGGCAAGACTTCATCGCAACAGCAGAGGCCTTGCAGTTGTCATTTAAGTCCGTGTGGCAGATATTAATAATATGTGTGCAGAGCTAACCTGACGCCCCCCTATACTGAAGCTAGTGTCGTCTCGCTTGCTTAAATGTCGCTGCTGTCGTTATTGTCGCTGCCACTATTGCCGCTTGTATGATGTAGCCCCGAACGCAAGTGTAGCGATGATGACGAGCTGCGGCAGCCACAAGGGACGGATTTGACATTATATTCTCAAGTAGTTCAGTTCTTCGGCACATCTCTCGAGCTGTAGCCCACAAGCTTATCAGCATCGCATAAGATTCAAGCCGAGGATTGGTCTTAGTCACATTTCTTGCCCGCCTCATTCTAAGCCGCTCGAAAGGAACTACCATGGCAGTAGGGACACGAGCTGTAGTGGGTGCCTGCCATACTCGGGCAATCCAGCGTCGAGTTCCCCTGGCGAACACACCGTGCAAGGCTGGTAGGAAAAGAGAGAAAAAGGGGGTGGCCCGTGCATATGTGATAGGACCTTCGATTCGATCACTTACCGATATCATCTTGATTGCTCAGGTTGTCCCGATAAGTGCTGTATGTGCGGACTGGCTTCTAAAGCCAGGGAATTTAATGCCGACAAGGGTGATAAGGGCAACAGAAAGGTATGATCTCGTCTCAAGTCTCCCAAGGCCGCAGTCTCTACAAATATACTCAACGGAAATAAAGAATCCGTCATCTGAGATGATATTATCGCTGACTCAACCCCTTCCATTACAACCCTTCGACCTTTCCTACACAGATAATACAATGATCATTTTGCCCCTTCAGTTCTCTCCCTTCTACACTCCCGTCGCTTTCTCAACCTCCTCCTCTCCGTTTCCCACCCGTCCCATCTTCTCGCCCGAGCTTCTAACGCTCTTCTCACTGTCAGCCGCTGGCAGGTCCGTCTTGCGAGGTTGGTTCCTCCATTGCTTCGCCGGAATGCCGTCCCTAAAGAAGCCCTCGATCTCCTCCATTGTACGACCCGTCACCTCTCCGACGCAGAAATACACATACGCCCAGGTTACGAAGCAGAGCCCCGTGTAGACGAATCCGGTCTTGGGGCCGAGGTTGGCCGAGTAGTAGAGGTAGGGGAGAGTGAAGACCGTGACCCAAACGGTGACCCAGAAGCAGGCGACGGCAATAGCGTAGATCTTGTTGCGGTTACGACCGACGGCCATTTCGGATGCCTGAGAAACGGGAGGTTAGTCCCGGTCGCCGGATTAAGAGAGGGGGGGGAAGGGGGGGAAGGGGGGGGTTAAGAATAAAGGAAGTGAAAGGAAAGCAAACTCACAATTGTCCAGCCGAGCGGGCCCCATGCAAAGTTGAACGCCACAATCTCGATAATGACAAAGCTGATGATGACCTTTCCGATGGCCTCAGACGGCTCACCACCGGGGATGCCAAGACACCCCACCACGAAGATGGACACAGTCATGATGCCCGTCGTGATCATCAGTAACGGCCGCCTGGGCAGCTTGTTCGCCAGAAGCACGGCGGCCAGGACGACGAAGACCTGGATGATGAAGACGATCAGGGTCATCATGAAGGGGTCCTTGAGTCCAATGGCCTTGCTGAAGACGGTACCGAAGTAGTAGAACCACTGGATGCCGTTGATCTGCTGCGCGATCAGGGCGCCGGCGCTGTAGATGACCTTGCGCCGCTCGATGGGGTCTGTGATGAGCTGCATCCAGCTGCTCTCGGCCTCCGCCTCGACTTCGCGGTCGACGGCGGCCCGGAACTCGACGAGGGTGGGATGTGGGTCGTAGGTCGGGTCGTCGCGGTAGAGGGAGCGGAGGGAGCGCTCGGCCTCCGCGTCGGCGTTGGGGCGGCCCTTGCGCAGCAGCCAGCGGGGCGACTCGGGGACGAACCAGATACCGGCGAGGATCAAGAGCGGGAAGACGAGCTGGAAGGCGATGGGGAAGCGGTATGCGAAGGTGCCGTCGATGTTGACCATGCCGCGGTTGATGCCGGCGGCGATGATCTGCGAGACGGAGAGGGTGAGTTGCCAGCACATGAGGAGGGGGCCGCGCATGGCGTCGGGGGCGATTTCCTGTGAGGAGCTAGTGAGCATTCCGATCCAGCAGAAGACCATATAATGGAAGGGAGGAAGAAAGGACTGAGGGGAGTCCTTACTCCCATGTATAGAGGACTGGTGGCACTGAAGTTCCCAACGCCGAAACCAAGAATTGCGCGCCCGGCAGTCACTAGAGCTCTGTTGGAGCTGGTCACGAGCTGGAGAATGACGCCGATGATGATGGCGATAGTGCCACTCATAAACACCCCCTTGCGTCCGATCATGTCGTTCAATGGAGCGGCGGTTAAGGACCCGACTGGTTTCCATTAGCTCCTGAATGCCATCGTTTGGGGCAGGGCTTTCCTCGTACCGAGTTCACCCACATTGATCATGGAAGTCATGACCGAGAGAGCTCCAGGGGAGATCTCATACTCCCCTTGGTCATTCTTCGTACCGAAATGTCGAATGAAGACATCTGCTCGCGGTCAGCACAGGCATCATCACCAAGCCTGGAAAAGGGGGGGGGGGGGACCTATTGACGAACCTAGAGTCGAAACACCGTTGAAGTAAACACCATCATATCCGTAAAGGCAGGCGCCCAAGGCCGCGAAGCCACAGAATAGCCAGATGTAAGGGTATTGGATCTTCTTCATTGTCAGAAATTTGTGTGGATGAATTGTTCGGGTGTCTTGGTGCTCGACGGCCCACGGCTGGTGTTGCTGGAAAGATCGTCGGGACTGGGCGGGGAGTTATTCTTATATCGTGCCCCGGACCAGACATGGATGGAAACACGACCCCGAGCGATGGGATCACGTACCCCGGAAACTGGAGTATACTGGAGAAGCTCGCCCCGTGTTTTCTGTCTTGACTAGCCGAGTGGGCTGTCATCGCCACCGCGCAGTGGGTGGTGTGGCGGGTGTCTTAGTCTCACCTTGCCATTTTGAGTATGCCACGGCAACTAGTGTCAGCTAGTTTTGCACACATGCCGACGGCAAGCTACAAACAGGGGCTGCCGACGGCCGGCGGAACTAGCGCTGTGCTGTGGAGACTTGCCGCGGCCAGCCAGGTGAGCCTAAGCTTGCGCGATGGCGAATTCGAGAGATGAGTGTAATTAAATCGCGGGAGTTAAAGCCAGACTATATGCTGGCCTATCGAAAGAATAAATGACAAGGTCTAGTTCTAGTTAATGCCACTCTCGTTGATCGACAAGTTACACACAGACACAGACACGGACACAGACACAAGACCCATTCACACGCTCGTTACACTCAACGCACACACGCACCCAGAGAAACCATGGGCAGCACCGGCAACGAAATTCCAACGCCCCCTCCAGAGGGTGGCTCCTACACGCGCATCTCTCCAGCCCAAGCTGCAGCAGATGCGATTCCCATCTTGGTGGATGATACATATCACCTCTTCCACCTGACAACCCCTCCCTTCACAAGACACCACCCCCAACGACTGCGATCATGCTGGTGGCGCATGCGATCCAAGAATCTCGTGGACTGGACACGAGATGATGAGCCGAGCGTCAAGCCCGGAGAATCCGCGACATCTCCCGACGCCGACGGGGCATGGACGGGGGCCGCAGTGCTGGGCCCGGATGGGAATATGAACATATTCTACACCGGGTACAGCCTCTCGCAGGGTGGCAAACAGGTCATCCTGCGAGCAAGATCGCAGGACCGGCACGGCGGCAAATTCCAGCAGCCGGGCAGTGAGATCAGCTTCAGCGGCGACGGCAGGTCGAAGCTGGAGGACATTGACTTCCGCGACCCGTATGTCTTCTACAACGAGGCCGAGTCGCAGTACTGGATGATCATCGCCTCGCGGCTGGCCAGCGGGCCGTTCTGGAGCCGTGGCTGCGTGGCCCTCCTCAAGTCGACCGACCTGGACACGTGGACCTTTGAGCCCGAGCCGCTGTACTCGCCCAACGACATGTTCTGCCCCGAATGCCCCGAGCTGTTCACGCTGCCCAACGGCAAGTGGTACCTCGTGTACTCGCGCTTCCATGCCCCGGATTCAGGGACCGTCTACCGCGTTGCTGACTCGCCATACGGACCCTTCCGGGTCCCGCGCGACGGCTCGAACGGCCGGCTGGATGGGCGGAGGTGGTACGCCGCCAAGTCGTGCCCCAAGGCGGGCGACCCGAGCAGGCGGATATTCTTCGGCTGGATAGGCGACTATGTCGAGGACGAGGGCAAGTGGCTTTGGGGCGGCGACTTTGGCGTTCCCCGCGAGGTGTCTGCTGATGAAAAGGGCAATCTCCGAATCACGACCGTGTCTGAGGTCGAGCAGCTCTTCGACGAAACCTCGGCCGCGGTCCCGCCCAAGAGCGTGCCGTCAAAGCTCTCGCTGGCCTCACTGGGATCAACCATGGTCACTTTCCCTGACCTCAGCGTCGCAGAAGGACGAGACATCCTCCTCAGATTCGACATCCGGAGCTGTGATGCTCACTCCTTCGGTCTCGTCCTGCACGCCGACAGCACCCAGAAGGGCCACCGTCTGCGGTTCACCCCCAGCAGCGGGGACATATACACCATCACCCTGCTCACCGACTTCCCCCCGCTGGACGACTTCTGGGCGGACCAGTACAAGCTGCATCTGCCTCGACCGGTGGACGGTCCCGAGCTCGTCCGCCACGACGGCGTCAGTCTGGCGGGCGGCGTCACCGTCTTCCTCAAAGGGACATTATTGGAGGTGTTCTGCGGCGGGCGATCGATCAGCTTCCGCTTCCCTGTTTCGGTTCCCGCAACTCCGGAACTTGCAGCTGCTGACAATGGTCGACTTGGATGGTTTGTCGAGGACGGTGAGGTAGAGCTGAGCGACGTTTCGATTAGGCACGGAGGCCTCATAAGCAAGACCTGCATGTAGAGTAGTAGTAGGTTTAGGAATCAGTAGTACCAATGGATCGACTCCTGGTAATTAGACAATGTTAATTATTAGACCAGACTCTATCATCTCTAGCCACTTCTCATTGGGCCACCCGGCATCAACACGTTGGGATCCATGTCGACGCCGCGCAGCAGATCGAACGCGCCATTGACGTCGGCAGCAAGGTCCCAATCTCCGAAATCGGTGAATTCGAACGGCTGGGTCGAGTAATTCGCCATCATTGGGCTGACGTTGTCATCAGGCGGCTCGTCTAGGTTGACGGCGAGAGCATGCTCCAGTCCCCGTAGAATCGCACCTTCCAGACGATTCACGGCGTATCTCATCGGCTCGCTGCTTTTGCTCATCATCCGTAGATTCCACAGATACGAGTTGAGAGTCTCCTGCCAGAAGCTACGCTCTTGGGAAGAGAGGGACGTGACGAGGAGCAGAGTCGTGAACGACCCAACGAGGGCAAATAGGTAGGGTGATGCTGAGCAGATGTTAGCGGCGTCGGATAGACATTACACATATGTATATATATATATATATATATCATGGTCCAGAATCCAAGTCAGATGGCCCAAAGTCGACTCACTAAAGTACCAAAATGCCTCGAGCTGGTCCGGTCGAAGATTCATGACGAAGCCGATGGCGCTCTGCGCCGTCTGCAGCGCAAACTGTCGAACATCCGAGAGCACTTGATTATCGAGACAAGCCGGCGGGAGCGCTGTAGACCGTATGAGCCGCCGGAGAAGGGCGATCGCCACTCCGTAGTACGAAAAGTGAAGATGTCCTGAATCATCTCAGTCTCTCTCCTCTCTCGGGCATTGTCTGCAGCGGGTACCTACCGTGAAAGGAGAGCTTTCTCTGGTACGTGATATTCATATGCAGCGAGGAAGGGATGCTCCGGTACCAATCCTGCAGCTGGTCTAATATCGGCTGGGCCCTCTGATACAACAGCGCCGTGTCTTGGTCAAAGCAGGTCCGGGCCGTGTAGAAGGAAGAGAGAACGGAGGACAGGATCTGTGCGAGCCGGACCATCAGAATGAACTGGAGCTTCCCTGTCGCGCCGATGGATCGTCTCTCGTCGTCGAGTCCCGAATTGTCGCAGTCGATGAAGTCCAGGTTCGACAATTCCCGGACGGTCCAGTCCTCGTGATGGATGTGCACAGGCCGTCCGTAGGCCAACGCAGTCCAGCGATCCTGCATGTAGAGTGCCCAACTCAGCCGTTTCCGAACATTCTTCTCCCAGGCAGGTATAGACCAATCACTGGCATCCAGATGGAGGCCGAGACACTGGCCAATGGCCAATGCCTGGCAAGTCAGCCCCCACTCGTAGGTGTGATCCGGATTGAGGGGATCCTCGGGCTGGCACTGTAGAAGCAGGAGAATGGCCTGGATTGACGATAGCTTCGGCCGGTGATACGATGACGAGATTGCTTGATGCAGCATCCTCCGCAACAAGGCCGAGTCCGGCATCGGCCGGATCGACAGCTCGGGATCGTACGACCACCATCGTAGCGCGGAGAGATACACCGCACCGAGGAGGGGGCCAGATATCTGCCGATAAGACCGATTGTAGTTCTGCATGAAAAACTCTTTGTGAACCAGGGGGTAGCAGGGCTGGACGTGTCGCCAGAAGAGCTCCACGAGGCGGGGACCGTGTGGCCGCACGCAAGCTTCTATGGCGTCTATCTGGGAGTGGGTGGCATCGAACTCCAGTGCTTTCTCATCGGACACCATGTGGAAGGTGAGAGGGTAGCCAACGAGCCCGGAATCCCGCTCGAGCACTCGCCGGATTGCATGAGTCTCGAGGCTGAACTCCTGGGTCAGGGGATCATACGGGCGGTGACGCTGAATGGTTGGTCAATGGGGAGTCCATCCGTGTTGTCATCCAAGCCGAGGAAGGAGAAGAAGGACAAGTGGGGAGACGACAAACCATCAGAATGGGCTCCATGTCGCTTCCCAACCCGTACAGCTCCGCAAATCGAGTCTGCGCGAGACCAAGCGTCAAGGTACCAGGGACGAACTCGGACTCGGAGGTGGCCGATGTTGAGGCTTCTGCCCTGCGCCGTTCATCGGCCGAATTCCCCGCTATTATCTCGGCGTGCTCCGGAGAAGTCGGAGACGGCGCCTCGGAGACGGACATTTGTTCCTCGGTCTGCGCCGTGCGGGGACCGGGGTCGCCCCCACTCAGCCCCGGAATGGACGGCATCCGCCCAGGGGGATCACGCTCGAAGGTACAGGGCGATCCGCGGAGCTGGCAGTGGACGCATTGGCGCTCTCCGTCATTGGCCAAGACGCAACGGGTCTTCCTTTTGCGGCATGCATCACAAGGCCGGCCACTCCGCCTTGGCCGTTTTCGGGTGCCGGATTGGTAGTCTGCTGGGGTGATGATCTCCATATGACCAATCACGGAATAATTGGTCGCTTAATTGGCGGTGAGACGCATCTGTGCCTCTGTTCAAACTTTCGTCCTTCAACCTTCCAAGTTTGGACCTACTCCCCATCCCTTCCTTACCCGAAGTCCAAAGCCCGAGGGTCAAAAGTGGGGCCCTACATCGACTAATGGCGGGGCGACCATGCTCGGGGCAGAGAAAATCCGACGAACTACGGCTCGACCGACGTCATTCGCCAAGCAAAGTGTGGGGGGGGCCGACAATGGCCGGCAAATAAGCAGTCTTGGCAGTTAAGGGTCTCTGTTAAGAAAATGTGAAAATTTGCTGGCGATTCATGGTTCGCACTAGCAACCAGTTAAGCGAGACTGTATCTGCCCACCGGATTCTGCGGGCGCCAGTACGGAACAACTATCGCCGTACCTTGTAATCTTTTTGGTTGGCTTGGCTTAAGCATCTTATTGGTGAGCAGTGGGCAGATTCTCACACATACATACCACCACGACCAAGCTAAACATGTTAGTGTAAAACCTCGGCAGCCCCATAACCTGGATTCCAGTATAAGTTGTAATTACCGGCTCGCACATTGAACCCCTTGACTGGAAAACTTTTTTGTCGGCGCAGCTCAAGGATCTACGAGTTTGTCCTCTGCTTTCTTTTCTCCTTTCCCCCCAACAGTGTCTGCCAGTTCCCGACCATATGGCCTTGTCCTCTTCGCTTCATTCAACGTGAGAGTAGACGTAACCCTTAACGCCTTAACCCTTTATCCGACATGTCTACTCGCCGATCCCACGCCGGCGTCGTCCCTGGCACCGTCCATCTCGTTGATGTGACCGGGAACCCCGGGACGTCAAAGTCGAAGAATGGTATTGAACTCATCCCCCGTCCCAGCGATGACCCCGAAGATCCGCTGAACTGGAGCGAGGCCCGCAAACGCCTCTCCGTCTCCATGGTCGTCCTGCACTCGATGGGCGTCGGCCTCACCATGGCCCTGCAATACTCGGTCCTGGCAGATATCACTCGCGACACCGGCATCGCCACGGCCCCCCTGGTCGAAGGGACAGGCTACATGATCCTGTTGATGGGCTGGGGGAATCTCGTCTGGCAGCCCATCGCCATCACCTACGGCCGTCGCGGCGTCTATCTTTTGTCGGCACTCGGCACTATCCCCGTCATGGTCTGGACCGCCTACTCTCGATCCGTCGGCGAGTGGTATGCCCACCGTATCATTCTTGGCTTCTTCGCCGCCCCGATTGAATGCCTTCCTGAAGTGAGCATCCCCGATGTCTTCTTCGCCCACGACCGGGGAGCCTGGATGAGTCTGTACGTGTTTGTCCTCTTCGGCTCCAACTTCATCTCACCCCTGATCGCCGGCTGGTTCGCAGAGGCGTTCGGGTGGAGGTGGACGATGCATTTTGGGGCCCTGGTCGCCGCAGTGACCTTTGTCATCTTGTTCTTCTTCATGGAAGAGACCATGTACTTCCGCAAAACTCTTGAGGGACTGGAAGAGGTGGATGATCCAGAACCCATACCCGCCCCGCAGTCGGTGATCGTTGACGGCGACAAAAAGAAGGGTAGTCACCAGAATTCCATGGATGGAAGCGATGCCGGCGGCCCTTCGGCCACTGCCGTCTTTCCGGCAAGGAGGCCCTACCTCGAGAGACTGAAGCCCTTCACGCGGATGCCGGGCCGACAGACCAACAAGGAGATGTTCAAGGGCATGTTCCAGCCTCTTCCCATCATGGTGCAGTTCCCGAATGTCGCCTGGGCCGGGTTCATCTACGGCATCAACCTGTGCTGGTACAACGTGCTGAACGCCACTGCCAGCCCGCTTCTGAGCGCCCCGCCTTACAACTGGTCGACGGGCCTCGTCGGGTGCATCTATATTGGTCCGCTCATCGGCGCCGCCTTTGGGAGTCTCTGGGCCGGTGTGGTTGCCGATCGCTTCACTCTCTGGCTCGCCCGTCGGAACAACGGAGTCAGGGAACCCGAGCAGAGACTGTGGCCTCTGGGCTTGTCGGCGGTCATGTCCTGCGTTGGTCTCATCGTCTGGGGTGTCGGTGCGGAGCACCAGATCCACTGGGCCGGCCTGGCTGTCGGTCTCGGGATCCTCACCTTCAGCTGCGTGGCCGGAGGATCGGTCGCCCTGTCATACAACATCGACTGCTTCAAAGACATCAGCGGCCAGTCAACAACCTCCATCATCGTCATTCGGAACACAATGGGCTTTGTCATGTCATACGGCATCACTCCTTGGTATACGAACATGGGGCTGCAGAATTGTTTCATCATGGCAGGATTTCTGTCCCTGGGCTGTACCCTCACGTTCCTGCTGATGATTTGGAAAGGCAAGGCTCTTAGGAGACGATCGGCGGAACGGTACTGGAAGTATGCCGAAAGCAGCGTTAAGCACCATTGAAGAGCCTGTAAGTTTGCGACCCCCGTGCTCTATGAACCCGCACTCTTTCGCCACACCCATTCGCGGCCAACAGATGGGTCAAGTCGACCCATATTTCCAATCTGGGCTGACAATCTTCAAGTGCAAGACTCTTAGATAACGACGGCAGAGCGGTACCGGAAGTCCGAAGGATGGGACTTGCTGGCATCAACTCAGGTTGTAAGTCTGTGTACCTGCTCATGGACACCCCCTCTCCCCTTGAAATGGGTCAGCTCACCCCCCCCAAGCACCTGCCGTTCGATGCTGCCGATAAAACCATTTTAAATCCCACACACGAGATAAAAAAACAATAAAAAAAAACATTAAATTTTTTAAAACCGTGTATTATTATCTTTTTAAAATACGCCTAGTAGGTTTCTGTTATTGTGGCATGTTGATACAATTAGTGCTATACTATAGAAGCTAAATACTAAATGCTAATTAATTACGGCTCATCTGAGGTTGGCCGTCAAGTGTTTCATGTTAGGGACTCCGTAGCTCCGAGGAGCATGTCGCTGATTTCTTCCCAATGCATTTCCTGCCAGGCCCGGGACTCTGTGGGCCCCGCATGTGGAAGGGAGTAGTCATAGCTAAACCCTGGAAAAGACGGGAGGTTTGGAAACTGAAAGTCTGCCGTTGTCTCGGGATCGAACAGGCTTGCGAGAATGGGCTCCAACACCGTGCCAGATAAGTCAGTTCTGTATTGCCCGCTGTCGATGTTTAAGGTGCTATCATGCATTCCAACGCCCGAGCTTGATTTGTTCGCACCTCGAATAGGAGGTTGTGAGGCTCTTCCGGAAGGAGGCCCACTGTTCCGGCCGTCATGCGCGTTAGTGAATTCGTCAACCATTGCCTGTAGCTCGCCAACGATAGTCAACCAGCGGCGCATGGTCCCCGGTACTTTGTCGTCACTCAGGTATTTAGAGGACAGTTCAAAGCAATCGCCCAAGAGTTGTCTCGTATCTGTTGCCGACTCTGTCTTGTCTTGCGTGACATCACAGATGATGCTCAAGACGAGGATCAAGGTAGATGAGTAGATATAGTACACGTCCAACCAAGAGACGGCGTTGAAATTATTGATGGAGTCGAGCTTGAGAAGCAACTGAGAGGACTGCCGGCCAGACTCGATGCAGGTGTCGGAAATCGAGGCAAGGGAACCTGAGAATACACGTGTGCTGTCCCCGGAGAGTGCAGTGAAGCGCGAGAGGAGGGCATATCGGGAAACGAAGGAGGCCGTGTAGTGATATTGCACGTGGAGAAGAATGAGGATGCGTTGAAACTGAGGCGGCATAGAGTCGATGGCATCCATGGAGAGGTGTTGCGGGAGACTCCTGTTCCAACTGGTCAAATCCGAGAGGAGCTTCACTGCGGGAGAGAGGGGGCCCGAGAAGTCACTCTTGGCGGCCTCCGGGAGCGAATTTGCGGCACCCAGCAAGGTGGCTAACCGGTTACACCAGGTGGCATACTCCGGGAGGTTATTCGCGGCCATGCCTAGGATGCCTTCTCTCGGCGGGCCGGGCAGGTGCCGGGCGTCGTTCATCGCGCTCGGTCTGTCATAGGAGGAGACTTGCAGCTGCTCGAAGGAATAGAGCGTCCACCAGAGCTTCTTCCTCATCTCCCGCAGCAGAGGCGTCCCATCCGTCTCGATATCGTCTCGATGCAACCCGATAGCAAAGCCAATGCGGACGGCGGCACCGGTCAGCGTCCAACATATGTCCCGAGAGTTGGTGTTGTGGAGATGAAGAGCCGCTAGCATGAGGGATTGGATCGAGGCCAGACTTGAAGTGAACATGACCTTGGGCAGGAACATCTGGATTTGGAGCCACCATCGCTCCTCCTGCTCATCCGAAATGTCGATGTCGCAATGCCGGCGGCCTAGCATTAAGACACAGAGGAAGCTGCAGAGCCACACGTGGTCTGCAGCCGTCGGAGACTTGCACCAGGCCTCCAGGGTCTCGAGAAACGAGGCTTCGTGAAGGACAGGGAAGTCGACGTTGACTCGGTCGAAAAACGCGCGGACGATCAAGAGAACGGTCGTCCGATCCGTGTGTCTCGGAGCCGCCTTGGGGGACGCTGCAGACCCGTGGCGGTCTAGAGAGGTGGAGTTGGCGATGGAGTGGATGTCCACAGTCTCCATGTCGCGTCTCGTAATATCAAGGCTCCTCTCCGACACGAGGCTCCTGTCGGCCGGGTTGGGGCCGAACAGGTGCATCTGTCTGATAGAACCGTTCTGGCCGGGACTGACCATGGCCCTGAGCTTCATCTGGAAGAAGTAGGAGCTTGCCCGTCCGATATACTGGCTCTGGCCCTGCCGATCGTGAACCAGCTGCTCGTGCTCGCTTCCCTTCTCGCCACCGCCTTCGGACTCGGTCGGCGGGCGGCCGTCGCCTGGACCAGCAGCCCCGTCCGGCAACGGGATTCCCAGAGCGCGGCCCACGCTCTGCACGCTTTGTAGACTGGAGAGGTCCGCCTCAGGCACCAACCCCTTCACCAAGCCTTCCAAGGCGGCCATTCTGGCACTGTAGGCCTCGACACTCCCACGAAGTCGTTGCTTGCGCGGCTTGGTCACGACACAGTCGTAGCCATACTTCAGACAATGGGTGCACCTAAGCTGGCCAGCCGAGGTATTGCACTTCTGCTTCCTGCTTTTGCACCGATCGCAACTGTGCTCCGTTCGCTGCCGCAGTTCGGCGGGAACAAGACGGGTCTTCGAGCTCATCTCTTCTCGTCACTTCGGCGACAGTGCGTGCGGGAGACAGCATGCGACAACGGCAGCGCGTTGGAAGTGGGCAGTGGGCAGTGGGAGACGGAAGCTGGGGGATCTTGTGGATGAGCGATAATTCGATGGAACCCGGTTGACATTCGCTAGTCTCACTGGCGCATATTTGCTTGGAGACCGGCACCGGTCGCCATGTGCATGCATGCCCGTGGCAAGAGTGACCCAAAGATTAACTAGTCCAAGATAAGGAAACGCGGGGCATCCAATGTGCGGGGAAGAGAAGCACTAAACTGAAAGTAGAGTAGACAGGGCACCAACATGCTCCACTGTCATGGAGCTATGCGGGCATCGATGCTGTGCGGGTTGCATGCAAGCCGCACCCTCCGTTATTGTCAGGGGACCTGCGCACATGCGGCCCAAATCCGGGGGAACTAGCGCAGTGCAATGAACCTGGATTCGCGATAGTGCCTGCGGGCTAGTACCTCCTCTACCTAGGCCGTGATAAGCTGGTTTATCTCTTGGACTACTTGTCCTCGCCAGGAATCGGAACGGGTATAATAAAGATAGCGTCGCAGCGTTCATCTTTGCAGAATGCTCCCCGAGGCTTGGGCCACAGACAACATGGCTGCCATGGATGCAAAGACAGACTACGCTGCTATGGATACGGAGAATCTGTCTGCCAGTGACTCCAAGGCCGAGATGCCTGTCCTAAAAACAACAAAGGACGGCATCCCCCTTCATCCTCAACCGAGTGACGACCCGGAAGACCCACTGGTATGCTGAGATGCAGTTGAATCTAGTGCTGAAGGTGCGGGTGGCGTGGGCTGACCAAACGCCTTTAGAATTGGAGCTGCCTCCGGAAGCATGCCGCCCTTATTGTGCTGGCCATGGAGTCCTTGGTCATCAAATTCTCCAACACGCTCATCGTAAGCCCCCTCTCCCAAGAAACCATACACGCAGAGATCTGCAATCCAGGGCACCTCACTTACACAACACCTTTCTCAAGGCTCCCGGTGCGCATACCTTGGCCGCCGAGTTTCACACCGCGGCCTCGACAGCTACGTACATCGGTTCGGCTCCCTCGGTCCTGTACGCGTTCGCCCCGTTCATCTGGATCCCACTGAGCCTCCGCGTCGGTCGGCGGCCAGTGTTGCTGGTCACTCACGTCATCGCGCTCCTGGCCGCGGTCGGTGTCGGCCGCTCAACCTCTTACTCGCAGGCCCTGGGATTCCGCATGGTCATGGGCTTCGGTGGCAGTGCTGGCCTGTGCATCAGCCCTGGGGCCATATCCGACATGTTCTTCCTGCACGAGAAGGGCACCCGCCTGGGTATAAACAGCATACTGTTTGTGGTTGCCCCTTATATAGGTGAGTGAGGTCTTGGGTCTTGATTTTAAAAGTCACTTCCGTGTGTCGCCTCTGGACGGCATCTGACTTTATACTTAATCATTAGGTGGCGTTGCTGGCGGCTCTGTTCAGCAGAATCCGAAGCTAGGCTGGCGATGGGCCATGTACATTTCTGCCGCCTGTTACGCGTTCCAGCTCCTTGGACAGATCTTTCTTGGTCAGTGCCCTAGTTACCTGACACACACCCTTTTTGTCTGAGGGAAGTAAATAATTACTGACAGGCTTGGTAGTCCCGGAGACAATTTACGAGAGGGAGACTGCCGCTTCTGAGCCACTGGAGAACAAAAAGACGCTCTACCGCCGGCTGGGATTCCGGACACCGACGAACCCGACGGGAGAGACGTGGTCCCAGACATTCCGCCGACCTTTCGCCATGTTTGCATACCCGGCCGTCGTCTTGCCAGCCTTCTGGGCGTCGGTGTGCATTATGACGGAAATAGCCAACACTGCAGGCTTGGCCCTGAACTTCGGTGTTACCAGCCGCTTCGGCTTCAACACGGCGCAGATCGGACTTTGTTTCCTCTCGGGCTTGGTTGGCGCCTTCCTCGGAGAGATCTGCGCGGGTCCGCTCTGTGACCTCGTCGCCAAGCGTATACTGAGGAGAGGTGACGAGTGGGTTCCCGAGAAGATACTTAAACTCTTCCTCACGGGCCTCGTCGCGAACACTGTACGTGCATCGGAGCCCCTGTTTCATCGACTTACCGTGAATCTGACACTGTGGGCAAGGTTGGTCTCATTGTCTACGGGTTTGAGCTCGACAACCACGCTTCACATTTTATCGCACCACTGTCGGGGCTCAGTCTTTTCGTCTTCGGGCAGGAAATCATCGTCACGGTACTGATGACCTACATGACGGAGTGCTATCCCGGGCGAGCCGTCGAGGTCATGATCGTCTTCCAGTTCTTCCTGAACATCATGTGCTTCCATCCGCCCTTCTACACGCCGCAGTGGATAGACAAGGCCGCAGGCGCGAAGGTGCCGTACATCGTGTACGCGGTGCTGCCCATCGTCTTCTTTCCAGTTTGCGTCGGCATATTCATGTGGAAAGGCGCGAAGATTCGTAGCAGAGGAGCCATGTTTTCCATCTCCAAGAGGGAATGATGATAGCCCTAAAAGGCTCTTTGCTAGACGTGGTTTTCGATTGGGGTCACTCATTAGCCCCCTTACACTGATTAGTTATACATAATTTTCTGCAGTATTATTCGATATTAGTCTTCTGTCCAGGGGTTATACGGCAAGTCGAAATTGCAATGCTGCGCCATGCACTGCCTTGAAACGATAGAGGCGCTGCTCAGGGCCCTCCATTATATGCGGAAACTTGGCTGCCGCTAAGGTTTCTCTATTCGGGTCACCCAAAATGGACACCCTGTCAGACCCTCATGAAGAGCTGGCATCTATTTGCTAGACTTTACGGAAGATAGCCACTCTACGCCTATTTCAATGGCTGTTCCCAAGGCGGTAGCGAGCCCTTACGCCTGCGTAGTACTGCCCTACGGCTTACCACGGCATCACCGGCGGATGGCCCGCTGTCCACTGGGCCGAGGCAATAACAAACAGGCAGAGTCCAACCTCTTCTGGCTAGAGCAATAGACGAACAAGATTGGCAAGTATCCCAATCTGTGTGAGCTAGTGCTATCACTGCGGCCATTCTTTCCGCAGGCTCTAGTGATCGTGGATTATATTACTATCAAGTTTTACAAATAAAACCGCGTATGTAGGACATTATCTTTGCCAAGCGAATTGTTGATCGGCGGAAAGGCGCGCGCCGTTCATCTACAATGTCCTGACATCTCGGCAGCATGCGTATCACCGATAATTGGAGTTGATAAGAACCCATAGATAAGGCTCGACCCGTTTCGTGGGGTCTCTTCTATCTGAAGACCTGATTCTCCACTCTAGAGCCAGCCCCCTGGATACCTTATCTCTGACCTGCCTCTTACAGAAATCATTCCAAGGACTTGCAAAGCAAAGAACGTGTTGGTATAGATGGTGTCATGCTTTTGTTAGCAGGCGTTATTGGAGAGTCTGAACAGAAAAACGTCCTAGCCATGACTTCTCTCACTGTCCCTCTAACTGGAGGATATGAGACACAAACTTCGGTTTGAATACCAGGTAGTAGGGGCCTTATTGTGACAGATACGAGTTGTCTGGCCTAGTGGTATTCCGATGTGCTCTGTTCTTAAATGCATCGGCCAAAGCACGAGTGGGGCCAAGCTTGGCCAACCCGAGGCAATTAACGACAAACTCGCAGCCTTAGCCTGGAAAACACACCGCGATGTTGATTACTTCTTGATACCGGAGTGCATGGCCCCTGGTCAGGGGCCATGCGTAAGTGTGGACTAGCTGGGTTGTTTTCCATGCTGGAACTGGGCCATAAATATCTTCAGGCCCCAGCTGTTGTACACTGAACGCTCGCCTGTCAACACACTTGGCTACCTGAACTTGCTGCCTCTTGACGCCACAAACATGAAGTCGCTCATCACCGCCCTCGCCCTGAGCCAAGCAGCATGGGCTGCGCCATCTCTTCCCATTCGGCTGGAGACGAGGACATCCCTGAGCTCGCGTCTTGCCAACGTCCACCTCTTGTTCGATGAGCCAGTTGATGGTCTAATCAGGTTCACATACGGCTCTTGCTCTTCGATTGGTGAGCATGATGCCCACCACATGGTCAGCCAAGGTTTCTCGTCCCATGACAGACTCGTCTGGATCATACCTGAGGAAGTCACCTCTGGCGGCTGCATTTCAGCATGGGGTTCTTCTGGCACTCTCCTGGGCCGTAGCGAGAAGCAGCAATTCGACATACAGAACCGTCGACGCAGCCTCTCAAAGCGCGGACCCTACAGCATCACGATGACGAACGAGACTGGAATTGACCCCTGGGGGCCATGGTTTGACGGTGTTGAGCTACTGAAGAGCAAGAATATGAGCGCCGTCGATGTGTCGAAAGCGAAGAGCAAGGATGTTGCCATCGTCGGCGCCGGCATGTCCGGTCTCATGACCTACTTATGCCTGACACAGGCCGGTCTGACCCACGTGAAGATCATTGAGGCGGGTGAGAGATTAGGCGGCCGCGTACACACCGAGTATCTGTCCGGCGGTCCGTTCGACTACAGCTATCAGGAGATGGGACCCATGCGGTTCCCCAGCACCTACACCCTGGACAACGCCACATACAACATAACGGATCACCAACTTGTTTTTCAGCTTGCCGAGGAGATGAACAAGCTAAACGGCCATGATAAAAACTTGTCGGTGGACTTCATCCCCTGGTACCAGTCGAGCAGCAACGGATTGCACTACTACAACGGCATCCGTCTCCCCAACGGCATGCCCCCGACAACGGCTCAGGTGGAAGCGAACACGTCGCTGGAGACCCCATCCATCTTGGACAAGTCAACCCAACATCTAGAGACAGCGATCGAGCGTGCTCTGCCAGGGGCCGAATTCTACGTTGCGATGGCGAAGAACATGTTCAAGGCCCACCGCGAGTTTTTGGATGGCGGTCTGGATGGCCTCCCCGGCGATCAGTGGAGCGAGTTTGCCTACATGGTGAACTACCTAAAGGCTAATCTGAATGACACGGATAATGTCAGTGGTGGGTCGAGTGCGGTTTCTTTTTGGGACGAGGTGAGTCAAAACAGCGGCCAGTGAAGTCTGTCTCCTGGGACGGAGAAAACGTGTCTACTAAACTGCGGCACAGTTGTACGACGGTCTCTATTTCAGTGCCACTACCTGGAAGACTATCGACGGCGGTAAGATGTCCCTTCTTCATAAGATTACCCCGCTCCATGTATCGTACTTAATCCAGGATTACTAGGACTCAACCGGCTTCCCCTTTCATTCCACCCGCTTGTCGACAGGGTCACCACCATGAACCGTACCGTCGAACGAGTGCAGTACTCGCCCTCGTCCTGCAAAAAGAAGGTAACTCTGCAGTCGCGCAACAGCTATAGCGAGACGCTTCAAAATAGCACTCACGACTACGCGGTGCTAGCGGTGCCGTTCTCCATCTTGAAAAAGTGGCGCATCGATGGTGAGCGAGTCCCACGCTAGGGATCCCATAAGCCCTTCGTTTAAGTGCTAACATTATTGCCCCCGAGGTCTTCCCATCACGATGCAAAATGCCATTAATAATGTCCCGTATACGGCCGCCTGTAAGGTTGCACTCGAGTTCAAGACCCGTTTCTGGGAGCACTTCGAGAACCCCATTTACGGATCTTGCTCCACAAGCACAGGTAAATAGGTCTTCCTGCGATATGATCAAGGGTCAACAACCCCAGGTTAACACGCCCTCCCCCCTCCCCCCTCTTAGACATTCCCGGTATCGGCAGCATCTGCTACCCATCGTACAACATCAACGGCACCGGTCCGGCCACAATGATCGGATCTTACATATCCGGGAGTCAGTGGGGCGCGCGTTGGGTTGCGACGCCGGAGCAGGAGCACGTCGAATACGTCCTCAACGCCATGATCGAGATCCATGGCGACGTCGCTCGCGAGCAGTACACTGGCAAGTATAACCGACGATGCTGGATGCTCGACCCCCTCGAGTCTGCTAGCTGGGCTTCTCCCCTGGTCGGACAGCACCAGCTCTACTTGCCGGAGTACTTCAAGACTCACAACAACGTAAGTTCTCATTTGTCGGGCTTGGTCTGTGACCGGACGAGTCTGGGCCGAATGCGGGAGTGACTGACACGGCGCAAAAAAAGATGATATTTGTTGGTGAGCACACAAGCTATACCCACGCTTGGATCTCGTCCGCTCTAGAGTCTGGCATTCGTGGTAGCGTTCAGCTACTGCTCGGTAAGACTACCTGTGTGATGAACACCAAGAGAATGACACAAAGACTGACTTTACTCCCTTCCGAAAGAGCTCGGCTTGGTCGACGAGGCTAAGGCAACGGTGGAAAAGTGGATGGCGCGGTGGATAGAAGTGGTAAGTAATCATCCAATCCCTAAGGAGCGTCCTCACCTAGCTGACTCACAATTTGCGCAGTAAATACCGGATGCTTACTCTGATTCAAACTGTTAGATGAGCAGGGCAATCTAGCGCTGTTTGCCTTAAGGAGCTTGAAGAGAATAGACGTAATATAAGTAGCAATGAAGAATAATTAGACGAGTGACTCCTGTTCTTGTCATGTCTGGCTTGCTAGCTTTCGAAACATGTGGTCCGCTCTGTCCAGATCCCCCTTCAGGTCGTGTTCCCAAATCCACAGGAATCTCTTGTTCAGATTCTCGACGATCTTTGCCATGTCTTCTCGCAGCTCGGGATGTGTGAAGGAATAGATCTGGCCGGTTTCTTGGCTTGTCTTGACCACCCGCTGCGCGCGAGGGCGCCGGATGACGTCGTACACCTGAAAGGCCAGTGGCAGCTCTCGTTCGTTCTCGACGTTGCCGAGCAGGTGCGACAGGATGAGAGCGTCCTCCATACACTGGCCAGCTCCGGAGGCCTGATGCGGCGTCGTTGCGTGAGCCGAGTCGCCGAGGAGACAGATCCGATTGTTGCAATAGGTGGGAGTATTCATGTGATGGTGCAGAGCCCATTGAACAGGATCGGCCCACTACCTTGGCAAGAATTATTACCAATTAATTAGCCCCTCGCTTCGCCAACCCTCGATCCAAAAGAGTCTTATATCCCGGGGGGGGGGGGGGGGGGGGGAAACCCGCCCACAAAAACACCAACACGCGGCTCGGGGTGCGGGTCATACCGCCCCAAAGCATCCACGGGGTCCGGGTATGGCCCCCGGC